CGAAAGGACACCAGCGACAGCTCAACAGCGGGAAAATGCAGGTAAGAGCTATGCAGTTCCCCTGCATTATGGGCGACCTGCAGTCGCACCGCGCCCTCTGCGTCGAGCCATTTCCCAAGGACCCAAGCCCAGTCCCCACCTGGCGCCGGGGCTGAGAAGTACCACTGCGCCAGCGTGTCGGCCACCGTGTAGAGCTTGATCTCCAGAATGAGCATGGTGGTCCACGAGGTGAAGATGCCGCAGAAGACGCAGTAGGCCGCTGCCCAGGTCTTGGTCTCAAACACGCAGCAGTTCACTCTGAGACACGTACAACAGACAGCACCAAATATAAGCGTGAGGCGACGCGTGAGGGCTTTCAATCAGACTCGTTCCGAAGGCAGTAGCCGTAACCGCCGGGTTAAGGCTGTGCGGTGCCGCTGGTGAACACGTCGCCCATCCGCAGCTCGGCCTCACTCCCACCAACCCACCTCACGTCTTGGAGCCCTCAGCGTTTCTCCCTTAACCCCCATACCCACCCAGTAGCCCTCTGCCTCAGTAGTCCCGACGATACCTACCTGAACCCATTGGCGTCAATGCAAATGCCAGTCTGGGCGTCCTCATCAAGTTCCAACACACCGAACACCGCAGGGTTTTGCTTCGGACTTCCAATTTGCAGCGCGCAGATGAAGGCAGCAAAGTAGAACAGCAGGATAGCGGCGCCGACCACCTTGATGAGGATGGCCGCGGGTACCAGGGCGGCGTTCTCATACATAGAGCGAGCTGCGGGTTGGGCGTGGGGCATGAGGGAGGGGGGCGGAGTGGGATGGGTACCACAGTCACACGGCACACCAGGGAAGCCAGACGGCCTCAATTATGGTAATCTGTGGAAAGGCTTGACTACAGTGACAAATACTTGGGTTTTGGAAGGCAACCCTTACCCGACAGCGCCAGCAGCTCCGCGCACAGCTTCAGACTACGGCGGATACAAAAGTAGAACACGGCGGCAATCACCGCAAAGATGATGACGATGACGCCCACAACGGGCGCTCCTAGGATAAAGCACGCGATACCCAGAGCCAACGAGAACACTAGGGACACCACGATGGAAAGCATCACCATGGCCTGGTCAGCACAGGGGAGGCGTGGGTTACAGAAGAAATGGAGACAGAAATTTAGCAAATCCGGGTGACAATGGAATGTGGAGGTCGGGATGGGGTAATGGACAGGTAATCTAGCGCGAGAACTAGAATCCGGAGGGTTAGTGATGCATAGTGGCGAAAAGAATGGATAGGGTAACATGGAATGGGTAAGCACCGGATGGAGCGCATATGACAAATGTCGTTAGGTATGAAGCAAGGATGGGGTACTGGATTGCACCGGTGTCATGGCGCTATGCCACCGCCCTACCTTGGCGTAGCGGCGGAACAGGACCAGGTACAGCACGGACAATACGATGGCCAGCGCCGCGGAGATGGGTAGGAAAACGGCGACAGCCTTGTTGAAGGCCTTCGCGAAGGTCGCGTCTTCATTTAAATTGTCGTCTGTCGGGCTAAGTTGGACTGCCTGCAGACAGGTTCGCATGATAGCGACAAACGAAGGGCGATGTGAGGCGGATTCTCGAGTACGCAACCAGGCTGAGATTCTTGGGAGAAGGCAAGGCTTTTTTATCCCGCGTGTCAATACACACCGTGCTCCGAACCTACTTTATACTGCTTAATGTCGCAAGTCATGCTGCTGTTGTAGAAACCATTCGTATAAAGCTCCCCGTTAGTATCCCTGCATAAGCGGGTATCGGACGTCTGTAAACACACGACGAGACAAACCATAGTCCCAACGCTCAACAGCGAGCCCTCCACTAATGCCTTACGTTTTCGCAAAGACGACGATGCCCCAGAACAGCGTCACCGCTGCTAACACGACATATGCAACCGTGAAGGCGACATCTTGCCTTGAACGCTTGTCTGCAATGTAAATAGACGCTCCTGACTGGTAAAGGTAACTGGCATCTGCCTGTGTGGGCGCAAATAAGCCTGGTCTATTCTCGACGTCCATTCCGGGTAGGAGGAAAGTGTTTGGCGTCCTCTTACAGCTAACTAATTGACACGAGCAGAGAAGAAGGCAACGGAACCGTCTATACTTAACACAATCTTTGTATACAAAATCAGTAATGAATCACAAATGTAGTCTTGTCCGGCAATCACTCATTTCAAAGCTTGGCCACCCTGGACCTGCTCGCCATAATGATTTTGCCGAGTACGAGCTTATGCTCATATATGTATACGTGTTTCACGCATGAAAAACAACGCGCTTGACCTTAACCATGGCGCTGTTAAAGGTACCTTAGGTATCTTTAACGGTTAGTAACTCACCCCACCTATAACAAGCTGTCCTGTAGATTGAATATGGCTACATTAGCTCGTTACGATCCGAATCTAGGGTGCCAAGGTGGGATGGGAAGCCTTTGGTCACAAGAAAAAGTGGGAAGTGCCGGGAAAAGTGGGAAGTGCCCGTTCTCCGTTATTCCAATACTAGTGAAACTAATACTTTTCGCATGGTCTTCCTAACGTCAACTTATATGATGCCCAACACGGTTTAGAGAACAACGCGTGCTTTCATGATTCTGGGGTCCCCGTTGCCCGGTTCCATTTTCTTTCCTTCGTTACTTGCTGCACGGGGCGAATCTGACATGATGCTGCAAGGAACTGTTTTATAAGTAAACTGCTGCAACCATATTTCTGCATTCGGTTACCTCTCCGTGTTTTTCACTTCTAGGGCTCGGCCTCGACCCGCAACCCAACCTCTTGTTAATCTATACGTGGCCACATTGAAATCCATATTTAGCTCGACCGACGCGTTAATGGCGGTTCTAAACTCTTGTGCGCCTTGGCATGCCTTAAAACATGCAGCAGTGCAAGTAGCACACTGCGACATGCAGGACCCAATTACGAGTCGCACAAAAACCATTAGCTCATGGTACAGGCCCCATGTCGCCTGGATGGCTGGACCTCTGCACCAACACCGGGTGTAGCACCCTCAGGGACATGCACACCCAGATCATCGTGACTACCTTTCGACATTCGGAACGCTCGTCAGTTGGCTGCTAATGAGCCTACTGTAATTCGACGTCACACTGTAACCCGTAGCTTTCATGCCCACGTGAAAGGGCACGCCATGGTGTCTGCCCCTCCTTTCCATTCGCAGCTGGATGCGTAGCTTCCGCGCCGCTTACTGAGTGGGGAATCATGGTCGTCCCTATGAAACTTGGTTGGTTGTGGTGGTGACCAGCAGGATTGTCTGTACTTGGGCCAAGGCCCCTTCAGCAGTCCTCATGCTAAGCTCTGGCCGTCGTGTTTAAAGAGACTCCTGGGCCAGTTTGTTTGAAGGGAGTATTGCTGGGCTGGCCCCTGACTCTAGTCGCTATTATTCAGCCGACAAATGTTGAGGCTGGATACCAAAAATATCTTTTTATCGCTTAAATTTCCTCCTCCTCTTTCTGAATTATCTCTGAAAAGCTAGTTCTTAGAAAAAAACTGTGGCTGATCTTAAAACAAGCAGCAGTAAGCCATTTGGGTTTTAGGGCTCAGTTATAATGCTGCAGACTATTTAACGGTATGCGTTTACGACACTTGGGGCATACCGCAACAAGAGCCATTCATTCATTCACCTCTAAATTCCATTTTTGCCTCATAGCTCCAAACATTAGTACCACCGACATTACATCTGGCAATAGGCAGCTTCGACAGCAGACAGGCAGGACCCCTTCCGTTAGCCTGAGGCCTGATGCGGCTTTGATGTGCCGCAACTAGGATTTTCTGCATGTCAAAACAAAAACGACTCTTGAGGGTCCCCGCCACGTGCCACCGCTCCTTGGTTCACAGCGGCAGGTGTTTATTGAATCGAAATCTTTGGGTTCGCCAAAACGAGATTCCGGGCTTTAGGTTCATGCGGTGGTACCACCGACACACAAGCGGCCTTTCGGGACCGAGGGTTGGGCTGAGCTCTGGATGTGGGACGACGACAATGTTTGCAATGATGTCGATGAGCTCCACACGGAGCCTTCTCGGCATGATGCATTCCGGGTTCTGCAGATGTAGACAGCCCACAATCCGCTCTTTTGCGTGTCCAGGTTCCGTGGTTCCTGCAGTCCTATCACAGAGCCCTGTGCACGGTCTGCTGACCATGACGTTAAAGGAAGTAAAGCAGGGGGCATGCGAGGTGAAAGCGATATCGCGTCTTGACGCATCCAGCACAATTACCAGTGTCCTTCAGCAGCCCTTACCAGCAGGCGGACTTGCTGTTACTGCTGCTGGTGAGGCGTGGAGACGAGGTCTAGTTGATGGACTAAGTTTCGCATGCTGAGTTGGTGGTGATGGCTGATCTGTACGGATATCGGGTCTAGGTAGCAGGACCAAAAAAACACCGTCGGTTGTACGGTGAAATCAACTTTCAATGTTATATAGTCCATGGCCTCCCGGCTTTGACGGACCCCTTCCCCCATTCGTGCGGCACTTGTGACTATTACTGTAAGGGATTTGGGTAGCATTAAAAGTCGACTTCAGGAGATCAGAGAGGACGGTTACATGGAAAATTGAGAGGAACCCAGAATGCAAGGGGAGAATGTGTTGTCGTTTGCTGTCGGGGCTCTGCTGCCGAGGGGTGCTGCAACACGGATACGGGTACCGGCGGGCACATGCATGCTCGCGGTATATTATGGGGATGCAGGTTCATAGGCAGAGGGAGCATGAACGCTCGGCCTAAACGGAAAGGCCGAAATGGCCTAATCGCAAAAAGCTCACAAGGCACAATTATTGCCGTACATTGCTTTCGGGGATTTGTCGTGAACACTCTTCTCAATCCAAATGCCCTAGCCCAGCTATAGGTTACGTATGTATCAGCTATTTTAGGCGTGTGTCGCTGGGAATACATCATTTTCGTGATTCGGCGTGGTGGTAGGCAGCCATGGTTTACTCTGCTGCTTTTACCACTGCGGCAACCACCGTTGCTAAGGAGCCGTATCCAAAGGTTAGGACATCATGTACTCTGCAGAAGGACTTTGCTTCCATACGCTCGTGATGGAATGCTACCCTTAGCTCCACAGCATTTACACATAGCCATGTGTCCATAGGGACGAAATGCAAAATCATTTTTGTTATTGCAGACCAAGTCCGCTGAAGACGAGCGTGGCGTAGAACCCCCAGCCCCGGCCATCGTCGCAAAGGTGAGTTAACGCACAAACGTTGCTCATTTACTGTACACATATATTTGCCACTTATGAATCCTGGGTGCTGCAACGGTGCATGCAGGCGGCGGATAAGCATGACCTTTTTTCCTACACTGTAACAAACGCGTCGTTGATTGGCCTAGCGGGCTTAGCTGCTGGCGCACAGGAGGCGTACCTGACCTTTGAGGCAAGCAACTAGCCTGGCACAATGCTTGGGTGCTCTGCTCCGGTGCAGCCCGGTCCTGAGCTCTGACTCGCAACCCCGAAACCCGTTGGTTCCCTTGGCCAATCCCTACAGCGCCTGCCTCCCAGCCTGTCACGGCAGCATTTCAAGCAGGCCAAACTCCTTTTTGGCATCATTGGAAAGAAAACAGCGTACGCGGCGCTGCTGGGTGCTGTTTTCAGCGCCACCGACGCGTATGTGGAGGGGGTTCGTGGCAAGCACGACATGACCAGTGGTGCGATTGCGGGCGCGGTTACCGGCACAATTTTCGGTTTGGGGCGGCCCATGCCGCAGCCTGTGGCGTGGCCCCTGGCATTCGCTGCGACGGCTGTGACGGCCGACCTTATCAGCGACCTACTGCCGAAGTACATGAAGGACTTCAGGTAGGTGGTTCGAGGGAAGAGAGGAACACCAGGGGTTGACGCCAGCATGGCAGGTAAACCCGGAATGCATCAAAATGCCGACGTTAACTGCATGGGGTGAGTTCCCTTACCCGGGATATGGTAGAGGCGAAAGGGCATGCACACCTATGCACACGGGCGGCCCAGTCCAGACCTGTTTCTTCCTTGCATTGTGTGGGTTCAATGCTGATGGCAGCAAACAGACAGCTGTGACGCTGGGGGACTGACTCGTGTCGCCGCATTAGGGATCAGATTGGCGTCGCACTTCCCCAAGCCGTCCGAATGTTGGCTTGTTGCAGCCTGGGAACTGGGAAGCAAAATAATCTTTGCCAGTTAAAGCAGCCGCAGTGCCTAATTTTGCTTTGCAACGATGGCCACTGTGTTTCCTGTCTGGCCATCCGAAGTCCCTGGCCATTGGTTTGGCTCTTGAACCTTAACCTCAGGATGTACGGGCCGCTGGTCAACCGTGAGAACTGGGGCGACCCCGTCCCGCCACGCCCGCCGATCCTGGACACGGGCGCGGCAGTGCGCCCAAGCGACCCTGGCCAGGTGGGTTAGCAGTTGCGATTAAGGGGGGGTGGATGCCCGGGGAGAACAGGGGCGAATGGGTGGGTTCGTGAGTGGCCAGGGGGTTCACTGTGTTCCGAGAGTGTATGGAGGAGGTCAGACCTCTTCTTCGGATTATAGGATTGAGAGGTCCATACTAGAACGCAGGATGCGAAGTTGCGCACATGGGTATGTACGACTGGACTGAGCTGCTGATGCCAAAGGACAGGGAACTGTCGTAGCGCGTGCTGGCTCGACACTCGGCTCGGTCCTGGACAACTCTTTTTGGTGGGGAAAAGTAGGCCGTAAGAAAGGATGCATTGGAGGCTTGAGGGGAAAACGCAACGCGGGGGCTCGTGTCTTCAGGGCGTCCGTTTGCACAGCGGATGGCAGATTTGTGAAGGCTGGTCTGTTTTGTGGGTTAACAATATACGCGATAGGAGGGAGTGGCGCACGATGGGTGTAAGGTCAAGCCGGTGAGGCCATGCTTAGGGGTCAAGGGCACACTGTTGCGAAGGACCGAGAGCTGACTGGGCTCAACGTCACTCTTTGGGCCTTCTGAACAAGTTTTCAAAACATCAACCTTGAGTTCTTTTCCCTGCTATGCCCCTCACATTTTTTTCCGAAATCTTGCAGTTCTGGCGCGGATACTGAGTCGGCCTTCTCAGCTGTACGGCGCCTTTTCTGGGTTTGGGGGGGTTTTCAATGGCTTATGCCCTTAGTAGCTTACTAGCTGTGTTTTCTTTTCAGTGTAGCGGCTGATGGTCAGCACGGTCATCAGGCCTGGCTGTATATGCCTTCAGCAGGTCAGGTCGATGATGTTGAGCGCGTTGCTTGGGGTCCCCAAGACGACACGTAAGTCGTGCAGCCGAACAGGTGATGTTTCGCCGAGGGAGGTGTGTTTGTGTGCCGGGCATGCATCAGCTTGACCCGTGTGAGATGTTCTTGTAGGACATGCTGGTGGGTGGAGGCACAGCTAGTGGTTGTCCTTTGTGAGAGCTGTAAGAAATTACAATGTGGCTACAGGTTTTGGAGGCTTTGGCAAGGTTTCGTAATGCGTAGGCAATGGATTCTTACGCGAATCACGACGGTGGCCTCGGTCCTGCATTGCTGCTCTCCCCGCTGGTAATCTGGATGTGCGCATGAAATGTACGTCGGTTGTGGTCAAACCTGGCTTCAACGGTACCAACTGCAACGCGGTGCAGATCAAATGCGGATATTTCTCGTCTACAAAAAAACTATGCAGCGATTTGTACAGTGTAGCCCAACTGTTAAAACTTTATGTAAATCAATCCCACACCGTTTTTCCAACTAGACGGACGCCCACCACTCATGAACTCTACCGAAATCCTTACAGCGGATTACTAACTTATCACATTTGCTTGGATGACCAAAAAGCGGCGAGCCCCGCTTAGATTGGCAGTAGCCGAAAATGCGGAGACCAACGATGACGAGGAGGAAGCTGCGCCGCGCCCAGCTCCCAACACAAACTTTTTGGGGCGTCTGGTTCGTGGTGTTGCAACCGGAAACCAGCGACAGATGGATACAACCACAAGCAACGCAGCAAATCTGGTGCGCAAGGGCTGCCGATGTGTCGATACAGGGCACCTTACACAGAATTTCAGGGCATACACAGTGGATTACATCTTTAAGCGCATTTTTGATTTCAGTCTGTCAACCATCCAGACCCGTCTCATACCCACATGGTTCCCCATCCCTTCCCCGACCCTAGAAGCCACACCACCACCACCCTGCCCCAAAGTGACAGCCAATCGAGCAGAACACTACCCTCACCTAGCCGTGTATTTGAATGAAATCCTGTTACAGTGGACTCGAAAGGATCGTCAGAACATCATTGCAATTGTTGTCCGTCTTGCTGGGTAGTCTTGCTGCGCTTGTGTGGCAACAGTTTGGCACCGCGCACGCAAGCACACCTCGGGAAACTCAACAGCCAACAACCCACCAGTACATTGCATCCCTGCCAGACTTCATCGCCGAGAAAGCGCCCAACTTCAGGCGCTGGTGCGTGGCATGCTTTACTTTTTCGTACTCTGGCCCTTCACAGCCCCCTTATCCGTGTCTGGTCTGTCTTTTTGTGACCCATTTCTGTCACCGCAGTCGATCGGTGCCACCGGTGCCGCAAGCCTGCGCCTGCAGCTACAGCAAACCAGGTCGGCTCGGTTTCAGACGCTGCGCCGTGTGGTGCTATCTAGCGCAGAGCGGCAGCGGCTGACGCTGTGTACGGCGCTTCTGGCTGAGGTGCGAACAAGAGGAGAACTAAACATGGCGTAGACCCAGGCCCCGCATAGACCACCACCCTCCACTCCACCACCGCCCTTTGCTGATTGCGAGCCTTGTACCGGGGCAAAGCCAACAGACACCAGGAACCTCGGGGACGCCCATCCATCCATAATCGCTTGCCTGTTGCGCTGTCACCAGCATTCCTGCGTAGTTCGGGTGTGTCTCCTCATCCTCCGCTGCCGCGAACAGATGTTTGTTCGCATCTAGTTTTACGTTACGTCCGATGCGGAGTCATGTGGAGGCATTGCACACACGGGGTCCAACTCCGGAACCTCATTGCCCGATGGCACTTAATGCCTATCTCCCGGCCTTCCTGCCGCCGCTGCGCTGGCTCTCAGGTGGCTCAGGGCTTCGGCTTCCGGTTAACGGTGCGCCAGCCGGACGGACAGGAGGTCGGCGCGAGGCAGGCCATGGAGGCGGTGGCGCACTTGCAGTCCCAGGGCCCCACAGATACTCCGGCCGCCGTCACTGCCGCCGGTGCCGCGGCGGGCGAGGAGGCCAACGTGCCGGCGGGCAATGGCGACGGCACCGAAGCCGTGCCACCTGACTCGCAGGATGCATTGGCACCTCTGGATGTGGAGCTGGGTTTGGCGTCGGGTGGTGCGGTGCTGCCAGGGCAGGCGGCCGGGGTGCTCAAACCGCTGGTGGGGGGAGGCCTGGCAACTCGCCTTGCGAGGTCTCCGGTGAGGGAAACGCAACTCCACCTTTGTGTACGGGCACTTGCATCTCTAAGCGTGTGCTTGTGGGTAGGCGTACATGAATTATTGCCCGTGGGTGCATTCGGCTCACGGAGAAGTCCACGGAGAGTCGGGGCCGCGCACGCACATTATTGTGTCATATTAAGAAGGAGAGGCGCCGTTTGGAGCGTGAAGACATTGGGGACCCAGCAGCTTAACCCACCGCGCGGTCCGTATGCCCCTTGTATTTCCTGTAACTACAGAGCGGGCTGCGGCCGGTGCGTCTTGGCAGCCGTGGCAGCCTCACGGCGCTGATATCAGGCCGTCTGATGTCAGCAGCGCTGGGTAGCATGGGCCTGACTGGGGCGGGCACAGGCACCAAGAAGACGGCGGCAGTACAGGCCGTGCAAGCGGCCAGACGGAGGTACGCTGGCTTGCCGAGGCTGCGGTGTCTTTTTACATGTACCTACGCCGTGAGGAGAACCATAGGCGGGATGTGCGAGCAAGGCGGGCAAGGCCCGCTGCCTAGTTGCAGATCTTTGGAAAAATGAGTGCGGTTTGGCGCTCGGGGAGTCCCGGGGATGTCGGCCGTATTGGCGTGCTTCTGCCTCACTTCCTGCAACTGTCCTGGTGAGCTTTGGAACGCGCAACGCAACGCTTGCATGCGATCAATATCACGGCTTGTTTAAGCCAATTCATTTCCATGTTGTTTTGCACCAGGCTGGTGCAAATGAACCTGGCCCCACCCCGGTCCCATCCCTATCGGTGTCCCTGTTCCCGTCCCCATTTTCCTTCCGTGCTCCTGGCAAACATGCGGGACGTGGGCAGGATCCTCATGCGAGCCGCGTCCAACGCGGCCGCTGAGGAAACCGCTGCAGCCGTCGCCAACGCTGCTACGGCAGAAGCAGCAACGGTGGCAACGGCGGCGGCGGATGTGGACCTAGCCATCCACACAGCCGCACAGGAGTCAGTGTCCCCGGGCAACAACGGCGACACCTCCGCAAATGCGCCCGCCGTGCAGAGCAGTATTGTGGGGCCAAGCAGCTGCGGCGGCCGGCACATCGTATGGGACCCGGACAAGCTGCCTAAGCTGCCGGCGGCAGGGCAGGTGCAGCTGCACGTCAAGGGCACAGCTGCGGCCGGCGCGCGGCTGGAGGACTCCGCAGCTGCTGTCGCACCTCCGCCAGCGAAGCGCGCCCGCATCTGGGATGCGGCTGCAGCGGCGGATGCTTCACCACCTAGGTCGTCGTCAGCAGGCGAGGATGGCAGGAAGGAGCAAGCACCAGGGCACCGGCAGGCGGATACGGGCGCTATGTCAGGGGGGATGGTTAGAACAGAGGAGGGCCACGGAGGTGAGATGAGGGTTGACGGGGGGCAGCAGCGCGGCGCCGGAGGCGACGAGGAGCCCCCTGGACACGCTGGAGCGGTGAGTACCAGCGGTGCCAGCGGCAGCCGCAGGGACACGGAGGGAGATACGGAGGGGGAACGGCAGCGTGTTGGCCGAGGCGACCGCGTGGGGGACCCTGACCTGGATGCCCTGGATAGCCGCTCCAGACCGAAGCGAACGGATAGCGCCGCCGAGGCGGGGACCAAGGACCCGGGGTCCGGTCGGTCAAGCAGGCTCCTGGGGACGGCGCTGGCAGGCTCAGCGAAGGCGACGGCGGTGGCAGCCGCTGCCGCGTCAGCGGCCGCTATTGCTACCAGCTCTCGTCGGCCTCGCGCCCCGATACACACCGGTGCTCCAGCAGGATGTGTGTCACGGAGTAGCCCCACCGCCATCGCAGCGCCGTCATCGGACGATGCTACAGACACGGAGGTGGCTGCCGTTGTGGCCGGAAGCGGCCGGACGGCACCCAGGAGTACATATGAGGCTGACGGGTCACCGGGTTCAGGAACGGCTGTGACGGGGACGGGTGCGGGTAAGGGGGTCGCTACATCAGCGAGAGGAGGAGCGCAGCACGGGGGAGGGTCTGGTGGTAGTGGCGCCGCCGCCGGCCCAACAGGCCTGGGCTCTACCGAGAGGGGAACCGGGGCTGGGGCTCTGGTAAGCCCTGCGGGAAAGCTATTTGGCGCCGCCATGCGCCAGTTGCAACGACGGAGCCAAGGGTGAAGTGCGGGGTCGGGTTTCTGGGCTGTGACACAGTGGCTGGAGTCGGCGGACATTGAACCGGACTGCGAGGGTGAGGTGCATCCGGGACTTTTTGAGGAAATTGCTGTCATTTGTAGGTAGGAGGTAGGTGCTTTCGCTGAGGGGGGTTCATTAGGAGGCGTCAGAGTTCAGAGGTCCGTGCGAAGTAAGTGGGCTTTCGCAATGGGATAAGCGTTGGGCCTGGGGGCCTCCGGGAGTAACCGCGAAGTGAGGGGGCCGGAAGGGGGTAGAGGGTAGGACACAAGGTCGGGGAGAGCAATTCTTTGGACTGCCCCGGTCGCACAATTCCTGTGCTTCCCTAATTCGACACCCCGAACAGGCCAATTCTGACTGTCCGAATGTCCCTGCCAGGCCAGTTTGACACCCTGACAGGCCAATTCAGGCCCAGCACAGTGCAATTCCGGGGCTCCACAGCGCAATTCGAATACCTCAGGCGAGCCCGCCACAACAATTCAAGACCCCGGCGGACCAATCCTTGTGACAGGAATAAAATCCAGGCTAATTCTGCGACAGAGCTCTTCCCCAATTCCAGCCCGGATCCTACCCTCCTAAGGGGGCCACTCGCTTATTATTTAGGTTCCCTTAACCAGTGTGTCCTCTCCAAGAGCTAGTGTGTACAAGGCAATGGCAGCAGCGGCGGTGGTCGAGGGTGAGGACCATGTCAGGATTTGACGGTGTACCGAACGAGACAGATCTGGAGGAGGCATCGCGACCTGTAAGGCGCGCTTTTGCAGGCCACGGGGGATGCTATTTCCTCCCGAACATTCGCCCGGCCAGCTTACAAACCCCCAATCCCGTCAGCGCAGTCCTGCTCCTGCCCCACAGTTGACACTAGGAGACTTGCCATCTCAGCAAGCTCAGTGGGAAAACCCTATTGCGACAGGTGCAGCGGCAACGTGTTGTAGTCGGGGACACAGGAGGCGAGCAGCAACAACCAATGACGTGGGCGTAATAGAAAGCTCTTGTGCTACTTCGGTGCTTATCGTTCCTGTATTCAATGTTCGTTCCGAAGGGTGTAAAAGTCCAACTGTCCGGCCCCGACCCTAGCCAGCCGTGCTAATGTTTTTTAGGCTGTATGTTCTAGTAAACACAGTACCTTGTAAAGTCCTTACAGGGCACGTCTGGGTTATCCAGCTTTTGTGTCCCACTTGTTTCTGAGGGAAACCCATGGTGTCTCAGGCCAGCACCGTTGAGGTTTAACGCGTAAACGTGTGTAATGATGTCTTCAAATTCAACAATAACGTAGGTATTTGTTCTCTGTTTCTCAGAGAGCCCCGCCTGCGCGGTCGCCCTGGAGCTAACTCGGCAATCCCAAAGTCCGAGTCCCTGCACATGTTTCCCTCTTTCCCTGCACTTGCCCTTGCCCTGCCGTTTGCAAGAAACCTAGCAAGATGGGTACGTTAAGAGGGATTTCTCTGGTCAGGGCTTGTTCGGCCGACATTTCAGAATAAGTCGGCGTTCGGCTGAAGTAGTTTGTTGATTCAATGCCGTCAAATGTTTGAAACGAATTGAACCAGAGCACATCAGGCTTTGTGCATAATGCTTAAGCAACCTGTCCAAGCGGTATACTAGTTACAGCTTTTCCATTTCCGATCAAGGATATTGTTTTAAGCAACGATAGTAGGTCAGCGGCATCAATCTAACACGTTACATTCCGGGCTGGTGGTTGCCGCCCCGCCGCCGCTGTGACGATGGCCTTGCAGCCAAGGTCAAGATGCACGAGCTCAGGACCAAGAGCAAGCAGGAGCTGATCAGTCAGCTCAAGGACCTGAAGAGCGAGCTCAGCGCCCTGCGCGTTGCCAAGGTGTGCCTTCGTGTCTCTTGGCCGGAGCTGCATCACAGCTCTGTGTGCCACGTGGACTGGAGCTTACCCATTGCATTATCGCCCATGGGGAAAGGCTTGTATCGTCCGAACGGCTAACACGCGGTTTCTTGGGACTAAGCAGTACATTCCCGGCACGGTTTTGTATAGCGGGGGTTCCCATAAATTCAATCTGCTCAATCCCGTTCCCTGTAGGTCACCGGCGGTGCCCCCAACAAGCTGTCGAAGATTAAGGTGGTCCGCAAGTCTATCGCTCGCGTGCTGACTGTGTACAAGCAGAGCCAGCGCACCGCTGTGCGGAACACCATTAACGAGGAGAACGCGAAGAAGAAGGGCCGGGTAAGCTTTGGGAGATGATATGGGGGTTCGGGGGCTGCCCGGACTCAAGGTCAAGAAGCTTTCGGGATGGCTGTACCGGTGGAAGGCATATGCAGGACCTGCGGCAGCAGGACGCGGGAAATGGAGGTGGCAATTGCAGCCGCAAACAGCAGGCAGCGACGATATTGCGGCTTGCATCAGTGCAGCTGCCATGCTTCCCGGGATTGCTCGAGTGGCGTACTTTTTCCTGCCCTCACTGTCCAAGAGGCGCATGATACGAACTCTCCATGCAGCCCTACTATTTCTCTAGTACGTTCGTCTACACCATCGTTATTTCCACCGTCGTTAACGGATTTCCAAGCTGCTGGGCAGCTAATCGAAATGGAAGCGTTGTGGCAGCGGGAAGGAGACGTCTGGGGGCTACCTCTCGGTGACAGAAGGTACAGGGGTGGCGGAAGCATTGACAGCACGGCTAAGCACCTTTTGGAGCTGCACTATTTTCTTGGCAAAGACAAGCGACCCGTCACGGCCTAATTATTCGACGTTGTGATGGCGGAGATTCGAGCTAGGCTCCATGAGCGAATGCTCGATCGATCTGGCCGCACATTTGCTCAGCAATACTGCAGCTGTCGATTACCGCCGTGGCCACCGGGATGCTTGAGCGACAGGGCGCTAGTGCCAATGTTGTGGACAGCTCTGCCGTGTTATCGAGACACACTTGGCCGTTGGGCATCTTAAGATTTCTCCGACAGCGCCAAATACGTGCAGCATTATGGTAGCCACTTTCCTTCCAGTGTTCATGAGCGGCCAGGCGCCGCTTCTATTCTAACGCCTCGTTCGGCGTGTGCCGGGACCTGGTCAACAGCCGTTGAAGGCTTTTTCAGGGCAAGGGATAGTCTTATCACATTGGCACGTGCTGTCAACGTATTATTGTTATACCCCAATGTGATGTGCCCGCATAACTTATAAACATTGTCAACCACATCATCCCGGTTTGCGTGTTACTTATACTACCTCCATGCTGTAATCGCTTGCTGACTTCTGCTTTGCTCAGCAACACTGGAACCTTTCCTGAATATCACCGAATGCCTGGTGGCATATCGCTGTTCTTGCACCTCGCAGAAGTTCCTGCCTCTGGACCTGCGCCCAAAGAAGACCCGTGCCATCCGCCGGGCCTTGACAAAAGAGCAGGTGCGTCCGACCGTCAATGCATGTGTGTTGATAGGGAGGTGGCGGCTTCGGTAGTGTCCAGGCATCAGGCTGGTCGAATTTCATTATCGGCAAACCTGCGGATCGTGCCAGGATTCCGGGCCTGCATCATTCTCCTTTGCATCGGGAATTGCGTTGTTGGCTGGATATGCAAGCTAAGCTGCATGCGTTGCAAGGTGTCATTAGGTGGGCTGTGGTACCGCATGCAGTGGTGTTCGGTTTTGTGTAGAAGAGCTGTGCCATTTTATTACCTACACATTGTCGTGGCTTGGGAGTTTCCTGGGCAGCCGCTATATCACTTGCATGTGATGGAGCACGAGTTTGCGAGGTGACCATCTGTGAGTAAACTCACAGGCCAGGTCTCCTAAAACAGGCAAATTAGGGCGTCAATGTCTGGAGCACCTCGCCGCTTGGTATGCTGTTGAGCTTCACATTGCCACACACATGTGGCCAGGCACCTGGCTTGCTATGTAACAGTACAACATTTGGTTGCATCGGAAACCTGTATCTAGTGTGAATAGGTGCCCTTGTTATCTTCGACCCTTCTTGTTCCTTTTTGTTTGGCTGCCGACAACTGCCCTCACGCCAATGTCCACAGGCGAACAAGAAGCTGGCGAAGGAGGAGAAGCGCGCTAAGGCGTTTCCCAAGCGCAAGTACGCTCTTAAGGCGTAAAGAGCCCACTGGCAACGCGGGCTGTGGTGTGCTTGTAATGCGTGTGCAGTGTCTCACTTATCTTCCTGGGCTGAACTAACTGTTACACCAGTTTTTAGTCACAGTGCGAGGGATTACCGCATTAGCGTAACGAATTTTAGGGATACTAGATAAAGCGCGCTTACAAAAGAACAGACTTAAGGCACCTCTTCTGTACTCCATAATCTCTTGACGCATGGGTGTTGGTTACTGTAGCTTGGATCCCTGTATTGAGCATGGGCAGCACAGCGGATGACACATGAAAATTGTTGTTAAGCATAGCCGGGCGCTATCCCCTGGCCCAGCGCCAGCCGCTGATGCAGATCCAACTGTTTGGTACAGCCTGCTGACGCCTCTTACACTAGGGACGGATGTGCTGGTCTTGTACTGAAAGGAGAATATAATATGTTCTTTCCAAAGCCTAATGGAGCAACATGCCTGGGACCGAGGCGATAAAATGCATACGAAAGGATGAAAAGCATGAAGACGTGCGGGTTTGCAGCAAAAGTCAGGATGAACTTGCATGAACACACACCGCTGCCTGCTGGTGAGTGCTGGCGTGGATGCTTACAGATGGCACTTGGCCAGTCTTGGCCCTCTGGTGGCAAGTACGATGCATCCTTGTCACAAACATCATCAACGTCCTTCCGTAGTATAGCAGTGTCCAACCAGTCCACCCTAATCGACGACATGCATGGTGCATCGTTAAATCCAAACACAAGGAAATTTGGTCATGTTTGGCGGTAAATGATGTGCATCTTAACATCTAAGCACGGTAAAGTGAGAAGCAGACCGTCTGCTGTGACATTTCCATGGCCCCGTATCAGCATCGCCGCCAGGCACCAGTTCATTCAGTGAAACGAGCCTTGTAGCAATGCCCGGTCGACATTGTCTGTCACACGTTCTGCGGTGTGATTGCTCCATCTCGGGCAGATAGACCCAAATGGCTCTGGCCCTTACACAGCACCCGACATGGCCACAACGTGCCGTTGCCGTACTTCCAGCTAGCATAGTGCTTGCCTGACGAAGGCTTGTCAAAAGGCTCCTGCTAAAACGGTTGCCACGACTACACCAATCCATGCCTTCATGGCACTACACAGTCCGGAAACGCAGCACCTCAGGAATGCGACATTCCGCGTCCACGACCCATTGCGCGTCGGGCCTCAGGCATCCATTGGAAGCCATGTAAACCTAGGCTATTCATGTCCAAATCGGTGGCGTTCAGTGTTTCTTTTTTCAAAATTGGAGCCAGAGGTTTTTGTAGCTTAGGGAGCGATAACATTTGTCTTTAAGGTGTGTTACTTATCGTTCCTGACCCAAGCGGCTGAGGGTAATACCGCCCCCCAGGACCCCCCCTTGGATAACCAACACAATGCTGCCGTCCTGCATCTGTGTGCAAATCCCTTCCTGACCCAAGTGTCCATCCGGTCCATGCAAAAACTCTTAGGTCCCACAATGTCGTTGTCTTGCTCTCAAACCAAAAACATTCCATGCAGTAAATGCAAATTTTTACCTCAGTTCTCACATTCTTGTTGGTTGGTGACCCACACACACGAACTGCCAGGACCGTCTCCCTCTTCAGCTTCTATCAGCTCCCCGCCCTGAATACCCCGACAACGTACTCTGTTTGTGGCATTTGCGTTGCACAAGATGGTACCCTGGCCAATGAGCTGAGGGCGAAGGCTCCAGTAGGTCACCGTCAGGGGTCGGCAAACGCCGCTGGTACAGCGGGTCCTTCCGTTGTACCCGTTGCAGAAATTCAACTCTATTCTTCATCGCTGGTACGGCAGCCGTACGGCAGGGTGCAGAAATTCCCCCCAAAAGGCAGGTTTGCGCAGTTTTGAAGCTGTAAACTTCATCATTTGGTTACCAAACCTTCCATTTTGCAAGGAGGTAAACGCTAGCTTTGAGAGGTTCTCATAACGAACAGTCAATTGACGACCTTTCCTCGGCTTTTACCAAAAAAATTCCATACAGTTATTCGACCCTGGCACCAGTACCCGTGACAGTTATTCAGGGTTTGCCGACCTCTGGTCACCGTTGATCGCTTCGCTAACGACCTGGCCTTTCTGGAGTCCCCACGTCTCCACAAAGTTTTCTATTGATGGCCTTCCGCCCTTGTTAAAGCTTCGCTCAGCTACATTCCTGTACTTTGCAGCATTAGAACCGTCAAAGATGCATCCTATGGCAAGTCCGCCGGAGGCGCCTGGCTCCGTTTAGCGTAGGAGGCGCCTGGCTCCGTTGGCCAGGTCCGCAAACGCTGAAACTTCGCCTACTGGGCAAGGCAAATATGGCCATATCACATGGCCATTATACATTAGTCATCCTATGCCTTTCTGCGACATCACGTTGGCCAAAATTATTTCTGAAATATACACAATTGAAGATGTAGTAACTATTATCATAAATAGTTTGCCCTATCCGGCCCTTAACAGGGCGAGCGATGGGATGTTTTCGCTCGTTTTCGCTTCCCGAGGGACGTCTTTTTCGCTCGTGATAATAAGTAATAAAACATATAATATAATAATAATAAAAAAGCACTGGTGGCATTGCGCACGTTCAGGATGTGCAATCCTCCAACCGCCGTAAAATGCTTCTTATGGCTGGTTGCAAAACAAATTGCGGGATGCGAGACGAAGTGCACTCTTGCGTACAGCCAGCAACTTGCAAAGTTGCAAGTCGCAATGAAATTGCAAAATCTCGCCCATCTTTTTACGCGATTACATACGTGATTCACGCCTGTAGGGTGTAAACACTGTGCATTTGTGGCTTCCGTGTCTGACGGCCATGGACGATCGCAAGCGCAAATATGCTGAAGTGGCTTGCGGCCTATGTGGCTTCGTCTGTAAGAGCAATGCAATGGGCTCGCACAGACGGAAATGCCAGCGTAGCCTGCTGGAGCCGCCGCAACAACAACAAGGTATGGGAATCGGTGAATATGCTATTGTTTATGCTCCTTCTGGGCTGTAAATGCAAGACACACCTTTGGACGTATGTGCAGGGCAATCGCTAGTGGAGATGATGGCTGGAGAGACTGCTGCACCGCAGGTGGCAGGCAATGACAGCAGCTACACCAGCCACAGCAGTGAGGGCAGCACTCTTGGTAGCAGTACCAGGGCCGATGGTTACAAGGACAAGCACTCTAATGGGTGCAGCAGCAGGCCATACCGCCATGGTGTAGTTCCAAGTGCACCTAGCTCATTTGCTCCACTGTGTCGACAGGAGCCCTCGCCAAGCTCCTTCGTGGCCACTCACATGGTAAATCGCCCCTTCTTGTACCAGCCAACCAGCTCTGGTACCCCACAACGGCGGTTCTGTGCTGGGGAGCTTGTCGAGTTTCTGCAGAAGACAGCCAACAACCACAAGCTGGTCAGATATGAGAGGATAACCGTTGACCAGAACAACCGGCAGCACTTGGTAATTGGAAAGGCTTGGATTCCAAAGACTGCCCTTACAGAGATCCCAGCGGATGATTCCCCAGACCCTCCACCACCTTGTTGCCAGGTGGACCTGGTGTCTTCGGGTGATGATGAATAATTGCTGATTGTCTGCAAGCTCTCAGAGTAGTAAATTGCTTGTTTTCAGGTTCAAAGGTTTCAGGTTTAAAGGAGGTTCCTTCCTTGTGGCCTGTCCATGGGTTTGGTTTTCAGTTAGGTTCTGGGGTCATCTGACTGTAAAATGAGTCAGTGGTGTATCCTGACTCCCATTTGGGCCCTCCTTTGCTGTACAGCAGATCTGGTGTGTCATGGTTTGTGGATTGCAACCCACAAACCATGACACACCAGGTCTGCAATTGCCCTTGTCTGGGGGTGTCTGACTGGTGGGTGGCAATTTCAGGCACCAGGCCGACCCTTTATCACTGCCACCACCTGTAATAAAAAGTGTGTTTTGTATGGACCTTGCCACGAATGGTACCATGTTTATTTATATCATACTAATGATAAGGTGAGCTTGGATGAGACAAACTCTCTTACACTCATTCATCCCTTTGCACAAACAAATCAGAATGATAATATGGGACTGTATGATTGCGTGCACAATCCTCTCGCAAGGTGCCCGAAAGTTTCAGCTATTTGTGCTTCTGTGTATTCTAGTCAAAATAGAGGTGGCCAACACGTTCGCGCACTTGTTTGCTGTAGTAATATCGGTTCAATACTTCTCCCATTCTAAGATCCGCCCTACAGGCGCGGAAAACTGAATCACGTATGTATTCCCTGTAATCGCGTAAGAAGATGGGCGAGATTTTGCAACTTTCTTGCGACTTGCAACTTTGCAAATTGGTAGCCGTACGCAAGAGCGCGGCAAAGTTGCATGCCGTACGTTGTATGAGCGAGGCGGCCTCGCTCATACAACTTACGGTTATGCAACGCAACATGCCAACACGATGCTGTCCATAAACCAGTGCAGCACACACGAACACACATAATACACGTATGCTATCGTCACTATGAAGACAAACCAGCTACATCTAGAAGGAGTACAGTAACATTACCACCGGTCTTACTCTTCACTCGAAATGTGCACATTCCGTTATACATAGATGACAGACAAACACGACTTGCAACAGCGTCACGGCTCGTTCGTCACGTATATCACTGCAGCTTTCCCCTGCAGGACAATGTCACCTGTCACCACTTTTGTGCCCTTGCGGCACTCTGCAACCGCTCACCACCCCGGAAAACCCTACCTATCGACATACGAGAGAGGCCCCATGTATCGGGGTACCCATCACCCACTGCTGACTAGAATGTATGTCCCAGGTTATGTTCAGGTTGGGACGCGATTCCTTACGATTAAGAGCCCCGGATCTGGTCCCTCCCTCCCTCCTGCGGTCTCCCAGTCCAGTGCAAATTCCGGGAGGGAATGCCATCCTGCCCCCGAATACTTCAATATCCACCAGTTCAAAGAATGTTGGAACCCGGTAGGCTAACACCCCAATCCACACGGCGTGCGCCACCCACGCTTCGGCATGGACATCTGCGCTCTCCAACCTGGCTGCAATACCCTCGTCCCGGGGTATACATACAGCCTAAATGTACGAAAGGACTAAAGGGTTAATCAACTATTTATCCCGGGCCAGCCATGATGAACGACAATAAACGACAGGAGTTGCATGCAAGGGTGAGTTGCTGCGACTCGCAGGCGGCAAGAATGCACTGGAAAAGGACGCCCGAGACACCGATCGAGACAAGTGGAGTCATGTGTCCTACCACGGCGGTGTGTGTGTATGTGTATGTGTTGATGATGACGATGCATGCTAGTGCATTGCTGGGCGGTGATGCAGCCGCACGCGGTCTGTCTATGGACCATCAGTTATTGATCGGCAATCACGAGATAAATGCACATTCAATATATGTGAAAGGGAAGGGTAAAGTTTGCGAGGCCGACCCTGGCTTCCGATGGCTTGTACGGTAGATGGCTTGTACGCTACCTAAACGGACGTCGCATCATGCGGTATGCCAAGCGCCCCAGGAAATCATCTAAGGCATCAGTCGCTTGCACGCGGGCTAGCGCCTGCCCAGGAATTTGCCTGACTACCAGGACAGTGTTGCATCTTTGATGTCGAAGCTCCCGTAACCCCACCACCTCGAGCAACACGCCAAATGAGAGACACCACTCACTGCCAGGCGGATTGTGGCGCGCCTTTCCATTCTTCCCTCGCCAGCCTCTTCCGGCAACGCCCCCAAATGGATTGATGCTGCCGGAGGGCGCAGTGACGTGTCAGGTACCGTCAGAGCCCGAGCCCGGATCCAGTGCCGACGGTGCTCGGAGGCCCTGCCCGGGATCCCCTTCACCGTTGATCCCCGGGGCCGATCCAGGGGGGGCTCCGGAACCAGACAGCGGACGGCCATCAGTCCTGATCGTCCATAGGGGGGAGGAAGCGCCGGAACAAGGTAAGTAATTGGGGCCTTGAATCCGAACGTTGACGGCTACGGCTCGGAAGGCAGCAGGAGTTCAGGCTACTCCATGTAACGGCGCCCCACTCTCCCCACGGATTACATCTCTTTCGCAATCTCGTGGGTACTGTTTTCCCACCCCAGTCGCTGCGACTGCTCCTATTCCATGTTGCTACCTGGTTAAGCCACCCTGCCCTACCTTCTCAGTGACCCGGGTCGCTCCATCGGCGGGTGTGGACTGGCCCCAGAACCCGAAGCACCCCTCGGCATCGACAGCGATGGACCAAAGCTCCGGTTGTTGCTGCTGCAGCTAGGTTGCGGCAGCGCTGATGGCGCGTCGGCCTCGAGCAGTGGCTCAGCCACAGCGGCCGGCTGCGGTGGCGGGAGCCCAGCCTTTAGGGAAGTCTGCCGGCGTGCGGGGAAGGCAGGCAGCTGCGATGACGAGGTGGAGCCACCCCTGACGAGGGGCACCGGGGGCCGCTCCACCGTTCCCAGGGTCTGTTCCCGCGGGGCCCCATCGAACGCTCCGGCGCCATGAGACCCACCGTTGTCTCGGGGGTTGTTAGCACTGGCGCTGGCACCGCCGGCATCCGCAGCGGCGGCGAACGGCGACGCCGTTGACTGCCTGCCCGCTCCGTCAGGTATCCGGTCAGCGGTGGCGCCCGACGGTACGTTAAGAGGTTGGGGCCACGTGCCATTTGGGCCAGCTCCAGAAGATCTGTTAAAGCGAGTGGGATGGCGGATGGGAAGGACCTGATGCGGCAGTTGGGTCACTTTAAAACCAAGAGTTCAGTGCGGCAAATGAGGACATATTAGACGGAATGCCGAGGGCGTTGTGCGCTTCCCGTGCCATGCCGCAGCGCAGCTATTTCCTCCCGCAACATGACATATGTCGGCCGAACAGGAAACCGATACGTCCTCGGGAGTGCAGAGCATGAGAACCGCCACCCTATCACAAGCCTTAAAGAAGCACCGCAGTGTCCCTTTTTTACTATCGAACTTTTCTCTCCATCCTCCGCCTCTAAAATACGTTCCCAGGAACCAGCGTTCAACGTAAACAATTCAATACGTACCGCGCCACGGCTGTTGACGACGGCTCTGACGACGGCTCTGGCGGCGCCATCGACTGCCGCGGGGCCATGGACTGCCGCCGGTGGTGTCCTTCCCCAAGATCCATAGAGACTTTTTCCCCGACGCTGGCGGTCATGTTGGGTGCTTGCGTCTTAAGCGTCGCCAGGAATTCATTGTACTGCGCGGAATGGCGAGCCGCGTTGCGGAGCAGAGAGCGGACAACAAAGACCGCGGTAGGCAAGAGGCCAGGCGTGATCCACGCCAGTACGTGAGCCTGTACACATCTTTTTCACCGAAAGACCCCAGCGCCAGGGGTTAAACGGATGCAACAAATAGTTGACTCGAATGCCAGGGTATTTATGAGACGGACTCGAGTTGTCCAGTCGACGCAGGCCGGGAGGTGGGTGAGGGACGGACGCGAGATTTGTGCCAACCCCAAGGATGTCAGCCTCAAGGGGCGGCTGCAATGGGTCACGCATAAGTGCACACAATCTCGCGGTCACACAGTCGCACAGACACTACACACGCGCAGTCGCGCACCCCGATTGCGCCGTCGTTGTTGACGTCCATGATATCCATGAAGGCCGTGATCTCCTCTTCCGTTAGGAGGTCCCCCAGCTCGTGCATGGTTGTGCGAAGCTCCTGGGAGGGAGAAGCCGTGGCGAATGGAGCAGCGCTCGCTAAGGAAAATGCCGCTGCCGCCGTTGCTGCTGAGCTTACCAGCCGCTGTGCTCACCTGCACACTGATTTCCCCGTTGCCGTCCTTGTCGAAGAACTGGAAGGCACGTTTGAGGATCTCGTCCTCGTCGGTGAGGTCCTGCAACATCGAGTGCCTGCGGGGTTTGCGAAGAACGAGTCAGGAAAACGCAAGTGGGAGCATTTCGCTTTAGCGCTTCTAATTTAATTCTTGCTTAAGCGCCTGCGAATCCTGCATTCAGCAAACCCTCTTGTTGCCATAACCCCATCCAGGCGATTGGGGTGTTGTCGGGTTCGGAACTTGATACTTGATCATTGCAGATTCTGTAAATGTCATGTTGATCTGAGCTGCGGGCAGGATTTGGCAAAGATGGCGTATGGCTGTGCGATTGTGCGTGGGCCTAGCCCACGACCTACTGGCGAGTCCAGGTGATTCCGTCCGGATTGTAATTGCAATTTTTCTGGACCCAGTTTCATCCGACCCGACCCAATCCAGGTTAGCCCGTGCCACGTCGGAAAGGGCCTGGCGGATTGCGGCTGGGCGGAGTGCGTCTCTAGCCCAGGGATGGGAGAAGATGCGGCTGACTCCATCGCCGCGCCGCCTGAAACTCGTTGGCGCCATCCAGCACCCAGCCTTCTGTCGTTGCTAATGATAAATATAGTCCATGGACCGGCGCCAACGCAACGACTGGGTCCCCTCCAGCACAGCAGCCAGCGGCCTAACTGACCCAAGGTTCCGTCTAACTATGGATGGGAACCTGGCGCTTGTGGCCTGGCCGAACCCCTTTTGTCGTGGCTGAGGACCGCTGGGAGGCTGATAAGGTGGAGCTGCAACACTCACCTGGCTGGGCCCTCCGGAGATGCTGCAGTCGGCCCGACCGGTGAGGTAGTCATTCCTGGGATACCCACACCGATACTGGTGCGACTGCTCCTGGTAATAAGAATTCAGACTGGCAGGGCTGCATGTGTGGCCAGACAGCGTGCCGCACCATTGTTTTCCTCTCCACGCGGGCATGTCGATCTCCCTTGCTCAACCTCCCCTTACATATATGTCACAGGTCTTAAGGCCCCTGCTCACCATACGTGCGCAAGCTGGCCAAAAGTAAACGTTTTCTTGTGGTGCAGCTTGAACGTGCGGAGTTTGCTGTCAATTATGTCGTCCGTGGGATTCTAGGCGGTGGGCAGGGTTGGGAAGGCGGTCGGACTTTGGTTATGACGAGCCGTGCGAGGAAGGAGGCGGCTTACCAGACCCATGGCATACAGGAAGACGACGAGGTCCTGCTTGGTGAGCTCCTCAAGTCGCGTGTTCAAGCCCAGAATTTTCAGTGCCTTTTGAGCAGTCGCTGCACATGTAAATGCAACGAAAAAACCTTAGTACTCTGGCTGCAAAGCAACAGTAACCGCTGGTCCTAAAGGTCCGAATGGCTGGGCCCATAACCCAACCGTTTCCCACCGATTTGTCCTGGAGTCAAGTTTGCGCTTTCTAAGGTTAGCTCTTCAGACTCGTGGTCTTTTCGTCTCCTGGCGCGTGCTTGAAGGAATCGGAAATGCACAAACATTGCTACAACGCCTTAACTAATGCAAGAGTTATGGAAAAAAGTTAAAGCTGAACATTTCAGCACGTCATTCGAAAGGTGCAGGCTCTTGGCATAATAACGATGCAGCGTCAAAGCGAAAAATTCTGCTAGGTACTGCCGACGTACGGGTACGGAAAAGGAAAGACGTGCACTTCGGTCACGTATCTGAGCAGCGAGGAAGTTACCTTTGCTGTGCATCGTCCATACACCTATCCAGCTGGCTTAAAATTCACTATGCATACTATGCAACTTGCACAGCGCCAGGCCGGACCATATGGGCTACATCGCAGCCCCGTTGCTCAGCTACGGCGCGCTCTGGTGCAAGCTCATGCCAGCACAACCTCGCAAGTGGATTCAATCAAGCAAGAACTTCTAGGAGTGGTATCCCGGACGAGCCGAGGTGTGAGCACTGGCCCAGCAGACCTAAGTTTAATCCAGGACGCGGTAGCACAGCTGCGCCGCGCAGGCGAAGGCTTGGAGACGACTGGGCCAGCCCAGTCGGGTACATGGGAGCTCGTATGGACTTCCGAAAAGGTAAATTTCCTAACGGGGTATGGCTGTAGAGATTTCTGCTGTAGCCACCTGAGCGGGAGGGCACATGTGATGCAGACCAACAACACAGCAGAGCGTCTCGCATGGAACCTCCCCTTGCCCCGGCTTTGCGCATGCTATCTGCTAGAGGAGCCTCCACCCATGCAGCATAATTAAATGGTTTTGCCTGTGCACGGCCCTCAGACGCTACGGTCTACCATGATTATCCTGTCACACACATGCCTACACGCGCTTGCTCCCTCATAGGAAACCCTCTTCATCCTCGAACGCGCTCCGCTATTCGGGACACAGGCAGGTGCAGTTTATCAAGTCATCGACACTGGCAAGAGCAGTAGCAGCCAGGGCAGCTACTTGCAAAACGTCATCACCTTCCCGCCAGAAGGCGCGTTCATTGTCGATTCCTCTTTAATGGTGGCGGGGCGGCAACGAGTGGAGTTCAGCTTCACGGCCGCCAAGCTGAAGCTGCCAGGCGGACGCGCGCTGGGCCTGCCGCCATTCGGCAAGGGCTGGTGCGTGGGCGGGGGTGCGGTTCGGATGGATAGGGCTTAGGAGAAACACGGCAAACCCGGACATGGCCCAAACGAAGCTTGGCGAGGACATTAAGAAGAGGTCAACCTCTTAGGCAATGCCTTGGAGAAGTCCTAGGGTTATAGGGGTCGTCGTGAGGCGATGGGACGGTTTGTGTAGGGGTCGGTGGTGCGGCAGGTCTGGGAAAGCAGCAGCGCGGTGTGGGAGGGTCTACGGCGACTGCGGGCCTCTTGCCGATTGCTTTTACCATGCTTTCGTAACTTGCCAGGCTCTGGGACTGTGTTGGGTTGCCACTTGTCAGCACCCGCTTTTCTAATGTGGTGGACTGGGATGGGTTGCAACGGATCCGACTAGGAGGGACTGGATAGATGCCTGTACACCAAACCTTAAAGAAGCCTTCCCTTGGCCTCCCCGTCAGGTTCGATAACCTTTACCTGGACAGCGACCTGCGGGTATCTTACGACAGCCGTGGAGACACGCTTATCACGCGGCGTGTGGGCGCACCGCACCGCTTCACGTGAAAGCAGTGGACGAAACGAGACTTCTTCCACCGAGCCGGCTGCCCGGCAGGCGGGTCTCATGGATCCACGTCCAGCGTGGGTTTCGGTATAGTATGAGGAATTCAAGGCGGCTATGGGCCTAAGCCCCTAGGGAACCGATCCTGGAATGAGGGAGGTACCGACCAGCGAGCTGGACGAGTACATGCACGTGTTCTTGTTGGGGCTGCTGCGAGTTGGATTACTTCATCGATAAGGAAGATAAGGAGTTGATAAGGAGTTTGGTTTTTCATCTCATTTTCGGCGCTTTCCTACTGCAAGCTTTCTCAGTGAGCTCTTCGAACACAGTCAGATGGTCAAAATGGTCAACACTTCAGGAGCGCCGCTTGTTCGACGGCTTGGTGCCTAGGTGGGATATGCGTGTAATGCTTTTCCTGTTCTGACACAAAGCGTGGCGGTGAGAAGAATTGGGGTCCTGGTACCTAGTGCACAAGCGACTACCACCGTGTGTGCGGAATCAGGGAGGGACGAGGGCTCTTCACGGCGAAACCCCTTTGAAGGCAGGGCCGTCAGTTGCATGACTTCTTTCGTTTTAAACACAATTTTGTGAATGCCGAAGCAATTTATTGGCTCGGGCTGGACGCCCTGTTGATCTGGGTTTTTATTTTTTTGAGCCCTAATGATTCGCAAGGATGTTTGTTTGCTTGTCCGCCATCTGCCTGCCTGTCTAGCTGTTTATTGCTTATTTGTCGATCTGTCCAAAGGTATTATCTCGTGAGGAAAGTGGACACATGAGATAGTGACCCTGGTGTTACAGTTCACAGAACGACCTGCTAACACTGCCGCAGCTGAGAGTAACACGACCAGCGAAACTGCCAACAGAGCAGGCCGCAAAGGCTCAAGGCTGACAGGAAGCACACAAGCTGTGTTTGCACAGAAACACGAAGAACGCTACAAACGTGTTTTCGCGACGGCCATAAGGACTGCCGAGGAAGGCTCCGAAAGAATGTACAGCCGGCAAAGATAACGACGATTTTGATGCCGGCGGTGCCGCACAGGGAGGCGGAGGAGTTTTTGTGGGTGCAAAAGTAAGGGGGAAGGGTCAGCGGAGGATGTAACAGCGCACGCGAAGTGCGTACACGCGTCGATTGACGTCGATTTAGGGTAACATCCTGTTAGTAACGAATTTGTATAACAGACAGGTATAAGCAGTGTTCTCTGTTGCACTGCTTTTCAACAAGGCGTACATAACCTTTACGTGCATAACACACAACACACATCGATATACATTCCCTTAACACACCAGCTGGGACTTTGCCTCGTGTTCACGGAAAGACGTCCTCAAGTCCACGGCACGCAATTACTCATTTGTCCGCGGCTTTTGTCAAACACATTTCTCCCTACCAGCACCACCAACACCAACACCACTGTCCTCCAGGGGCCCAGATGCACGCACTAAGGCGGGCCGGCAAAGCACGCGCGCAAGATCGCCGCGTGCCAAACAGCTGTCGGTGCAACTGCATTCGCAGCAATTTTCAGACAATAGATGGAACCTTTACGCGCGCGCGTGGCTCACGTACACGCGTCCTTCGGCATGCCATTAGGTTTGGGAAAAAATGTCTTTGTCTTGTGAGAGAGGGGTGCGAGAGCATATATCTCCCACGGAGTTCATGACAGCCTTGAGGCACGGCAGCATTAGCCCCCAGTCCCCATTTTTCCACGCACATACATGCACGCAATGCGCAACCAGGAGCCGCGCAAGTGACACAAAATACAGCACAAATTAAAACTGCGTACAAATCCGCGTGCTCAATGACCAGTTCACAACACCAACTCCTGCCATCCACATCCAGTAGCACCCGACGGTGCCATTCCACGCCTCGCACCCCATCCCACTCTACCCATCCCTCCGCGGGTTGGGTCTTTGTCCAAGTCCGTGCTGTTCATTGCTCCACTCCGCCTACACAATTCCTCTACCCTTCAGCGTGCACGCGCCCAGGAAAAGATTGTTCGGTGTCCCAAAATTCCCCAAGAGGTCCCAAAAGTCCCCAACTGATTGTCGTGTTTTATGATGTGGGACCTTACACCATGGCCTCGACTGTCAACGACTCCAGGGAAGAAAAACTTCGAAATACCTAAGAGCGTCTTAATGTCAGGATATTGCCCCCAGAGTGCGCAAGGCAACAGTCCCGCGGGTTCCACATGCAACCTTCCTTGTTGACGGCCCGCTGCCACACTTGCAGCGTCCCGGCGACTGCTCTAGTAGGTCGTCTTCCTTGAATGCAGACACCCACGCACAGAGAAAAGCTCAGCTCATGAGGCGCCTTCCTGCAACTGGAACGGCGGCGTTGACAAAAGCCCGCTCGTTGTCAAGGCCATAGTGTGATAAGTGCGGATTGAAACCCATCATGGGCTTCGTAGCATAATGGAAACCATGAATAATTGGATTAGTGAGCAGCACGATGCGTGATAACAGTGACCAGGGCCAATCGGCTATGGCACCGAGGCGAGGATCAGCAATGCGGAGGCGGCAGCAGCAGCAGGCCGGGGTCCCGCGTTCTCGCCTGCCTTTTTTGCATGCTTCATACACCCCTTTGAAAACCTGCAAAGCCGCCCAACGCGCCTGCTTTGTGACTCCTGTAACCGCGCCTGAGTAGTCAGAAAGCCAACCAGCCCAAGAAGCCAGCCAACCCATTCCCAGTTCCAAGAGCGTGCCTGAAGCTAGAGGCCTTGCTGCATCGGCCCATCCCTGACAAATACGTGTGCCCAAGATCCAACCTACCCCCCCATCACGCTGCTTTTCCGTCTTCAAAGACAGCCACTGCGGCTATCCGGCGAGCGGCTGCCTGCTGATCGGCTGTGGCGTCCCGTTGAACTGCTGCGCCCAGGCGAACGGCTGCGGGCACGGCCTGCCGACTCCGCCGCCTGCGAGACAGACTCCTTCAGCGCGACCGCCACTTCCGCCGACGCCTCCGCCACGGCCTCCTTTCTCTTGGCGCCCTTCGCCGCACTGCCGGTGTTGCCCGCTGATACTGGCCGCCGGCTGCCGCCTCGTCCGCCAGAAGCCCCGTCCATCTCCGCCTCAACCATTTTGGCTGGCGACTTGGGGTTAAATCCCCATGGCAACTTACGACTGCTAGTGGAGAACGAAGTGCGGATGGTGCCACCAGAGGCGGCTGCCGAGCCGGTGCGGCCGGCACTGCGCGGCGTCCGTTTGCCGCCAGACCCTTCGTGGTTGCCACCCGCCGACTTGGGCCTTGTCCGGGCCGAGTGAAAGGCAGTTGGAGAGCCCGCGGGGCTGGATGGAGTCGAGCTTCCCCCCTGCGAGTAGCCCTTGGGAGTCCCAGGCTGCGACTTACGACGGTAGTGGTCCTGCAGCCGTGCGCGTGTGAGGACAGACATGGAAACCAGGTGTGGACATAATGTGTTAGGAGGAGGACGTAGGAAGGCGGTTAATTGTTTGGGCCAGTACATGCCAGGAAAATATACGAAATTGGACACACAAGAGCCTCCATGGCAACGCTCCACTCTCGCAAAGCCAATGCCGAGATGTGAAAGGGCGCCGGCCGATCCACCATGTGTAAGGCAGCGCCCTTTGCTATGTCGCACCTTGAGCTCGTCCGACACCGCCAGCTCCTTCTCCAGCTGGTTGACGCGTTCCTGAAGACGCATAATCTCGCCGCTCAAGAAACGGACCTCCTCCAGGTGACGAGTCACGTGGATTACGCCCTCGTCCTTGCAGCCTGGCAGGAAAGGATGGTGGAATGTTGATGACACGGCGCGATACGCCGTGAGTCGTAGGTGGAACGTCGGGAGGACACAGGTCGGCAGTGTGTATCCAATCAAACGTAATATTCGTTGTCAACGTGTCGTACAATGTTGCTGGCGCCCTTTAGCTTTCCAAAAAGGAGGCAGGAATGCTGGACGGAAGCTCCCTGAGAGGCAACTCACCCAGCCTCACCAGGGGAGATAAGGACCACAGGCTAGGCCGCCCGATCAGCAAGACACAAGACCGACCGCGGTCGCCGACTTCGTGCAACCACACTATGCACCACGAAGCACAGCTTTGACCTTGGTAAGCATCCCCAGCCCAGTACCACAGTTCCCTGCTCACCAGCCTTGACCTCCGCCACCGCCACCCGATGTGCCACGGCAGAGGTGCGCGCCAGCTGCTCTGCCAGGATGCTCACCTCGGACTCCAACGCAGAGCACCGGGACTCAGAGACCTGGGGAAGCAGATGGCAGGGAGAAGGTCAACAGGCAATGGACAGGTGCTGGGAAACTGCCACGCAAAAACAGCTTCCCCTTTCCTCGCCTATCTACCCTGCGAAATATATGTTCCTCTTCCCCACGTTTACCCGCCCCCACCAACCTTGAGTGCAGCGTTGCTCCTGGCTGCCGCCTCCTGCGCCGACTGCAACGCCGTACGGGTCTTGCCCAGCTCCGCCGTCAGCTTGACAATCTCGCTATCACTGAGGCGCAGTACATCCGCAGAGGTACGGCAGGCATTCTTCTCCGTGTCCAGTTGACGAAGCAGGTCCGAGACCCGGTTCTCCAGGTCCGCACACTTGGTCCTGTACACCTCAACATCCTCCATCTGTGGTGAGGGACCGGGTTCAGGCGTCAGGGTTCAAACGCAATTGGTCCGCACAGTTGTGATTACCTTATCATTACCGTGTTGCAAATGTCGTTGATACCGCTAACCGCCCGCGCCAGATCCGTCTCAGCAGTTCCCTTCTGCACTCCTTGCTTTGCAGGACCCCAAGCGCAGGACAAAGGACAGTCCATCAATGCAATGGCATCGCTGCAACTAGCAGCGAGCATTAGATGCAATCACGGAGCGTGCTCTTCCTATGTGTAGATGCACGCGTGAAGCCAGTAATGTGTTCGCCTAGAAATCCAGACGTGGCCTTGGGGTGCAGTCCTGGAGTCTAGGGAGCACGCGCTTTGGTAAAATGTAGGTGGTGGGATTCGCCTCTGCCGTCACCTTTCGCTGCAGGGAGTGGATCTTCCGGTCCTTGTTGCGAAGCAGGCTCTCCAGCACCTGGGGCAGCACCATGACGGGGACAGCAAAAAGGGACACCATCGGAAATGGGAAAAGAAAAGCAACCGCGGGAGGTAACGGTACAGCACTACCTTCACGCATGCGCTGGTGAGGAGCGGTGGGAAGAGGAAGGGAGTGTTGTAGTGTTCTCACCCTTGTACTGTTACAAAACCACCGAATGAAGTCCGGCGGTGCTCTGCATTACCGTAGGGCCTGGATGCACGGGACCGGCCCAGGGCGCCGCGCTCTTCCATTTTCCCTCCTCCCTCTGCCCCTCATTGCCGTCCATTTTTCCTTGTTTCCCACGCTTAACACACGTCGCACCAACTCACCCCGCCTGCTAACCCCCGCCGCTTTCCCACAGCCCGGAGCAAGCCTCTTGCCTCCCGTTTCGTTCTTGCCCTTCTAGATGCACCCCTCCACCAATCCTGCATTATCTGCCTTCCGGCCGAGATCTGGCTGACCTGCTGAAACCCCAAACGACAACACCATACGCACCCTAATGCTCTCCGCCGCCTTCTCGCCCTCCTGCTTGGCGTTCCTCAAATCGGCCTGCAGAGAAGCCACCTGCTCCAGCCCCTCCACGGAAGCTACACTGATCTGCAGCGCACATAATAAACAAGCGTATAAAGCAGTAATGAAAGCAACATAAGTAGCGCCTCCTTTCCACATCCAAAAAACCTGGGCCTGCCCCGATCTATATGCACGCCCACAGTTTGGAAGGAAGACAAGGGCGCCGAACCCCCTACCTTAACCTCAGGGGAAACGCACCGTTTTAGAAGAGCCTGGCCCCCGCCCCCTCCGGCCGTTTCATGTTCCTGGTTGCATAGAGCTGTATGGCAGTCTTCACTCACCAGTGACGAGCGGTGCGCCAGCAACGCCGGCATAGACTGCTCCTTGTCACCCTTCTTGGCTAAACCCGCCAGCTGAGCCTCAAGCTTTCGCTGTGAAATAAAGCGGGCGAATACCGGAAGATGAGCCCAGGAACTGGGTGTCAGGAGGAGGCGACGAGAAACATAAAACTGATATGACGCGGGTAACTACAGGCGCGGGAGCAGAGCAGGATAACCATAACAAGTAGACACTCCAGCTATTCGAAGATTGCTTCCCCGCAAATCCAAGTTCGAGACCCTTTTCGACATGTCTGCCTTACGTATCGGGTTACTACGCCTCGTCCACCCCCGTAGCAACGCACCTTTTCAACCTTCACGGCCGCCAACTCCTTCGCCATGTTTGCCACCTCCCTACAGCAAAACCCGCCAACACACGTAACATAGGTAACGTGGGAATCCTTGGCAAGGAGCTGCAAAAGCTTGTCTTGATAACTCAGCGAGACTTCCCGAAAGAGATGAGCTTTTATATTCGGTATAACCGGGACCCAAAGTGACAGTGCTGACCCATTAGTACTGCACACGCATGATATTATGCGGCATGGCTACAAGAATAACGGCCCTTATACATGTTCGTGGTTTTTTAACCAACAGATGAAGGATCGTGAAGTATCTCTATAACGAGGCTGCCTGACATTGCCGTGTTGTTAACCAAGGGCGACATGCTCAGTGGGGTCGCTGGGTCGTTGGGTAATGACCCCCTGGTTGTGCGTTCGTAGGCAGGAGCTCCGCCGTATTGGCAGTACGTACCCTTCGGTTGTCATATGGCGCTCTTTAAGTAGCCTCAGCTCTTGGTTGCTCTGGAAGAGGGCCCTGAAGTGGGTTCGTCAGGGATCACGGCCGAGGTGGGAGGTGGGGGGCCGTAACGTCGGAATACGGGTTAGTAACCGGCAGGACGGGACAGGTTGCAGAAAGACGTATCAGACTATTAGTTAGTGTTGCATATGTCTGGCGTTTCCAGGCTTCGCGTGGGTATAAATTCAGCTGCGTGCGGTGGGCATACTTGTCCTTGGTGAAGACGGAGACCTTCAGGGTTGCGACCTCCTTGCGAGCTTCCTCAAGCTCCTTGTCCTTGAACTTGAGCATGTTTTGCAGCCTGTAAGAGGAAGTCGTGGTCTTGAGTACGATAGAAACGTCAGAAATCTCACATGCGCTGTGGCTTAACCTCACCGCAGCACCTCCCCTGCAGCCGCAGAGTTATTACACAATGCATGGTCTTCGGGTGTCTTTGCATGTTTCGGGCTATCTCGTCCGCTTTCGCTCTGCAAGCAAGCGAACCATTTAACTAATATCCCCTCAAAAGACACTCCATCCATTGCGCTTGATGCCATCCGCACCGGTGGATGCTCCATCATTTAAATTCCCACGACGTTAAACCGCATGGACAAGAGAAGTGTGGCTTTCCGAAAGTTTACGGTGGCACAGAAAACAAAGAAGCGCGTTTTAGTTGATATCACACGTAAAAGTATGCTAGATAACTTGGCCAATGTTCCTTGAAGGGCGACTTTGCCTAGCTCTTGTGGTTACCCACAAGTTTCGGAGCATCAAAACGTGTATGACATCCAAGAAAGGACACCACATAGCAGCATAACACCAGCTTGAAGGGGGGATCACTTTGATTTATATATATTTTGATCACATGTTGGGTGAGCTGACCGGGTTGTTCGGTTACGGACGAACCGGTGCCGAGAAGCGGCGGAGGAATTGTGTGCCGGCGTTCCTGGTGCCGAATTCCGCGCATGCAGCACGATCTATACACAACGTCTATAAACGTTGCTTGACGTTCCCGTGCCGAAGGGTAATCGTGTCCTGTCTTCTTCCTCGTTGCCTGTGAAAGGGCACCCCAGCGAGATGACCACCGAATACTTATTGAAGACTGTACATCTTACACGAGTTCCACCAGGAACACCCGGGGCAATTAGGGGCTTGCCGTTTTACCGCAATCAAATGTAACTCTAACCTTGGAAATAGTTGAAGATACGGCCTTATCCAGGCTCGTAGTGTTAGGCTCATGTAGGCACAGGCTAAGGCTGACGGACGCGCAGCATGCATGGAAAGCAGAGCAATAGAGAATTACCCGCTCGTCACCATGCCTGCGTGTGTTACCGCGACCTACAGTTGCAGAGCCGCAGAGCCTGCATGCGTAAATCCACAAAGTGCTGCGACCGCCAGTCCACGACCGGTGGCCGCAGCAGGCAGAGAAATACAATTCACTTCCCAGATGTACGGAAGATATGGTTTATGTTATGACAGACATACGGATCGCCTCGCACAGCCAAAGCCTTCCCGCTTAAGCAGGATGCCCGCCAAAATGCGCCCAGTCCACATACAAGCCAACCCATCGTACACCTTTTGCCTGAAACCAACAAACATGGTGTCACGAAGCAGTGAGGAAATACTTCCAGGGCCATTTGCTGACATAGATATTCAAGGTGGAGTCCAGGTTGTTATGCAAAGGCGACTGGCAATGACGTACACCCACGACAGCGCGGCAGCGCAGACACCGCAGTATGGGGTGCTTTACCTCGCCAGGCGCAAACCACACAGTCCTTTGAGCACGACAAGTCACTTTTTGGAGTGCCTCGGCACTTAATGCTTACTGAACGCTGGTCAGACGCCGCCAGCAAAATACCGTTGGGTTTGCAATGATATATGCGCCGCTTTTCCATGTGTGTGCTAACATTAGAAGCACGCACGGGATAAGGCGGTGGCTCACACAGGAGGCCCAGAAGAGTTGGCCCACCATTACCGCACTGAACTTCATTGGGTTCAGTGGCACCCTCCAGTGTGCCATCTCGGCCAGGAACTTATGTCTGCTCCCTGAGTCGCATGCGGGTTTGCCATCGCAGCTCATCACGCCGGTTGGCGGTCGGCGCCTCTGTGGCAGCGCCCAGCTCTTTCTTGGTTCGTGCGCGCGTCTCACGCAGCATACGCTGCCTCTCCGCTTCCTCCGCTGCGTGGAGGCTGGCGAAGTGGCTGTGGAAGTTGATGGGCTTTCGACTGGTGCCTCGGCTGGTCCCACCGGCCTGCTTTAGGAACCTGCATAATATGCAATGCTTAGCTTTAGACCAACGACTGTAGCCATAATCATAAGTTTGTAATTTGGGAGGATGTGTGGACCGTTGAGTGCAGCTCATGTTGCTGAAGGACAGGCTCTATAGAGATGCAGAATGAGCAGGGAAGCATGAATATGGCAGGAACATGGACGGTGCAGTTGCGAGCTGCTCGCTATCCTGTGCATGATACAACCTATGTCTTGGCGCACGCCAATATGCGTTCATCGGTCCTGGAGCCCCCGGTCCGCACCTATTCTGGCTCCATTCCTGCTGCAGCTGCTGGTAGCGCTGCACACGGTCGACCTTCTTCGCCCCCCGCTTGGATCCAATGGAACACCGACTGGTTGCACGGCTTGCAAAGCTGCGAGTGCTTTCCTGTACACAGAAGCACAGAAGCCGTGTGCACGTGGGCAATCGCGTGATGGCATAGCAGCGTAGGAGTGAAGGTTTTAGATTTCGGAATCCACTTCCCCGGTTATTCGAGCTTGATGCCCGGTTATTCGAGAGGACGGTCACAGAACAAGCAAAGAAGAGCACGACCAAGGGAAACAAATTCTCCCATGAATCCTCGTAGAGCCATCGCTCGCTGACAACCTTCGTCAAATAGATGCCGGAAGTGCATAGCAACGATGTTACAGTGCGACAGAGTCGGGCTTGCAAACTGTTCTCACCTGGGGACTCAGCTGGCCCTGCGCAAGCAACGCATCTGCGAGGCGGGCGTCCACCGGACCTTCAACGCCTGCCAGCCACGCCGGGTAAGGATTTTGTGCGCTCTTTCCAGGTGCACCCGTCCTGCCGCCTGGCGGCAGCCACCCCAGGTCCTCCATGGAGGCCGCATGCGCCGTGTGTTCCTTGTCAGGATCGGAAAACGCGACATCACCCTCGTCATCGTCGTCCTCCTTAACGCGCCTGTGGCGCAGCCTGTGAACATGAAGGTGCCGGCTGCGTGAACGTGGGGCTGACGAGGACATCATTGCAAACCTGCCCCGCAAGGACAACTTCCATGGAAAGGAACAGGTTCCCCGTCGAGAAGGGACTGCAACAAATTTTCCTAACTGTACTCACGTATGTGTGTCCCGATCGAAGGGCATCACAAGGGTTGGGCCATTAGGTTTACGGTGCTGGTCCTTTGCAGCCGTGGCGCTGCCAGGCCGTTGTACTCCCGATGATGAGAGCCGCCCTGCAGCCTCCAAGTCCTTCCGGCCGAGCTTGCCGCCAATCTCCTGTTAACCACGTTGCAAGGCAGCGTTGAGGTTACAGACGGCTGCTCCATATATACTTTGCTGCGTAGACATTGAATTTCGTCCTGCCAGGAGTGAAGCGGCGCATACAACTTCCCCAACAAGGAACAACAGTCGTATCCCTGTGGCGATTACCGGTTGACCCAATGGACATAGTACACATAGCGCATGCATACGCCCACAGACGCACCAACGGACGGCGACTTACTTCCAAATGTGATAGCCTGCTTGTGCAGCCGACCGGTTCATTCAAGGTAACACGTCCTAGGCGATCCGTAAGATCGCTGGGACCGCGACCTGATCGGGCCAAGCTGCGAACGTCTACTCCAGCTGACGAGCGTCCAGCGGTCTGACGAAACACAGAAGTCGCCTCAGCCCGGTACCGGCTGGAACCATGTGTTGCGGAGGTGCGGCCACTGGCTGATGTGGGTTTGTCTGCCCCCGGTGCGCGGGGCAGGCATGAGACGCCAGGCTCAACCGTGATATCGTCCTCGTCGCTGTCATGGTCATAACAGTCGTCACTGTAGTCGCTGCTCGCCGCGCCAGGTCTAAAGTCCTCGCCTATGCCACGCTCCTGATTATGTACCGCGCGTGTAACGGGTGGCATGGTAGTGGCAAGCTTCCCATGCTCCAATGCCACGCATGCGCCATTTGCAGGGCTTGTATATCCGTAGCTGAAGCCCTGGGTTGATACGCCTTGTGCTGGAACTCCCGTGGCTAAACCTGCGGTTAGCTGTTGAGGCTGCTGTCTGCCCTGGAAATTATCAAGGATGCTGCCTGTTCGAGGGAGCCCTGGGTTGTCGTGGTTATGTCCGCCTGCAAAACTTTGGAAGGTTGAGGGTTATAGTAAACACCGCAGTTTTCCGTTTACAACGTCATACCGTTCGCTTTAGTTAGGCCTTCCAGCGGATCCTGTGCGCCTTCGTGTTCTCCTGGCTTGACATTGAAGTCAATTTTCATCTCCTTCAGGATGGCCACAACCTGTTCATCAGGCAGATCATGGCCCAGCAGCTTAAGCTGTTCTTTGAGCGCTTTAAGGTCAATCATGAGCCGTCTTTAACGTCAACAAGAATACCAAAGCGCAAAGAGTCAAACTGCAAAATCTGTCTATCAAAGCAGCTGTGGACCACAACGCCAACGAAAAACTGTAGGTGTTGCTTTAGATGCGGAGCAATATAAAACTTTGAGTTCTGATGAAGGAAGCGGCAGCGGGCCAGGGGGCTCAGCACGAGCCAGATCCGGAACTCATGACACGGCCTCCCGAACGCGATGTACCCATCAACACAACTTATCGCTTAGTGCAAATATATAATGATCGTTGTTACTGAATAACATAATTTTGCACCTGGACGTTCGTTCGACCCTCTCGTTGGCACTTATGCTTAGAGTACCATACTCTGCTCTTACGAAGCGGTTAATCTATCCCTAGCTGGCCAGTCAGATACCCTGCCTGCACATAATATTAGGTAGCCACTATCAATGCAAGCCTTCTTAATATGTTTTAAGCCGGTTCTACCTTGCGCCTTCATGTGCTTGTAACGTAGTTTATGGTATCACATTTAATATTATGAAATGTGCAATTGTACCACTCTAAGAGAGAGCGCTCCGTGAGCTTGGGGGCAAATGTCGCGCGGCGGAGTGCTTACAGCGACATGCCTCGAGGGCGCAGGCCCCGAGGAGGATGTGCTTCCGTAAGTCATACTGCTGAAGCGGTTCGTAGTAGCAATGCCCGACCTCGTCTCCGACCCCATGCGTACATTTCAGGTCACTTCATCATGACCTACAATGGCAGCGGAATGATATGCGCATCTTCGCGCATGCAGCCGCTGAGACTCAGGTGGCGATTAAGGATGCTCTAGCAAGCAAGTTCGCGGGCACCAGGTCGGGAACAGACACAATCACTCAAAGCGCGAATGACCCAGGCTTCCTAGAGGTGAGCCTGAACTTAGTCAACTAAAGGGGAATAAGCAGAGCCAAACATGGGAAGGAGGCTCTTGCTGAAGGGTTTTGGCAAACGCGCATCCTCCTGAGGCAACGCCAGCTGAACCGATGCAACTTGGGGTACACCCCATGACACGATCCTCTGCAGCCACGCCTATCACCGCCCGTCCAGCTCGTTACCCGGGTCCCTGTTCCAAAGCCGCCACGATCAATTTGCTTGAGCTATGGCAGGGCCCCGTATGGAGGCATTGAACCCAGCTGTGGTGACGAAAGCTACCAGGCCAACCAGTGCCTAAATGTGCCTAAGGATGTATAGCTGTCACGCTACCCATTTCCTCACCACGGCGTCCTCGTAGGGTTAAGGGGTATGCAGCCAGCTAAAGGCCAGTGGCCTGCTGACTCAGGCTGTGCGTGTCAGAAGTGCCAGACATTCTGTTGTTGGCCCGGCAGGCCTAGCACTGGGTTAGCGCCTGGCACGGCCATTTTGTAGACCTTTGCCTGCGGTACTGGTGACCAGGAGCCACGGCGGCAGCGGCTTTGGCAGCGGTCGCAGCAGCCCTCACTTGCAACCCTGGCTGGTATTCCACAGGGAGGCCATTCCTCAAGGAGTGCTGATGCAGAGCACCCTTGCCAGATGCCCAAGCCCTCTCTTTCGCGGCAATACGCTCACCTTGTTTCATGTTGTAATCGTACTCTGGCATGGACCTGAGCATCAAAGCCAGTGACAGGCCGCCTCGCCGTCCAGTTCTCTTTCGCCTGGCCAGCCGCGCAGCGACCCAATCCTTCGCGGCGCCTACAGCGCACTGGTCCCGAAACGCTTTGGATGACACAAAATGGGCAGTCACGTTTCCGCCGCTCAACGGGCCTTTTAGCACCTGCCCCACCTAGCCTCTGCTTGCACATGCATACCAGAACCCTTCATCCGGTCCTCAACACCCTTCGTGACCAAGCGTGCAGGAGCAATGAGCGCGCCACTCGGCCGCTGCTTATCTTGCCACTTAAAGCTCTGCAATCTTGGGGCTACTTAAGTCGCGCCCGTGGCCGCTGCGGCACACGCAGAGCTTGGATCCATTTCCAGTCTAGAGCATTATAGTCAAAGCCAATCTAGTGCATTCCAGTCGAAGCCAGCTGAGGACATCTACCTATCCGCCATCTGCCTGCTCACCGTGGGCCTGGCTCACTTCCTCCTTCCCATGGGGACTCGGTGCTCCCTTCCTCCCTTTCACCTGCCGATCCTCGTCTGAGTTAATGCTGTGGAACCTCCACATCTCCCTCCTACCTCCTCGCCTACATAGCCACGCACGCACGTACCTACCCGGATGCTCACTTTGTTACCCACCTAAGCCATTCCCTCCCTCCCTCGCCCGTAAATGGTGTTGCCTCCCGCAGGTGTTTCCCCGTGTGGCCAGCCGGCCTCCAAAGCTGCTCCAGGAGCTGGAAGCCATCCTGGTGGACCGGCTGAGGGCGAATGACAAGGCGGCTAGTGTGGGCCCTTTGGGTTGCGCCCGGGATAGAGACCCGAAGCTGTCAGCCAACCTGTCGCTTGACGGCCACCGCCAGGTCGGTGGCTGGGCTCGGGGAGGGGAGGGGGCCCATTTGGGGCCCGGGGGCCCGGGCCGGACCTGTCCCTGGGAAGAAAGGAGTCAAGCCGTCATAAGAACCCTCTACTTTGCCCTCTTGCCCCTGCTGCGGCAGGTCCTGGCGGCGTTTGTGACAGGATTCTCCACTTACGCCCCGCTACTGAGCCGGATACAGGCAGAGTTTGATCGGGCGCTGAACGAAGGAGTACGCAGCGCACAGGTACGTGAGCCATCTGACACCTGGAAACCGTCCCGGCTAGATGCCGATTGGAATGAAGCGTAGTCTAAAGACGGAGAGAGGGGGCAGGGACGAACCACGATAATTGGGGGCCAATAGAGAGGGACACGCATTGTGTGTGTTATTCATTCCATCCCATGGCCTTTCCTTAAGGCTGGTAACATGTGGTAAGAAAACGTTTTTTGCCTGGCAACACACGCGCCATGCCCACGCCCCGCTGTACGCCGTACAGGAGAATGTGGAGATGCGGTTCGCTATGGCACGCAACGAGCTGGCCCGGGAGAAAGCCACTGCGGAGGTCCGCGGCCAAGTGCTGGCAGGTGGGTTGCCTCCGGGGGAAGCAAAGCTACACAGGACATTGGCAGATGAAGCTGTAGGTATTACAAATGTACAGCAAGAGCAGAGACACCCCGGGTATTGACTCTGCATGCTGTTCCCGTGTCGCCTGCTCCGTCCCTCACATGTTGCCCTCGTGTATCGCTGAGTAATGGCCCCTACGTCCGCGTTTCCTCTCACTGCTCAGCTTCTTGGGTTGCGGCCCGGTGCCGAGCTCATTCTCATTTTTCCTCCCTCTCGGCTTTGATGTTGCGCCGCGCGCTATGGGCCCCTGCTCACTCTGTTCCAGTCCACCCCCGCTTCGTAATTCACGTCCAATTTTCCAATCTTGTCTCCTGTGTCTCACTTACGCTTGCAGAGGACCTGTCCTTTCGTGCGGTAGCCCTGTCGCGGCTTCAGGAGCTCCGAGACCGTGCGGCACGGGCAGAGAAGAAGAAGCTGACTGCGGAGAAGGACTTGCGGGAGGCGCTGTAAGTCGGTCGGGGGCTCCCTCGAGGGACGTGAGGAATATGGACGGGACAGGAACGTTGGCGAGGGTCCAGGATGACGCTTCCATCGGCTGTTGCGTTGCGGGTGAGGGCAGAAGGCTTCAGCGCATTGGCAAGGACGCGTCGTTCCGTCCAGCTGCGCGGGACGCCACTCGCCGCATACGGGCGCCGGCCGCTATGTGACATCAACGCCGCCATCGCCGTTGCTTCTCACCTGGCTTTTGCGCTTGGCCGGCGCAGGCGTCTCAACCCTTGCCCAGTCCGTTCCGCGTGTTCTCTTATCTGGGTCGTTTCGGATCTTTTTAGTAAACCACTCTCGCTTCCTGCCCTACGATGACTCTCGTGCCCTGTCCCCGCTTTCCTCCCCTGCGGGCGAAAAATCCCCTGCTTGTACCTTCCTTTCTGCTCCTTCAATATGGATGTACTCCTCCTTTCCACACTTCTTCCTTCCCTGCTTTCCCTTCGCAGTGGCGAGCAGGCCCGCATGCGCAGTCTTGTAGAGCAGCTCCGAGCATCAAATGCCAAGCTTGTGGACTTGCTGGCGGAGGAGGAGCGCTGGACTACCAAGCCGCTGAGCGGGCAGATAAAGTCACTCAAGATCGGGCCGCTCACAAAAGAGGTACGACGTATGCTGGTAGGACTGTTCCAGGACGATAACACCTCGGCGATGTATTCAGAATGGTCTCCTACTAGCATTTCGAAAAAACATGCCGAAAAAATTTACTTCTCCACACACACACACACACACACACACACACACTCACGCACAATGATGCGGACGCAGCTGGGCAACGGCGTTTTTTCCATGCAACTGTTTTTTCTATGCCTAATACCACCTCTCCGGTGCTTTACTGTATCCCTCTGCACATTTTTTTTGGAGCCCAGCACCCAACCTGCCGCAACTAAGTCCCATCCCGCGCGTTTCCTTGGCCCCACCATCACCGTTATCTGGTGCACCCGGCTGTGCCTCCGCTTCCCCTCCTCCAGGACGAGGCCTTTCTAGAGCAAGAGCTGGGCGCATCTAGGCTGTACGGCCCTGTGAATAAAACCCATTGATGCTGTACAACATTTTTCCACCCTACACGTACCGCTATCCCCTCACCCAAATATCTGCCAACCACCAATCACACACTACCAAACTGTCAACTACCGGTTGTCAACGGCCTACTGTCAACCGCCTACTACCGAAATTGCCCATCCAGGATGATGCTTTTCAAAGCAAGGTCTGGGTGCATCTAGAACGTTCCGGCTCATCAGTAAAACACATTGATGCCGTACAACGGTATACACCCCTATCCCCACCTCTTATCCCCACCCACTTAACCATCCGCCAACGACAATTGTAACTATCAGCTTTCAACTCCTGGTTGGTCAACTGCCTACTGTCAACCACCAACCATCGAAATTTCCCCTTCAGGACGAGGCCTTCCTAGAGCAGGAGCTGGGTGGCATGGAGCTCACGCCCACCGCCAGCTCCGGGCTTATGCATAATGGGCTGTCGGCCTTCTCCTCCAGGGCCGCACGGAGCGCTGTATCCTCGGGGAGGCCATCGCAGGCGGGGAACGCGTCGCGGGCAGCGGTGGCAACCCCGCCGACGATGACGCAACAGCTCCGACCGACATCGGCTGCAAGCGCTGCACCGTCGACGCCGGCGGGACGCGCGGCTGCCGGCGGTGGCGGCGGTAACACAGCTGGTAATGCCAGTAATACGCGGATGGGCCCCGGCTCTCGGCGGGGTTCAGCGACGGTGGAGGTGGGCGAGCCATCGCTGCATGCGACAGAAGAGGTATCGGAACAAGGGGTAGGCGGATGAGGGGCGAACAGATTACGATGGAAGATGATACGTCTCCCATCGTCATCAAATGGGATGCGGATCCGCCAGCGCTTTTAATCTCAGGGTTGAGGAGTTGAGGACGAGTGCATGACGTCATCGACGCTGCATCAGTTTCAGTGGCAGCTTGCGCACGTGTATATTCACTTGCGCAGGCCTATGTAAGGCGTATGTAATTTTACGGGATTGCGCCGTCAGAGGACGGACGAGCAAACCATTGGCGACGGTGGAGAGCAGCTGCCAACTGAGAGCCAGCAGAATGGTGTCGTATAGCAAGGCGACTGTTATGCCGGCGATGTGGTTCCCAAATTAGCGCGCACCAAGTTGCGGGAGTTGGGCTACACGACTCAGGATGCATGGCAAGGAGTAGTTCAGCTGTGGTTCGCACCTCACTCGAACGGTGCATGCCCAAGGCAGGCAGTACGGGTAGCGGGCGTAACCGTGGCTAATGGTCTGTTTAGCAGGGGCCTTGAAGGAAGGGCCCCATGTAGAATGACATAGAAAGGGAAGGATGCTAGAAACTATCTGGGCAGGTGAGTGTCTTATGCGGCGAGTGTGGGAACATTGGGCAAAGCGAAGAGTTTTGTGTGAAATTTACATGATAAGAGCGCAGAACTGGAATTTATGGGTTATGGCCGGTGGGCGTGAGGTAAAAGGGAGAGTTGTGGGGTCCTTTTTGGCCAGCCTATTTGCATGTATGACAGGCATGGCATATTTCGTAGGTGCACGATGGCCACTTTGCATGTTCTTTGTTGGGAAGTGGCTGGGGCGGGTTTGTACTCGACCTTACCAGAAGATCAGCCATATCACTAACCCATCTCTTTACGGGGCAAGGTTCGGCGCTTTTCCCTTCTGTACTCGGGTGCATACACTGGGGGACAATGTGGCACCGGAAAGCCGTTTAGCTATGAGGTTTGGCTTTACCGAAACGTATAGCTGCATGCATGGCGGCTGGTGGTGGTTTTGCGGTGCATACGCTGTATGCGAGGGAATGCATGGGGAAAACTCCCCTAGCTGTGACACCTATTACATCCTATTGGTTGTTTACGATTCCAAGGGCTGAGCCCTTCGCTGCACCGTGTGGTACATGACGTCCGTTAGCTGACGCGAGGGCTTTCATAGAGTAAAGGTGCTGCGAAGGTGGGCGGGCTCTGTAAGGCTTGGAGGGCTTTACGTTTTCCACAGCGCGCCCTTGGTTTCGATTCTTATAATTGTATCCACGTGGACGAATCTTCGTGGCGACTAGGTTGACTAAATCAAATGCGTAGCATGGCCAACTGCCAGGCTTGCCGGGAAGCCACACCGTAAAGCTTATTTGCATGGTATAGCCGTAGGGTCTATATGTCTAGGGCCATAACATAATTGCGTAGAGAAAATTCCTGTCCTAATTAGTCGCACATGTCGACAGTACCGAAAGGCCGGGCAGGCAGCCCGGATCAAAGGCCCTGTACGAAAACAAGTTACTGCAAAGCATGGAAAAGAATCGTCATGTAATAAGACAGTTGCGACATTGTATATGGTGACGTACTCCGAAATGTACTGCCGCCGTAACGAATAGCAACATGCAGCTGTTGGGCCCGCACGCTGAAGCTATTTAACAAACAGCCGCACTCACCACGGCTGCAGCTGGGCTTGATTTACATCCATCGCCTCGGTTGCAGGGCGCTACGATTGAGTCTGTCTGCTTCGGCCATGGACTAAAACAACCTCGGACATTCACGTGCGCAACTCTCGTCCGCCTGAGACGTTCAGGACAAGGTGGAATCTTCGACTACCACTACACTCCACTTCCTTGCCCCACTCCTAAAATCAGAGACCCGCAGTATGCTCAACCCCACCACCGCTACCACCGCCGCGTCGCATATTCATCGCACTTTCCGCCTGCCTTTAAAGCCCGGTGCGCTGCGCCAGTCGAACGGCAAGGCCGTCCCCCTGGCTGCGCAATCCCAAAGGGCTGCACATTCTGCACTTGCCAGCTCTACCTTTTCCCAGCAGTCCCTCCACCTCCACACTCAGAGCGCACACAGCTCGGTCCATACCCGGGAGGCGGCTGGGCGGCAGCGAGCAGCAGCCAAGGTGATGGCGACGGCTGCAGCAGGTCATTCGGAGGCTGCTGTCGACCAGGCGGCAGCATGTGAACCGGGCTGGTCCGACCTGGATGTGGCGGTGGTGGGCGGGGGGCCCGCGGGACTATCTGTGGCACTGGCTTTGCTGCAAGTGCTGCCAGAGCTACGAATCAAGGTGCGAGTCACAACAAAACCCTCCATCACAACAGGGGTGACAGCGGTCCCGACGAACCCCTCTAACGGCTGCGGCTACATTCCTACCCACGTACCATCGGGTGTATGTGGACGTAACACAACCCAATACGGTCACTCTTGTGCTCATGTACTCTCATCACCAGCACCCACATCACTCATCACCGTCACCCAGCGCAGGTATTTGAGGCGAGCCCCGCATACACGCAGCAAGGCGCAGGTGTGGGCCTGTTCGCTAATGGCAGCCGGGCACTGCAGGCCATAGACCCCACTGCACTTGTCAGGTGCGGGGCGGGCGACGTGTACGGCACGCTGTACGGCATGGGCCACCCTGAAACCCTGGTCCATTATGCCATGGAGTCCCGTCTGCCGGGACTTCCTTTTGCCCTGGAATGATGTTTTCAGCAAATTATCCTGATTTTGTCATTCCGCATGTGGTATTCATGGCAAGGAGGTGTGCGGCTATCGAGCAAACCGAGAGAGTGTAGGTGTGGGGGATCCATTGAATCATACAAGGAGCGACTCCTTCTCCGTGACGAGTGCTTACCACTGCCACCAACACTACCATCGCCGTCACTACCAGCGCACTCAGCACCACAAGCGCCTTTCCATTACTACCCAGTCATCTGCAAAGGCCACCTCATCTCCCCGGGACGGTGTCTCCGCCACTGCCACAACAGTTCCATTTGGTTACATTCGGGCCATGGCTTTCCGGATTTCCTAATCAGGCTCCTCCTGGGCTGCGGCCGCATGCAGGCTCATTGGGGACGCCGCCTTCCTGTCGGCCAGCTACCAGTACAGCTACACGACCGGCGAGCGGATGCCGTGGCGAGAGGCTATCAAGCACCTGGAGCGGCTCGATCAGGATGGCTGGACGCCCGCCTTGCTTCCCTGGAGCTCCCTGCGCACCGCCTTGTACGCGTCACTGCCCGTAGAGGGTGAGCTGGGTACGGAACTCTGAAACGGAAGCACAGAAAAAGGGAAGAAGGGTCAAATGTTTAGAATGTTTAGTGCGTGTTTGTGGCTGCTTGGGCCCTACGTATGTGCGTGCGAGGTCCATGTTGTTCAGTTGGCAGTGGTGGGGTCTGCCCCTCCACTTAGGAGGGGGGGTCTACTGCCTCCAAGACCGCTGAAGCAGCAGCCGCACCGCTATCACCACCATTATCACCATCATCACCATCACCATCACCATTACCACCGCCAGCGGAGGCAGAGGCAGCGGCAGCCGCAGCGGCGGCTGTTCGGTTCCTCTGCTCCAGGAGCACCGGACAGCTCCCCAGATGCCCTCCTCCGCAAAGGTGTGCGCGGGTCCTATTGGAGACGGAGCTCTTCACCTTTCCACCCCCCGCCGTGTCAGACCAGGTTAGGTTGCGTCTGTCTGGTCATGTGCGATAGCGACGAAGTTGACCCGCGGGTCGTTTAGTTTTCCAAATCGATCTGCCGCCAAACACTGCAGGTGTTGTGGAGTTCGGCTGCAAAGTTGTGGGCTGCAGGGAGCCCGAGGCACTGGTGGAGCCTGAGGGGCAACCACGGGAGCGTCCAGCGGAGCTGTCAGCCGCCACTGCCACTGCCAATGCTGATGGCGGCTCACCTTCGTCCATCGGGAGCTGGTACACGCTGGAGGTGCAGAGAGACGAGTCCGTCGGCAGTGGCCGGGAGGGTCGGCCAGCGGCATCGGCCGCGGGCGGAGATGCACAGCGCAGCGGCGGCGGGACGCGTATCACGCACGCCAGGGCGCGTTTTGTCATCGCGGCCGACGGCTACTTCAGCCGGATTCGCAGGACCGTAAGTAATTGAGCCTTGTTGGCTCTCTTTTCCCATGCTGCTTGTGCCGTCCTGCTTGTCGCAGCTGTCAAGCCATCCAAAGCCGAGGATGCCAGCCAACAATGAAGCCAAGGATTAGCGGGGCCAGAGCAGTCTACGTAGGGCTCCTAGCAGACCCTCGGGATCCTGGCGGCATCCGTCGGCCCGTTCCTCTGTCCCCGTTGCAGCCCGCAGTGACCATCATGGACTATCACGTACTGTTTGCATAGACCGAGCACTCGAAGCATAAGCGCACAGCTCTACACACGCCGACCTGGGTATGGCCGTGGTGCACATCCGCACAGGTGGTCGGTGCCAACCAAGCCCCAACGTTTCGCGGCTCCGTGCGGTGGCTGGGGAACATCAGCCAGGTGGGTGGTGAGGCGGGCTTGTGGCAGACGGGGGCGGTTGACTATGAGGGGGCTTGAGGCCGGGATGGCCACTTCGCGTGCCCTACCAACCACATGGCCACGAGCCAAACTTACTTCTCAACAGAGTTTTTAGTTTTTTCCCAACCAGGCGTTCACTCGGGGTCCTAACCGCAGTCGGAGCTGGACGCCGGGCGTGTGCCGCTGCCAGCCGCCCTGGAGCCCAGTCGCGACCCAGACGCCCTGATCTGCTTCCACAGCTGGCTGGATGTCTCCCCCGACCAACCCCTTCGGCAGCCGCCGCTGCGCGGACTGATCGTTTATGCCGTACCCGCGAGCCAAACTGCATGTGATGGCGTCCAGGGACAAGACGTACAAGAGGGGGCCGAGCCAGGGGTAGGAGGGAACAACGGGGGAGGACCGTACGGCGAGGCCGCGGTGGGTGCCGACAAGGGCGCTGAAGGGGAGAAAGCTGGCCTGGGGGCAAAGAGGGACGAGGTGCGCCTGGTGTGGAGCTTGTACGCGCCCGTTGAGCGTCTGATCGAGGTGGGGGAGCAGTTCCCTATGCCGCCGGAGCCGGAGCCGGCACCCGAGCAGGTGCCGCCGCTGCCAGTGACGGCAGCGCCGATGCCCGAGCTGTCGCCGGCGGGGCGTGCGTCTTCCGTGGTTGAACGGGTGGGGAAGGAGGAGGAGGAGGAGCAGAGTACCGCAGCCAACAGCACGGGTGGCATAACCGACGGCAGCGTCCAGACGACGAGTTGAGTTCTCGAGTACAATGTGCATCTGATCGGGGTTACCTGCGCCTTCGGGTGGCCCTACCTGTTAAGCTGATCCACCGGCCGGAATCCTGCGCCGCTTGTTTATCTCAAGCCAGTGAACATGATCCTGCAGAATGAACAAGGCAAACTGCTGCTCGACAACGGTCCGCTCCTTTTCCGCCAGCTGCCCTTCAGCGCACATGTACTTCATCTTCCTGCTTTCTGTCCCTTCCCCATGTCCCTTCCCCATGCTATTCCCTGCTACCTCAGCTCGCCGTGGCCCCCGCGCTCTGCGGCGCGCACTGGCAGCCAGCCAGCAACTGCCTGAGGAGCTACGCACCTTCCTGGCGGCCACACCTGCCGAGCGTGTCATGGAGTTTGGATTATATATCCAATCGCCGGAGACCTACCGCAAGGCAAGCCTAGCGTGACGTAGCCAGTCCTGACTCGTGCTGTTGTTGTTAACGCTGTTACTGCTGCTGCTGCTGCCTGTCGCTGCTATATTTATCCCTGTACCTGCTAGTGTTTACTTAAGGTCCATTTATGACCCATGGGTCGCAGAATGCGTGGGTTCACGGCGGGTTGCTGCTTGTGGGGGACGCGGCCCACGCGGGCAGAGCGGATGGCCAGGGCGCTAACATCGCTTTCGAGGACGCGGCGGTGCTCGGCGCGCTAGTACGACAGAACGGCCTCGGCCACAAGGTAACCACTGCCGCGTGCATAGGGGATGTAGAGGTCTGAGCTTGAGCGTTGTTCCGAGTGAGTTTCCTTTCTGTTTGCTCCGATAGGTACGGTTGCACACGGAGGGCCCACCACCCGTGGGGCCGTTTCTATTGGGTTTCTGGATGCACTCATTGGGGGTTCATCCACGTGGCGGTAAATGACGTGTCGTATCTGCGGTGTGTAATTGACAGTCTGGGCTCAGCTCTAATAAAGGCTTTTCATCCGCCCCAGCAGCGGCCGTTGCGGGTAGGGACGCTATGGGATGCGCTGTGCAAGTGACGCGCCATTCTATCCGTCCTGCTTGGACTTGGGCTTTGTATGCGTGAGGAAGGAGAGATAGCGGCAGCATTGTATTGGCTGCGGTAAACTTCCGCGTGTGTATACTTCTGGGTATGTATGTATGTATATATCTACGTGTGAATGCAGGCGTTTGCGGCTTGGGAGGAGGTCCGGCAGCCAAGGGTGCGGGACATCCTCTGGGATCCAAAACCCGATGGCGCGACAAGGTCCGCGCTCATTCAAAACTCTGCGTTCGAGCAGCTGTGGTGTCCTCTGCGAGTGGCGGCGGCTCTGCCGGCGGGCGTGCGACAGGAGGTGCAGGAGGCGGTCGCCCGCGGTGGTGTGGAGGCCGGCCGTCAGGTGAGTTGGCTCAGGAGTTGCTGAACGGCATCTTCTTAGTTGGATCAGCCGGTCGGTTGGCCAGCCGTGCATGGCTTACTTGGTCATTGATAAACTTGGCTCATAATTTGCGACGCACGCAGTGTGGCGACAGTGGCTGAGTCGCTGCTGGACCCTGTGCTGTGCGTGATGGCCGGTCGGCACCCGCCTGGTTGCGCCTGGCCTTTCTAGCAACATTCACACGCACGCGCACGCCCAGATTACACACTGCTTCTTCAAATACCGTGTTGTGCTCTGCATTTGGGTTCCCGGCGGTTGGTTGTGCAGGTGGTTATCAACTGGTCGCAGCGGGCAATACGTGAACTGGTGGAAGCCAAGGTGGCAGGACGGCCCTCCCTGGACTCCGTGGCACCTCCCGCAGGCGCCTATCGCTTCCGGTAGCAATCTGGCTCTTGATCCACATTATCGCTTCTGGCCGGAGCTGTTGTTGGGTGTTTCTGTTCGATAAGTGGCGTGCATTACTATCTGCGGCGATCCAACCTGATGATTAGGTAGCGAGCGCGTTCTGCAAATTTTGCTGTTGAAGGTGACATGTACGGTATTGTGGAGGCAAGCTGTACTGAAATGCAAGCCAGTCCAGCATTCTGGAGGGGCGGATGGTGCATATTGGATATGATAATAGGGAGGAGGGGTCGGATTTGCATGGCGCCGCGCCACCGTTATGCTTAACTATCGTGTGTCACTTACAGTGTCCGGTGTCGTTCAGGTGGTCATGTGTGCCCAATTATTCATGTACTGGAGCTTGTGATTGGAGCTTGTGATTATGGGCGCTTACGGTGCATATAGTTTAAACGTCTCCCGAAGCCTGCCGATGATGCAACGAATATCACATATTGGCCCTTGATCGACAGCTGTACAGGCACGGATTCACGGCATCGAGACCGAGACTCCTCTAAAACTGTCCTTACTTTCCCTAATTGACAGCTCTGCTGATTCCGGAACTGCTGCGGACCTGACCGTCCGTGGGTTTGCCTACGTACTATTGCCGTATATGCTGTAATACATATAGTGAGACGCCGACGTGGCCGAGCTGCCCCAGCCCCGCGAGTATCTCCTGAAATCCATAACTCACAAACGAGGTTTTGCCAGTACACTAGGAGCGAAGGGTTTTACCCAATCGCCATAATGTCCAGAAACCCACAGCGTCATACGTCGAGAAGCCAAAGGAAAGCATTGAACTTGATATACGTCTTTCCCACACGACCATGGTTAGTCGGCCATGTGTTACGGCGGACACCGGCCATCAACCGGTACCCACAAACCAATAAGGAGGAACAGAATATGTACAAACAATACGGAGACCCATATATAGGTTAGTTACTAGTTAAAAGACCATGAGACCTATGAGACCAACAAGACTAGGACCCTGCAAAACCGCACCACATAAGCTGCTCACGCAATGGAGCAGGGATGTGTCGCTTCCGTAGCTTAGCAACACTGCAAACACAACAAATCATATCTACACAAGTCAACCACGTCACCACGTCATTGCTTGACCCAAGCTGTCTGTATGGATTAGGATAATCCAGGGGATGCAAATATGCAGCCGACAGGCAACTGGACCCGACCCAATAATTGCGCGGCATGCTGGAACTTTACACACAACGCCCTGTGTGGAGCGCACAGCGCAATAGCACTGCGGCTTCACATGCACAGGTCAAAGCTCAAAATTTAATGGTCGACCATGTCGCAGCAGGCCGCTGGAGCTAAGCTCTGGTGAAGACACGGTGACCAGCTCGCTAATTCCTCTCCGCATGCACGTAGTCCACGAAGAAGAACTGTTGGCGCAGCGACCGCAGCCCAGCCACCACCACTCCAGCCAGGGCCGCCGCCAGCAGCCCCAGGCCCGTGGCCGAGGACAGCAGCGGTACACCCATCAAGGCGCGGGCCGCCAACCACCCGGCCACCAAGATGCCCGCTGCCGTCACCACAGCCGTCGCCAAGTCCACATTGCGCAGAGCCTGCCGCACCGCATCGACATGAAACGGCAGTGTGTAGTTGTTAGACCGGCAGGGGCAGGGGCAGGCTCTGCGTCGCGAGGCATGCGCCTGCTGGCGACCTGGCATGACAGATGATACCTCATGGCGGGCCAGCCGCACTCTCACCTTTTGGCAGTGCCTGCAATGTACCGTGTGCTGAGAATACCGGTCAAGTGCCTCGCGCTTGGTCAGGCGTGGGGCCACAGGTGTGCCCGGCTCACAAGTAGGAACCGCACCGCCGAAGGTGTTGAACCACCTACACGTGTCAGGACCGTATGGGAAAGGCAGTCCTCGTCCGGAGCCCTACACCTCATAGCCGAGAAGCCGCATGCAGTAATCGCAAGCACCCTGAGATACCAGCCAAGGGAAGGTACTTTGCTGAGCGCCAGATCCGTAAGCATGTATCCTCTCAAGAGACATGAGTTATATGGCAACAGTCATGGGTTTGGTGCTATACTGTGCTACTATTTACCAAAGCCGTCCGTTTTACAATCTGGACCGGTACTGAACTGAGCTGACGGGGCTGTGAAACCTGTGACGAAGCCCCATTTTCGACACCCAGGAAGTCCGTTACTAGGAAACGGTCTCCAAACACTACTCCGCAACGCACGCACTCACGTGCGGATGGCAATGGTTGATGCGTCTGCAGCCGCCGGCATGAAAAAGTTTTTCTGCCAGTCGCTGTTGTGCTCCTCATGCAGTGCGCGCTCCTGCAAGAGGACACGCACGTGCTCTCAGCCGTGAAAAGACGGACAGCAACCTGCAACCGTAATCTGGAAGTCCTTGGCGTTTCAGGGCTTCACGCGTAATCTCTGATGCAAGAAGGGACCTGCTAGGGGAAACTCCGGTCCAGATGTCTGCAGAGTAGTAACCAGGCCACAACGCCACGCCGCGCAAACGAGAAAGGTGGACGCATAGGGTCCCCTCGCGAACTCATCTCTAGCGCAGATTGCCACGTCATGAGCGGGGCGACGCTCACGTCGAAGATCACGAACACCAGCAGCGATCATAGAGTGGGAGCAAGCATGGTATACGAATGTCGTACGCGCCGTGTCGTACCCTACCTGCAAGTGCAGGATATAGTTGTCGCCATCCAGTACGGGATGGCGCTGCGTAATGTGCTCTGCGGCAGTGAGTTCGGCGGCGCGGATGCAGCGGATTGGTCAAATGATTGTGGTGGATTGGGCTGGGATTTGCTCTGAACGCACTGTCACGCAGATTGCAGCCATGTCACGAGAGCCCGCCACGTACGACAGGCTCCACCAGGGTCAGACGACCATATGGCCCTCCTTGAAACGTATTGATGCACGCGGGCCCTGGTTGACATCGCTGCGTGCCTCGGACGGACGGAAGGGCCGAAACCCAAAAGACTTAACCCATGCACGTATTACACCTAGCTCATCCCAAAAACCTGCTGTCCGAACACCCGATTCGGCATACGCACCGAGCCATGTAATCTTCTCAACCATGCTATAGAGCTTCTCAACCAGCCAAGGGAGGCGGCCGGGCTGGCGCGTATCCTGTAGCAGAAAGTTGAGGGAAGCGGTGGGGAAATCAAGCCAGAGCACGGGGGAAAGGTAATCTGCACCACACCGCAGTTAATGCACACATATCCAAAGTACACACGCTGGTCGCGTCTGCCAGGTTCCTGCTTCCTGTTACATACATATACATACATACACACATACCCACACATACACATATATACACATACATACATATAATGGACGATGTAGGATGTGATAAAATCAACTTGCGAGCTAACCAGGAACTAAGTTAATGCGCCGTTGATCCGCTAGATTTGGTTGGATGCTGGTGGTGAGTTGCCGAACCCAACGAATACATTCTGAAGTCGGATGGGGTGAATGGCTTAGGGTGCCCCTCCAGCAGGGGAGAGCAGGGACTGTCCAGGGAAAGGGGGCCGCTGGCTAAGTTAACCACCCTGTAACAACATACATACACATACACACATACACACACATACATACATACACATACATAAACGAACATACATACATACATACATACATACATACATAAACTTAGACATATAGCGACAACACACATATATCATAGTCATAAATCAAATGGACACCTGTAGCAAATCTGTTTCTGCTACCTAACATGCACTTCGGCTTAAGCACGTATGCCGGGCACCTCGCCCTGGGTCCCAACAGTAATGGCCCTTCCAGGCCTGCAAACCTTCATAAAGGTGACGTAGATTCGGCTCCAGCCCGGCCGTGTTGGAACGGCGAACACGTTCAGTGAGCGAATTGGGTTGCCGTACCTGCGACCCGTCGGGATACCAACCACCTTAATGGTGCTGATTGCTTATGCCTACCGCAAAACTACCAACTAACTTAAACTGTACTAAATTGCTTTCAGTCACGGGTTACGCAAGGGCGCCACGGTGGTGCCCCAGCCGCCTCCTTCAAATGCCTTCTCATGCAGCGATTGTGCAACGAGTTTTAATGATACACAGACACCCGTGGGACATGTCGACCACAGTACCTCACCGAACAAAGTTTGGCGCTTTAAAGGCGGGCACACTGACTCCAAAGCGAGGGTTTTGGAAGTCCAACTCAAACGCAAAGCCCTCCAAGCTAATCTCGTCCACCAACTTGGTGGTCGTGCCCTTCTCGTTGTTGCGGTTTCCCTGCAGCATATGTAGACAGACAAATGTTACATGCAAGGCAGAATCCTTGGGTTTACCCGGGTGGGTTCATCCGGGACAAGCCCCGGGTACATGATTGCTGGGTTGTCACATCATGATGAATATTGCTGACGAGCCGATGGTCACCCTCCCCGCTCTGTTGTGGCTTGCGAGGTCACCTCTGACCTTGTGGCGCGCCATGTGTTCTTGGCAACGGTGCTTGCAAGAGTGCATTGCATGTTGTACCAGGAATGTGTGTGTTGACAATAAGATATGAAGCCCTTAGCTCGCTTGACCCGAGAGATTTATTACTCCCCCAAAGATAATCGTCCCCCTCACCTGTACTTTATGGTGGGTGAAGGGCACGTGGGAGGGGTCCAGAATGTTCTCACACAGCGTATCGAACCTGTCATTCGGTACGACGGAGGGTCGTTCCCAGCGACGGAGGGACGGTAAGAGGTTGCGTGCGCGCGCTTTTTCAGTAACACAGACCGTGAACAGTACAGATCTGCGGACGACCCAAATCCCAAAATTCCCAGATCCAACCATTCACAGAAGGATTGTTTAGTTTAATCGCAGCTGGCTTTGACCCCTGACCCAGACCAAATGCATGGTTCGAATCACCGGACGTCCGTTGCTCATGCTGTCTATGAGCACGGAGCCGACTGCAGCAGCACGGCGTGGCACGCCAACCCTGACACTCTAAAAGGCAGTTGTCTATCCTTCCGCCGGCCATCTTTGCAACGGGGTTCGACACGAACTCACCGCATTGGCACGTCCCGCATGTACCACTGTGTCGTCTGGCGAAAGCCCTCCACCTCCGGCTCACCAAGCAACTCCTTAATAGCTGTTTGTGGCGGGGCCGGATTCTTCGCGAACTGCAGCGACACCCATGGGGTAATGCAGGTAGCTTACCCTGGCTGTAAGCAGTTTACCCTGCCAAGCCATGCGTGCTCAGGCCACACGGGGCTATTCAGAGAGGTCATCGTCAAGCATGATGTACATTGCCGAGCAAGCTACGTGAAAAGTATGCAACCCCGGCATCAACTCTTCCGCGGGCAGGGCATTTGGGCGAGAGACGGACGACAGCCCGAATAACCATGTATGAGTATACCACCACAGGAACCGCGTTCCTGGTCCACCACAGAGCCCGGAAACGCACCCGACTAACAAAACCGATAACAGCCGGGCCTGGGTGTGTAGGTGTACCTAGAATGCATGTGTGCCTCGCGTTTCATACCCACTACGAAGTCAAGCATTGATGTCTACAGCCTCGCTGCATAGCACATGCTGTAATGTTAGGCGCAGCGCTATCCTAAGAATCAACCAGGAATAAGAAGTTCGCGCCCACCTCCTCGTGCGCCTGCTGCGAGCTGTCGGGTCGCACCCACAGCAGTCCATGGACCACCTGCACCGGGAAGGCCCTCACGCAGGAGCGGCGGCTCTCACAAGCCACCTGCATTGCCTTTGCGTCGCCTCGCAGCTGGGGGATGTGCGTGCAGGCACCGCGGCCGTCAAACTGCCAGCCATGGTAGGAACACTGCAGCGTACCGTCGGACTCGATGCGGCCCTCCGACAATGGTGCCAACCTGGAAGAAAACAAGTAGGATAGGGTCCAAAGCGGATCAAGCTGCGCAAAACGAAGTTGCGGCTTGCGATACGCCAGCCACTGTGCTTAACCCGTAGAGTTGCACACCTGTGCGGGCATTTGTCCTCTACGGCATGCCAGGCACCCTGCTTATCTCGCCACAGGGCCAGGGTAATACCCAGCAGGTGCGTGGCGTGCGGTCGGCGCGGGTCCAGGTCATCAACGATGGCGACAGGATACCAATGCTCCGTCCAGGGGAACGTCCGGGTGGGCTCTCCGGCAGTGCTGAGGCCAGCGATAGGTCCCTGGCTTTTACTTCCGAGCACATTTGCCTCTTCTTCATGTGTAAGCTTTTCTGCTTGAGGGACGTATCGTCATCCCCTGGAAGTACGTTCAACGCACTTAAGTCCTGACATCACAGCTGGTATTACCTGCTTGTGATGCTGCAGCGGTATTCACTGTCCATGTCGTCGTGCGGGGCAATTTTTGCTGCGAAGGTAGTGGCCTTGATGCAACGCAAACACGCCGACTGCAAAAACAAAAATGGTATGACCTCCATCTCAAAAAGCAATTCAGCCACAAAGACACCAACACTTGGTCCAGCGTCACCGAGCTCAATCTCACCCAAGAGTCACAGCGGGTTGCACCGGGCAACGGCGCACTCCCCTCATCTTCATGTACATCGTCTATTAAAGATGCCAACGGTGATCTGTGTAAACAATCCTTTACGATCCTTTAAGTTTGACTATGTATGATCATTTCTGTAAACCAGTTCGACATCTCGAACCGGACACATCGTACGGCTATCAACCCTCCTTGCTTTGAGCAGTCTGGCTTCCAGTCAGTGATCATAGCTCTTTAGGTTCTACATCGCGGAGCTGATATTTCCTAACTGCCTAACGGTTGAACAACCGCGTTTTAGCTGCGCTTTCTTGTTGCCACTCACGCTGCAAGGTTCAAGAGAGCAACCACTTCTCCCAATATTAGGCTATATTATTAGCGCTGCGTACACAGTTGCTTGAGCATAAATGGATGGCAGTGGGTGAGCACTGCCGTCCGCGCCTGGACAACGAACCATGAGCACACGGCGTTGCTCAAAAATCTGTGCCAGTAAACTATGTCGATACGTTCATCAAGCGATTGTGGTGAAGGTTCCATTTCGGCTATAATCTCCTAAAGGAGCAACTTTGAGGCAGATGTGCATTTACGCCAGCTGTATGGCCCATACCTTCTCGTGCTTCATGTGATCAGGGCCCGGTGTTGGCGTTGATCAATCCTGACTCGTGCGACCTTGTGATGCGTGCCTCCACTTTTATAGATGTATGCTTTAGCACCATGATGTGTCTACCCCTCGCAGCCCCGGCTTTCATTGGTCTATAAATTCTCTGCGAAGACATGTACCCTCGGCGCTGAAGTTGAGCCCAGTAATCCGTGGGCCCACAGGATGATGGCTGTCAGCTACCCGGGGCCGGCTTGGTACGGCTTGGGCTCCGAAACTACGCTTTAAAACTGTTATACGCGATTCGTCCCATATTCATTTGACTAATTACAAATGGCAAACACAAAATTGGGAACGTAATATCCATGCGTTCAGATACATGCGCCTTTGGACCGTTTTAACTTTAACAGGCTAGTTGAAGAGTACAGAGAGTGGACGACACTGGCAGCGGAAACCAGAAGGCCCGAGTGCACCCTTTCATCCAGTCTGGCGGCAACAAAAACGCTGCACCCTGCAACCTTATTACCTATCTCTCGAAAAAACATGTAGTTGGCTGCAATGCTTTGTCGTAAAACATCGTAGCACTTATACGTTGCATTTCGTCCATCACATGTAACCTTCAGTGGTGGATAAGGAGGCGACTGTGGGAAGAGTGGGATGCGCACTGAAGCTGCAGGAATGAATGGGAAGCGGGGTGTGAGGATGCGGGTTCCAATCGCCGAGGAAGCCTTGCAGGGCTCCACAATCCTTGTCCTATGGACACCGTTTATTGCAGCTACGCGAAGTGCACACGAAGCGCTGGAGAGCTGCCGGGGGAAGCCAGGAAGAAGAAGAAAAACGGGAAGGGAACGCAATGAGGACAGATACTGCAGAAACTGGAAACGGAGGAGGGCAAACACGTAATGTTGTTGGCAAAGAGCTGAAGGTGCTCTTGTAGTCTAACAGCGTCAACTCGATATCGTGGAACTGAAGAGCTCAGTTCGGGTGCAGGACGACGCATAAAGGGTTTATCATCCAAATCACAGACCATGTAAATTAGTACTTCGTGATGATACTTGTCCTCGTTAGCCGTCTGCAAAAAGTGGATTGATCCCCCGAAGTCCATAAAGATCTTGCCCCTCCAAGGCATATAATGATACCAAGCATTGCCTAAATGCCCGTAGCATTGCGTCCTTAGCAATGCTGGCGTCAAATAATGTCAGCCCGGCAGGTGTCCATGTCGTATCTAGTTCAGTTGTATTTAATGTATGTTAATCATCTAGCACCGCATCTGTAGCCCTGCTTTTTCGTGTGGCACCTGTCAGTCGTTCGTGAGGTCGTTCGTTTATGAGCAGCCGGTCCGTACCTGGCCCTGACCGTCACTTTCAGCAGCGAATCCTGGGCGCGTTGCTTACAATAAGTTGGTAAAAGATATTCGTGATGAGCTAACATTTGAACGGTATATTGCTGAAAGCTGCTTCCTTCATTCCTGACGCCCCGTGTCTGTGTTCTTCATTTTGGCATCCAGGCTCATCGTATAAGCTAGCATGCATTATCATAGTTTTGAGTGATTCACTCTGAGGGTTACAATCACGGATTCCCCATCGAGCTGTACTGCTCCCAACTAGGTCAAAGATAGAAGTGGATTTGGCTGAAAAGCCTTGATTTGATCACATTTAAGTTGATAAGATGGGTAATGGCTGCTCGACGGAGAAATCAACGGTAGGTGTGTTGCTCTTGCCGCACATGCCATGGCGCAAGGCGTCCTACACGGTCACGCACGGCGCCAGAGCCATAGCATGAACCTGCAAGTATTGTAGAGCCAAATGCAGAAGCGAGATCCTTCACTATAAGAAGCGCCCCCAATAAATGCAACGGCCTGACAGCAAAAGGCACAAGTCGTCTCTCCTAAGCTTTGGCGCATAAACCTCTAAGGCGCGAAGGAAATTCCGAACGCAGGAGACTTTGTCGCCCCATGCGACACGATCTAAGTCGATGTTATCCAAGTCGGCCAGCGGCGCTGGTAGCCGGAAGACCCGCGAGGACCTGGCATCGCAGTTTGTAGCTGGTAAGAACCCTAAGGGTACCGCACATGTTCAGTATTTTGAATACTGAAACGCAGGTTTAGAACATACGGTACATATTATCCCAGCAGCAGCATTACTACGGTTGCCCACGATTATCCCCCGCCATAATCCCATATAGCTCCTGGCTTTTCACAGCTGCATCTCTTTCCCGTGTTCATCAGTCCGCCAGTCCGCTCTCCTTTCTCCATGCTTCCCTCTCGTCCGGGATGAGGTCTGACATCGGTCCGCTTAACAATCAGTCGCCCAAAACCCACGGCTTTCACAAACACCCGTTCCCTCGCACTCTCGATGATGTTAGCTACCGGTTCTGCGGCTTTCGTTCCTAAACCCGCAACGACTTCCCAAGATAAGTACACCACCGGGAACATTCTCCTCCCTCAGAATTCCCTGCGGATGACGACCCCGACGACGACATGCCCTCCTACCCCGAGGGTTCCCGCGAGGCGACTCTCCTGAAGGTGCGGGTGCAGGGCTGGGCGCGGGGTGCGGGGCTTGGGTGCGGGTGCGGCGCCGTGTAACGGTAACGGAATGAGCTCGTGACGGAGCAGGAGTGGGTGGCGAGGGTAGAGCAAAGGTCGGTAGGGTACCACGGCGAACACCGGGTGGGGGCTCACCTCCCCGTCCCGTCATCAGGCTGCCTCACGTTGTGAAACTTCTACTACCCGCCACCGTTGAGACGTTTCGCCTCAACAAACGTTGCAGAAGGGGATGGTGGGGTACGGCTGGTTTGGCCATGGGCAGCGGGGACGGTATTTCTCGCTTTGCTGAAGCCGCGAAGTACGGCGCCAGGGCATGCAGGCCGCGCCCTGAGTCATAGCTGTCACACCGTAGTCGCGGCGCAGATGTACCCGGCGACCAGAACGCCTGTCCCGGGCAAGGCGCCCCCTGATGCCGGTGCGGCCATGCTGATTTTCCTTTGTCACACAACAGCCGTACACTTCCCATGCGACGTGCGCAGGTTTTCAATTTGCTGGATTCAGAGAATTGCGGCTACATCTTGGTGCCCGTTTGGAAGGACTACGTGTTGCAGATGGTGATTAACGGCTACAGAATGGGGAAAGGGTAAATGGGGGGAAGTATACAGAGAGGGAAATGGTGCGAGGCTGCTAGACAGGAGCGGAGGAGAGAAGAGAAAGCTTCAGGAAAGCAACCACACGAGGAAGGAGTCATCGGTTGCCGACCATCGCCATTTTCCACTTCCGTGGAGCCACGGGGCTCTTTCTCAGCCGCGCTTCCAAAATTTCCCACACGCAATAGCAGCACCCACATACATACACATACACGCGCAACCTTAATGCCATCAACACGCCCTCACAGTCCCTATGGCGATAAATCTCACGTTGTAACAGGGTCTGACCACGGAGGCGCTTGCGAAGGAGCTGGCGGTCATTGTCGCAGATCAGAAGACCCCAGGTGACCCGCGGGTCACTGCCCGGCAGTTCGTCACCGCCATGGTACACATGGTGGTGGGATATGACGATCCGGAGTTTGGGAAGTTTGTTGCACAGACTCTGATGACGTACAGGTACGAGCCCGCACATGGGTGTAGCTGGGGAAGCGGGAAGCTGGGAGGGGGTGGGTGGGAAACGGGGTCCCTGACGGGGTCCCCGAAGCGCCGTGGGATACGGACGGGCAGACCCGGGGCTGGGGACCTGACTTCCGCCAAGGAGGGGAACCTTGAGACGAGCCGTTAGTATGAGAATCCCTGAGCTACTGTGCTGCTTAGGGTTTTTCAGGGATCCCCACCTGGCTTGGCCACTTCAGACCCGTCTTGGCGACCAGCTGTATGTGAAATCCAGCGCGTCAACTCACAGCATTGATCCCTCGGACCCCTCAGACACGTGGCTGGCTCCCTTACCCAGTGCGAACGTTACCTAGTGCCAAGTACCGGTGATCCTCCTCTGGACGTTTCGCTCTTTAACCTACCAACCCACCTGCCAGCCTCTTCTGTTCGCAAACGCTGCTGCTGATCCTGCTGCCTCTCCCTTCTGTTGTTGACCCTGCTGCTGTTGCCGTTGCATCTGGGTGCTCGTGCTACTGCGTATGGATGTGGCGGCTTAGGGCCAAGGGGGCCAGTCGCTACCTCAACACGGAGCAGGTGGGGCCGCCGGGTGGGCAGGCAGCCTCGCAGGCGTAAAGTGGCGGCATCGGCGGGGTGAAATGACCCGGTGCGAGCCACAGCCTTAGGGGCGACCGGGGGATGAACCGCTTCCTACCGGCTCTACATAGTGCCCTACCCCGTGCATCTTTTCCGAAGGAAGAGAGTTCTCGGGTTTCCCAGTGCCAGCGCCAGCCAGGAGTATGCTCGTGTCTGCTGCGTCGGCGGCCCTGGCTATTGCTGTTTCGCTTCGCTAGAGTTTGGATATTCATCCGCCCCCAACTCCCATCAAGCCCCCAACTCCTAGTCCTGCGTGAGTTTTCTATGTCGTCTGGTTCCGAATTGATATGACCTGTGTCGTCATCACAATAAGCATCATGACATCTACATAACCACAATACATGCCGGCGGCGGTTGTTCTTACCGTATCGCTTTAGCAATTGGGGGCCATCCTGGGCAAGCCAGGGCAGTGCCGGGGCCGAGTGCCGGGAAAAGGTGGGTGCACCCTCAGCTCGTATGGAAAAGACAGTAAACCTAAGAGCTGAACCTAAGAGCTGCGCATAAGACACTTCACTACATATTGTTGAGAACAAAGAAGTTGGTTGAAGAGAAAGGGTGTTGGGGTGGTATAAATTCCTAAATCAAAGGCGCGCTGTGGGATGGTCCAAGGTCGCGTCATTGCTGCGGCTCCCTTGCCCGTATGGCGCGCACGTGTACATACATACATGTCGAGCATAGTGTACATTTTATGCTATGTATTACCATGATTCGCGCCGGCTGACGCATTGCAATCAGTACGAGGGCCCTTAGTTATGATAGGCTGTGGCCCATGCCCGGGACAGTCCGCAGCCAGAGTGAAAGGGCATTAATCTCTGCACGATTAAGCTGTCAAGTGGGTGTCAGTAGCGCCTGGGGAGACGGCAATAGCCCTCTGATGGTAGTAGTGGTGGCGGCCGAGCGGTGTGGTGGGCGGCTTGCTTAACGTTGAGACAGGGATGCAATCATCTCTGTCCAGGCTTGGGGAGAAACAGGCCGGGAGGTGCCGCACGGCGCCAAGCACCACAATTGTGATTAGGAACCTATAGATATCATGTTTAATCATTGCCAGGGGCGGCTACTGCCGCTTCCCTGCGCTCCAAAAAGGTCAGATGCGCAAAGCTGGCAACCGGGTTGGCACAGCCGATAGATGAGACGGTTTGGGTATCTGCTTGCTTTGTGGCATAGGATAGGTTAAGTACGTGCTTTTTTATACCCTTCAGCTATGGTGCGCCGTGGACGGGGCGCAGCGACATGGCGGCCGTGCCCACACGGCGGCAGGCAGGCTGCAAGGGCCGGACGGTAACGCGGCGATAAATGGCACAAAGCAACCCATATCATGTATGTCATGTGGTAGTGGTATTGAGATTGCTACAGTACGTTCCGAACGCTGTTCCCCGGTCCCCATGTGGTTGGTGCCCTTCCCTAACAAAACACGCATTGGTTGGGTTTCACCTGACACGAACAGCTCAAGCCGTCGGGGTTCGTATACCTTTTCGGCTTCCGCATGTGCCGTGTTGTGCCTTTTCATTGGACTGCTACCGCGGTGACGGCGGTGATAACTGCGGGCCATCGTCTCCGACTGCGACAACATGCACCTCTCGTCCTGCTGCTGCCCTCTTGAGCTGGCTGTACAGCTCCTGGGGTGGGACGCCGGTAACCGGTGAGCCAGCACGTTACGAACTTGGCTAATGGAATGCTATCGCCTATATCCCTCCACCTTCACTGTAATATTTAATGTCTATGCTTGGGCAACTGGAAAATTTGGGTGACGGGCATCGGCCTGCTACTGCTTTCCTAGCTGGAATGCACCGTCAACCATCCCCGTCGACGATGACGTGAAAGCGCGCCCATCAGCCGGGAAGTTTGAGGCGTATAGGTGCGATGCCACCGGTCCTTGAGACCCTTGCCAAGCAGCACACCCATACCAGCTAGGTACGCTCAGGCGGGCAAGCAGGAGGGCCACGACTCCTTATAACGCCATAAGCTCCACCACATAACACTGTACCAGCTGCCACATTTAGACCTTGACTTTATGTTGCTCAATCCAACAGATCGCGGTTTCATGTGTTACCAGGCGAGCAGCACTTCCCACTCTGCACTCATAACAGCCCAGGGCCAGCTCGCGACGGACCGAAAATGCCCGAAGTAATGAATGAAAGAACGAATGGAATGGACGGTGCTACAATGGACCCCAATGAATGCAGGACGGCGGCAATTCCAGAATGCTGTCCAGCACATGCTGCATATACTGCTGTTGATGTCATTGCATCTGCTGCTGTCTGTGACTTAACGTGCGGTGGGGGACTGCGGGCAGGAGACTGTGCCACAGGGCAATGGAGCCATAGCATAGACGACGGCTGCTGACCCGCGTGGCGATAGATGGCGCTCCCTTGGGGAATCATCATGCTGCCTGAGAGGCTCGACAACAGGATGGCCTGCCAACTAAGGGCATTACACCAACAAGCGATCATAAACAGACGCTACTTAAGCTTTCGAGCTTGAAACCGGATGAGTTGCTGCGCCTGAGAGAACTTCCGCCCCTTATCCATGTCCGCACTGAACACTGCTCCGAGCCTTGAACGAGTTAAGAGGACCGCCCACCCCACTCTCCCCCAACCCCAAGACATTATCAATATACCGCTGGGCCGCGTAGCAGGGCCACGGCATCACCTCAACATCTACTGGCGATTAATTTGTAGGGCTGCATTGCGTACCACTACGGTCTAACTACCTGTCGAGTGCTACCCGGTTCGACACAGCCAGCATGGGCGAGACATGGCCTCTTCACGTGCACCAACTCGCGTGCGCATGGGCTCAGGCACGCTCCATGTCAGCCAAAATGTGCCTTACCGCTATGCTGCCACGTGTCAGCTGCAACCTGGCCCTGCTGCCTGCCATTACCGCTGCCGCAGCCACAGCCGCCGCCTGCCTGAGCGGGCTGCCGGGGCCTTGGTGCCGGTTGCTGCCGCCAACCCCTCCACCGTTGCTGCCGCGCCTGTCCTCCGGTGCCGCGGCGCCCTTCGGGCTGCTGGCGACAGCGGCTGCAGGGCCACCCGTCCGTCGGCCCAGTGCATGGATGGGTGTCGCCGCGTCCGCGCCACCAGCGCTGGGCCCTGGCCTTCTGCACCTCCGCTTCCAAGGTGAAGTCCTTGGTGACTCTGTCGCGCTGCTGCAGCTCGAGAAGAACAAATCGAGCTCTGGATTGGGGCGGTTCAGCACCTTGCGTGCGCCGCCGCCACGCTTAAGGGGCGGCGTCGCAGCGGCGCCTTTGCGGCCGCCGCTGCCGAACGCTGCATCATCCGTGCAGATGCCATTGAAGCCGAACGAGGCCGACGCTCGGCCTGACGGCTGCGGCCCCGACGCGCGGCTTATCCTCGTCGCCTTTTTGCATGTGGCTGCGGCAGTGCTGGTGGGTACGGCAGAGGCGCCGGAGCGGCTGTGCCCTACATCCGATGTCGATGCCGCCGCGGTTCCATTGTTATGGAATTGGTGTTGGTGATAAGGCTGCTGCTGCAGCTGTCTGGCGCTTTGCGACGCACGAGGCGAAGCACTGCTGGCACCGCCCCCGCCGCGCCCCAGCCTGGTCGCGGAGGCTGACCGCGCAAGCCCTACACCAACCGTTAGCCCCTGCCTGCCCGCCGCTGCAGAAGACGCCGAAGTCCCAGCCGCCATGCCAATGCCTGCACGGGACAGGATGCTGGTGCTGCTTCTGGCAGCCGCGGCCGCAACAGTGGTGGTGGCCCTGCGCTCGGACTTGACACCCTGATGAGTCCCGGACAACGGAGATGCCCCGTCCGTTGCACGTCTTTGGGCACTGATCAGTCGCTTAGCTGCTGCAGCCGCCCTCTCACGCGCAACGGCGTCGCGCCTCTTCTCCTCCTCTTCCTCCTCACGTTCCTCGTCACCCCATATCCCTTTATCCTCCTCTACGTCCTCGTCGCTTGGCCAGCCCCAGCGGCTCAGGCCATCATCTTGATCAAATAAGCCGCCACGGCGCCATGCACCTAAGCCCCTGGCCGCCGTGGCCACGGCAGTACCGCTGCCTCCGCGGCTTTTGCCGCCGCCGCCGCCGGTGCCGGCATCGCCGCCGCCACGCCGAGTCATGGAGCCCAGGGCAGTGCAGCGGTACCGGGCCGGCGCCACATCGCTGTGAGGGCTTAACTGGGAGGTACACCGCCTTACCGGCGGGGATGACAGCAGTACATCGTCCTGTGACAGCAGCGACAGCTCCCCGTTTGGCGCTTGGATTGCCGGCGCCACTTGCAAAGACGGTGGGCGAAGGTTGCTGCTCCCGCCGCCACCGCCGCGGACTGCGCTTACTGCGCCGCTCGTGATAACGGCTGTAGCGAGTGCCGGCGCTCGTGACCGCTCCGGCGCACTTGGTTCGTTGTGTCGCAACATTCCATGCGGATCGGCATCCGGCTCGTGCTTTTCTGGACAGAAAAGTGCACCCTTGGTCCCAGGTATTGCACTTTCAGCCTGAGGCAGCGCCTGTGTCTGCGCTAGGAACTGAACCTGCTGAGGTGCGAGCAGGTGTGCGGCGACCGTGATGCCGTCGGGACCTGCCGTGGCGGCAGGCAGCTGCGGCTGTAGCTCCTGTGCCGCCTGCGGCAGTAGCGGCGGAAGTGACATGGGCAGCGGCGGCAGCTCCATGCGCACGCCTTGAAAAGTTGCCGCCGCGCCTAAGGCCGTCGCCGTGTCGTTTACAAGCAGCATTGGGTCCCCATCACGGTTGGCAATACCGACAGCGGCTCCAGCAACGGCGCTGCTGCCGCTATCGTAACCCCAAGTTGCAAGCCGCTGCTCTAGGGAGGCTGCGGCCTTGGTCCGTATCAGCGCTGCTGGAGTCTCAGGTACCGGCTGCCGCAACTGAACATGCGATAGCACTGGCTGAGACGGTTGCGGCTGGAGCGTTGGCTGCGGACAGGCCGGAGGGGCCGGGAGAGGCGGTATGGCTGGGGCCTCACACGACGGGGCTGACAGCTCCGCAAGGGAGACCACGGGCAACGGAGCTGCGTTATAATGGCTCCCCGTGCTTGGAGGGGGTCCCGGGAAGGTCTGCGCCGTCGGCCAGCCCGTTGGAACGGCCTGAGCAGGCAGGGCTGCCGCAGGCAGCCGTCGCTGGTGCTGGTAGTGGTGGTGCAGCGGCGGGGCTGGCGGTGGGGGGGCTGACGGCGGCGTTGTCAGCGGCAGCTGATGCCTGCATAGTTGTTGCAGCTGCGTTGGCTGCTGCGCCGGCGTTGGCTTCTGTTCCTGTGGGACAGATGCTGCGCCATCAGCCAATCGCGGCATTGGGGCCGGTGCGGCACAGGGTATGATGATACATGGCGGACATGGCTGCCTGCGGGGAGAGCAGTCAATCGCGGAAGTGGAGAGGTGAAGCCAACCGCGGGTGCACAGTTAACGGCGGGATGTAGCGGCGGACGGGTGGCAAGTACCGGAGACGGGGTTAGGGAATGGCGAAATCACTTCGTCCACCGAAGCCAAAAAAAACACTGCCAAAGACACGCAAGCCTCTCCCTCTCTGTTGCGATCCATGTTGGCCCAGTTCCGGTCCACATCAGGACAGCTACTCATGTAGTGCTCTGGTGCGTCCCCTACTTTCACTCTCTCCTCCCACCATCCCTTACACCACCGTGAGGCACGACACGTCCCCTCCTCGCCTGGCCTCCAACGGACCGCCTCGTGCAGCCGCCACAGCGCCCTCCAGCCCTTCACACCGACCACGGGCCTGCCGAGCCAACTGACACTGGCAGTGGTCTCGGGCCTCCGGAAGCTGTTCAACATGATGACCCGCGAGTCGCCCCGAAACAACCATCGGCCCCGGAGGGGCAGCTGCCGCCCCGGCCGTGATCCATGGGTCATGACCGGCGGGCTGCACTGGCGCCGCTCCAGGGACGGCTGCGCTCCCGGTACGAGCAGCGGCAGCAGTATTGCTACCAGAACTTGTTGTGGCAGCAGCAGCAGCAGCAGCAGCTGCTGCTGCTGCAGCGACGGTGCCTGCTGCGCTGGCAGCTGCGCGAGGTGGCTGCATGACTCCCAGAACCGCCTCCAGCCGAGGCCACAGCGCTCCCAGTCGCTCCAGGGGGCCCATCAGGGCCTGATGTGCGAGGCTCAGACGCTGCGGCGGCGGAAGTCCAAGGGCGGCGTACGGATTGCGGCGACGTAGTCCATGTCTGCCAACAGTAACCCAGCGCTCTTGTAAGACGAGTGCACGAGAAGACGCATGGACGCGGTGCTGTGTGCGCGTAGGCGCGTGTAATGCAGCTCCCCACCGGACCCAGGCACATGGGGCTGAGGCAGTGTTGGAGTGATAAGTGACACCTAGCCATGAGTTAGGAAAGCAGCACCGCCGAGGCCAAAACACAATGCTTCGCGTGTCGTAAAGTGCGGTGCTGGTTGTTGTTGTTGTGGTGGACTCCCTCAGCGGAATCCCCGGTGGACAGGAGCCCCTACACAACACCCAATAACTATACGTCCCAGTACCGCGCGCATACTACCAGCCACCGCCAAACAGATTGCTCGGCACTCGTGCGATATGCATACCTGCACCTCTGCGGCAATCGCCCGAACGTGTGCCGTGTCCGCCTCCGCCCGCACCGCGCCGCGCGCTTCCCACGCCTCTAGCACCGCCTCCGCTGCCGCCCGGGCGCTCCTGTGTTTGTTTGTTTGTTTGTTTGTTTGTTTGTGTATGTGTGTGTGTATGCGCGCGCGCGTGTGTGTGTGTGTGTGCGGTCAGCAGACAGGTCGGGTAAAACAGCCGGGCCTGGGGTGCAATGTGGCATGGCCAGTGTCTTACGGAGGCGGCCTGCGGGTAGGCAGTCGGGATCGCGGCAGCATCCTCCATGGGGATCACCTCCCTCCTTGCAAAGCAATTCAAGTGAAACCACCCCACCTTTCCACCGCCAGCTGCAGCTCGGCCGGAAACAGAGGCAGCTGCAGCTGCTGTTGCTGCTGACGGTCCTGGTTGTAGGAACTGTGCTGTTGCTGCCCTTGCTGGAGAGCACCGGGCCCTACTGTGCAGGCGCCGCCTCCAGGACCGGGTCCAGGAGGGCAGTGGGCGGCACTATTCGCATCCCTCGCCGTTGCCGTCGCGGCGCTACGGCCACTGGTCGTCGCCGCCGGCCCCGCAGCCGCTGATTCCGCTACAACCGTCGTCACTGAGCCACTCCCGCCAGCTGGGGCCACCTGTGTCCCGTCCTCCGGGGCGCCATTTGGTGTTGATGCAGGCCGCCCAAGATCCCTGTCCCTGCCCACACGGTGGCCATCCGCCACCGCCGCCTCTGCATGCTTCACGGTGCCATCCGCCTGCCCCGCCCCGGCACGATGCTCCCTCTCCTCCACATCTCTTGCTTCCCTAGCATCCTCCCCACTACGACTGGCCACCGTCGCAGCATTGAAGGCGGGGACGGCGGCGCCTCCACCGCAGACCAGCCCGCCGGTGTCCGCGCTCGGCCTCCGCGTCCCCGCCTCTGCTTCAAACACAGATAAGTCGCAAACGCCGCAGTCGCCGCCCTGTCCCTCCCCCAAGGCATGCATGAACAGACGCACGTGGTCACGCATGCCATATACCATATGCATACATACATAACCGACTTGTGCTGTGTGCTCCCGACCCTTGCGCTGTGTTTCGGCTTCGGCCCCCGGCTCTCGCGGCCCACAGTGTAACCTAAGTCATACATACATACATACATACATACATAAGGTTCGTAGGTACGTACATACATACACATATACACATACTTGCTCGCGGACTTCCTCGACCTGCCGGACCTCCTTTGCAGCGCGCGCTACCTCGGCTTCCAGCGCCTACAACAGCCGGAGAGATTTGGTTCGGGGTTGACAAAGTTCAAACAGAGCCCCTCCTTCGCATGGGAGGCGTGACTCGAGAGTCAGCTACACCGGATGTGAAGGGGAGTCTTTCCAGTGGAAACGCGCGATTCTACCTGCCCCTGCTACCCGTCCACGCGGCCGTAGCTGTCCACCGACCTTGTCCCACGGAACCCGCTCCCTCACCCCGGATTCCCTCACCTCCACACGGGAGATTACAATCTGGAGCTCGTCCTTCCACAACGCAAGTGGCAATATGGCCTCACTCTCCCGCTTCTGCACCGATGCCGCCGCGGCCACTGCCATTCCACCTGATGCTGGTGCGGCAGCGGCAGCCGCCTCCGCAGCGGCCGCGTCATCCTGCCGTGAAGCGACTTTAACTGTTTCTGCGTCGACGGCAGGGCCTCCGCCGCCGCAGCCGCTTGTGGGCTGTCTGCAGTACGTGTCGCGCTCGTTGCAGAACACGGCGTTTTGCAGCCTTTGTACTTGGAGCTGCAGTGTCCGGATGCTCTCCGCCAGCTGCTGGTCCTGAGGAATAAGTATGCCGCAGAGTGGGAAAAGAAGACAGTGCCATATAGTTACGCGAAAAAGAGGGTCGTGGCTCGCGCTGCGTGCTGTGCTTGTACGGTTTGTGTGCTTATCCAAAGCCGCTGGTCTGGATTAGGGAAGCCTGAGTCTCCGCGTGAATTACCTGCAAGCCGCGGAGGATGTCGCTCTGCTGCTGGCATTCCTGCGCTGTGCGGACCAGCTTGGCCAGGTCTATTAGCTGGTCATGAGAAGCGGAAAGCGGGGGTGCGCGGTAGGATCTCCGTTTTTTAGGGAAATTTGGTTTGGGTTGAACGTTATGGCAAAGGATGTTTCGGTCAAGGGTGCCCGAGAAGGTGACCCAAAGCGAAGAACAACCAGGTTGCACGGACATTAATCATGGCACACTCTCGCTACCAAATAGCAAGCCAGCGTATAGCCTTCGTGGTTGCTACCTTGAGCTCAAGGGCAGCAACGTCTGGAGCAGTCGTTGCCACGCGGGCCTACAAGGTGATGGCCATAGGGGCTGTTAATTATATTTAATAGCGGGGAATGAGAGCAGTTTATATTGAAAACCTGTTGGGACGCATAAGAACGGCTCTGCCTCATACTGACGCTACTCGTAAAGACAGCTGTCGCTGTTTTAACGGAGTGGAGGCACAATCATACTGTGGGATCTGCATACGCAGCATAACAAAATTATCACTGATAAAGAGCACTGCCTTTGACTATGGAACAGTGCCGTTACATCACTAAACGTGATACGACAGTTCCAACTGTTTATAGCCTTGGTACCCAACCCTTATAGTGCAGGTATGCTTCCGCTGACCGTTTGGGAGGTTTAGGACGCTAAAATTGGACTTCATTGGACGCATAGTTGGTCGACTCTGTTCCCTTGGTGGAAGACGGAGTTTTTGGAAGTACCTTGCTAATTAAAAAATGAGGAACCCAAAGAAAGCCAAAGCTAAACTTAAATCCAAAGCAAAGCTCAAAGCGAAAAAGGTAGGAAGGGTGGCGAGCCGCCGTTTCGGGACTTGAGCGCATACAGAGTCAAAATTGTCTCCCTGTGTAGCAGGAGGAGATGGAACTGGATGATGATCCGTCTACATCTAATGCCAAGGTACGTAAACCTGACCGCCTCATCGCTTTGCGGCGGCGCATGGCGACAGGCTTAACGCGACATCGCTTCACGCACGCCTTCACTGAGCCACAAAGCGCGATGTCGCTTGATGCACGTATCAATACTACCTCCGTGGTCCTCATCGTATCCCGTTTAGGTGTGGCGTCCGGGCATCGACCCTGTGGACGAGGATGAGGAGCTGGCCTATGACCCAACCGCGTACGACTGCCTGCACCGCTTCGAAGTGGACTGGCCATGCCTAAGGTAAATCGCTATCCCCTCCCGCCTATACCTTCCACCTTCCTCCATTTACATGGTTGCACGAAGGGGAGTACTAGTTAGTCATTGCACCGTTCAGGGTTTTAGTTGCTTGGAGCCCCCGCCTCCCCCAGCTCCCCACTCCGCTTTCCCTCCACTCCCACGCTGAAGGTTCCCTTTCATCCGCTGCCTTTCCGTCCCAAAACGTTTTTGACCCATATCACTATCCTACCCCTTCTCCTTAAGTCCGCCGCACGCGGGCATCCACCCGCGCATACACCGGGCTGCGTCATTTCAGTCCGCGCCATCCTCCAACGGCTTCACAGCAGAAGCCCATACCCTTCCCATCCTCGTGGTGACTGACGTTCTGACCAAACCACTGCCCCTGCCGCCCCGCAGCTTCGATATCCTCAAAGATGACCTGGGCGGGCCACGCAGCTCCTTCCCCCATACAGTTTACCTGGTCTGTGGCACTCAGGCGGCAACCGCCCGACAAAACTACGTTGCCTTCCTTAAACTGGCGCAGTTGGGGCAAGGTCGTCATGGCAAGAAATCAGCCGCGGAGGACGACGATGACTCGGACGCTTCTGACGATGATGACGACGACAGTAGTGACGATGGCGAGGGCAGCAGCAGTGACGGCGAGGAGGGGCCGGTTGCGGGCGGCGACGGCGATCAGGAGATGGGCGAGGAGGCTGGAGAAGGGCGCAGGAAGGGCAAGGCGCGCATGCGAGGGGCTGCAGGCGAGCTGCCCGCCACGTTTCACTACCGCCGCATCGCAATGCCGTGTGGAGTGAATCGCGTCCGGGCGATGCCACAGCAGCCGGCGCTGGTGGCGGTGTGGGGTGACAACGGGCAGGTACGTCCTGGGGCGGGTGAAAAGGGGGAGGGGTTGGCCAGAGGCAGGGAGCTGTGTGGGTGGGTGGAGGCACCGCCGGTTATATGGTGTGTGGGTGGATTTTGGTGTTTTGGGGTCCAAGAGGATCTCGTGAGAGAGAGGAGAGAGGGAAATGGTTTGCTGCAATCGGACAGAACACGTCGGCATGGGCTGAATGGAGTGAGAGAGCGGATTTTGAATCCCAATTGGGTCGTGTCTGGGCTGGGGTAACTTTATATGTCAATCTTTCTCCACGAAGTCGAGGTGGCTTCGGAGCCGGGTATTCATGCGTAACTTTACGTGCTGGTTGGGATTGGTTGTGCACGCAGCTGTGCTGGTCATTGAGTGGTGGTGACTAGGGCGGTGGTTGGGAGGGGGATATCGTGGCCGTAGCAGGCTGCGGGCAAGGGCCGTGGGGGGAGCGGGTCTGGGCAGTGAGTGAATGAAGGCGCAATTGTCTGATACATGCGGTCGTGCTGTGTTAACGATGGGAAGTGGTCGGGAATTATGGGATGTGAAGGTTGTGAAGAGAGACACAGAACCACTAGGGGGACCGTCTGCGGGACGCACGTGATGCGTCGGATTGTGCAGCAACTGCACGACACCAAAAAATCTTGATTGAGAATTGTATCGCGTTTTACACACTTGATGCCTCTTGGTGCCACAATCGCCGGCGCAGCAGTACAGCAGCAGTGACTGAGGAAGGCAAGGTAACATCAGGGACACCAGGAGCAGCAGCAAGAGGCGGGGCGGGAGGGAGGGTGGCTTAGGTGACCTGTGCAGCAGGAAGTTAGGGGGGAGAGGCGCAATAGGAGAGGCGCCACAGCCACGCGCAATCGTCCCAACCCACCGCGCCCCAGTTTGCATTTGAAGACCCACCTCATCTCCACAACACTCCAACATGCTCGCAGGTACGGCTCATTGACGGCTCCAAGCTGGTTTCAGATTTGGCGGCTGAGACGGAGCCCACTGCTGCCACCGCCAAGGGCAAAGGAGGCGGTGTGGGCAAGCCGCTGGAACTCAGGCCGTTGGCCACACACAGTCACTCGGCTGAGGGCTTCGCGCTGGACTGGTCGTCGGCGCGGCCTGGTCGGCTGGCCTCCGGCGACAACCGCCACAAGATTCACGTGTGGGAGCCCTCGGAAGGGGGGAAGTGGTCGGTTGGCGGGGCGCATGTGGGTGAGTGCTGCGTGTGGTAAGGCGGCTCTCCGGACGCCGGGGAGGGGGAGGGGAGGGGGGTTCACGGAAGGGCGAAATCGACGGTTGGGGCTCTTTGTGCTTCCTTCGCTTGCTTCCCTGACCATTTTAGGAGGAGGAGGAGAAGCACGAGGACGACGACAGACAGGGTGGAGGGAAAGGAGCAATAGATCGCTCCATTTCCCGCAGCTGTTATCCTCTCTCCGTGTTCTCCCACCATGTATCTGTCTCGCCGCCATGTACCTCGTCCGCTGTCCAGGTCACGAGGGGGCTGTGGAGGACCTCCAGTGGAGCCCCTCAGAGGAGACGGTGTTTGCCTCCTGTGGCACCGACCGCTCCATCCGTATCTGGGACGCCAGGGAACGCGGACGGCCCATGCTGACGGCGGCGGAGGCGCACGGCACCGACGTCAACGTCATTTCCTGGAACCGCGGCGTATCGTACATGCTCGCGTCGGGCGCTGACGACGGCTGCTTGCGCATCTGGGACCTGCGCACCTTTGCGTCGTCGTCATCGTCTTCGGCAACTTCTGGCGGGGGAAACCCTGCTGCGGGTCCTGCCCACGTGGCCCAGTTCACGTACCACCGGAGTCACGTGACGAGTGTAGAGTGGTGCCCCTACGAAGGCAGCATGTTGGCGTCTTGCTCAGCGGACAACCAACTGGCGGTGCGTGGGTCGGGGGCTAGGCCGGCGGCTAGGGGCCTGAGGGCTTAAAAGGAGACGATATGCTAAGGGTCATATACACTTACGTGTATACGCACAAATGACTGGATGAGGCCATCAATACGCGCAACACACATATCACTATTTCCTGTGCATTTAACGCGCCCCCTCTTCATAGCCCCAGTTGTAAAGCTGCTTGCACCCACGGCTCCCAACGCGTCGTGGCCGTACTTCCACTCTAGGTCCAAGGCACGCGATCCTAGTTCTGTTCTGCTCTTCCTTGGATGATACACATTCTCCATGGCCGGCCCGGCTCGGGTGCACACGCAGGTGTGGGATCTGGCGCTGGAGCGCGACCCCGAGGAGGAGGCTGCTCTGGCGCCCGAGGGTAACGCCGCGGCCCCCGAGGACCTGCCGGCTCAGCTGCTGTTTCTCCACGCGGGCCAGAGCGATCCCAAGGAGCTCCACTGGCACCCGCAGATACCCGGACTCCTGGTATCCACTGCAGGAGATGGCTTCAACCTGTTCAAGGCGGCCAACATGTAGTCGTGAGGCGGGAGGGAGAGGAGGAGGAGGAGCACAGCTGCACGGGACGTTTGGGCGTGGGGGGAGGGTTTGGGTTGTACCGCGTGTCGTGCGGCCGCGGGCTGGTGGGGCGAGATGGGCGTTGCGACGGGAAGGAGTGCGGCCTTAGTGGCTGTATAGGACCAGCCATGAGCTAGCCGCTGTCGTCGCCAGTGTGGGGTTTGGAGGTGATACGTGGAGCGTTACGCAGACGTCGCGATGGGGAAAGGGTGGGCTACGAGGGTCAGGGGCTAGGTCTGCTGCCGAGCGCTCCGCCTACCTCCGCTGTCTCTTGCAATGGGCCCAGACGACGATTCCCGCACACCCAGCCATATCGTTGTTGGTGGCATACGCGTTGGCTCTGGAGTCTGCCCAGAACCCATTTCTGCATAGTAGCAAGGGTGGCTCCGTGATACCCGTTGTGTGCCAAGGACCCCACCTCTTGTCCACATGCTAGCATACCTTGCGGTCTGCGCTTTGAAGGTGCTTGCTTTTGGTGTGCAAAACCGGGACTGAGAGGATGAGCACTGCGTTTTGACGTTAACGACGACATAAGCTGACTGCTACGTTCAGAAGGATGCGCAGTGGTAAAGCTTGCCTCTCCTCCAACAACATATTTAGGAGCGTATCAACGACACCGCCAAAGAACCTCTCCTTGGCTTGCTCAGTCTCGGAGGGTCAAGGCAACGGCCAAACATCCGCAGTTTGCCGGATTTGTCCAAGCACAGACAAAAAAACACCGTAACACACATAAATGACGGTAGATGGAAGCATGCAGTGCTCGCTAGCTGCACGGAGAAAGCAGCTTGGGCACCTGCCCCCTTGCCATATAGCGACTGCCACATTCCTTGGGGCGTGGAATGAAATTCCCCCGAGGTCTCGATATGAATGGCCGGGTGTCCCACGTGATAGGCTCCATGCCCACTTCCTCAGCCGATTTATCCGTTCATGTCATCCACCTGCTCATTCCTCAGTGTCCCACACTTCTCAGTAGACGTACACTAAACACATTAATGCATTTCTTTAAAGAGCCGTGGCTAATAACCGTCCTGTTACATCCCCTCACGCACATCACGCACGAGTTCATGCATACACCAATACGGTACATACACGTAAACGTACGGCACGGCCAGCGCAAGGTGCTTGTGACAGTGCACACTGCGTCGCATCTGTGGCACAATGTTGACCGCCTCGACTAGATCTAGTAGGCCACCTCAAAATGCCTCTGAATGCCTACCTGACCTGCGTGTCGCTGGCCAATTTCTACCCTCCTGCTCATGAAAGGCGGCGCAACACCAAGAGCAAAACGTCAGCAAAGCAACTATACGGCATATGTCAGTACCTTCTAGACCCTACCAATCGGCCCGTGGTAGCAACCCATGTACTCGTTCCTCATCAGCGGTATCATGAATACGAGCGGTTGTCCGCAGGGGTAACACACTATTTCGTCCTCGGGCCAATCTAGCACCAGAAGAACCCTTGTACGGCTGGCCATGTGGGGTCCGTATCTAAACTGCATGTTAAAGAATGGTACACGATATGTAAATCTTGTATTGCCGAACTTATGTGTGGGACATGAGGCCGGTACAGGACGCACTTAAGGCCTGGCGGCAGCTATGGTGTCGATGGTCAGTATGCGACAAAGCGCTGCGTCTTGGACCCTTGCCACCCTTGACATTCCAACAACTCTCTCTCCACGCTACGCTACGCTTTGTCGTTGGTGGGGAAGCTGTTAAAGCTATGAGGAATTAATGACAGCTGTCCTAGCTGTTGCCTGCACACCAGCGCCTTCTGAGGGGAATCGCTATTGAATCGGTTTGATCCAGTACACACGAATCGGCACTGTGTACCTCTAGCTAATTCAGACACGCAGACATGGCAACACAGACAACAACTGGAAGGGACAAAGCCACCTCTCGCGCACAACCACACTCACACTGCTACTCCTGCACAAACGAGGGCCACGCGTGTTCGGCAACAGAACAACAATTCGCACATGCTTTCCTGCCATAGCACGCGCAACGAAACGCTACGGGCAGCATACGAACATGCGAAAGCATATCTCTCAGCAAAGCAAACGGAATCAGCCAGATCGTGCAACCTCAGCTTTGGATTTAGTCAAGCGCGTTATCCACCACCTCGCTCTTCTGAACCCCCCTCCTACCCGACCCGCACCGTCCGCAGTCCCCCGCCGGCTGCCTCCTCGCCAGCCACATCATCTAGGCAATTAAGCCCCAGAAGCAAAGTGATGTCCCTAATACCGATTATCTGACTCAGCGCATGTTACTGCTGATGGTGGTGCTGGCGATGCTGCTGCGGCTGCTGTTGTTGCTCAGGAAAGAGCGCCCGCTGCAGCAGTGCGAGCACCTCCGGCGACGTCGCTGCAGTGCCGGCGGCGCTACCCTCCAGCGCCGGGGCAGCGGCCGCACCACCCCCCGCCGCCGCCGCCGCAGCAGCAGCCTGCTGGAGCAGCAACATCTGTTGTTGTTGTTGTTGCTGCTGCAGCTGCTGACGCTGATGGGTCTCCACAAGAAGGGACTGCCAGGCGGCTGTGGGAGCGGGAGGGCCCCCTGGATTCATCACCATGGAGCCAGTGGGGCTCAGGACGACGCCGCCACTGCTGGAGACGCGCGCCAAGTGCTGCACCTGAGCTTGCGCCTGGGCCTGAGCGTGGGCCTTCCGTGCCTCCGCTTCCTCTGCCGCGCGCTGGGCCAGCAGCTGCTGCCATGCCGCTGCCGCTTGCTGCTGTTGTTGCTGCTGTTGTTGTTGTTGATGGAGCTGCAGCAGCTGCAGCTGGTGCGCGGTGGCCTCAGCCTGCGTCAGCTGCTGGGTGGCCTGGTTGGTTTCCAACGGAACGCTGGACATGGTCGCAAGGGAGGCCAGTGTCGCCGCGGCGGGGTCCCCCGTGGCATCTGCTGCCGGTGGCGGGTCGCTGTGGAAACGCTGGAGCACTTGCTGCTGCTGCTGTTGTTGCTGCTGCTGCTGTGCCGCCTGCATTTGCCAATGTTGCTGCAGCATTACCGCCTGTTGCTGTTGCCACTGTAGTTGTGCAGCCGAGCTGTGGAAGCCGTTTTCGCTGACAGCACGCATAATTTGCACAGGAGCCATAGCACCAACCTGCTGCTGTTGCTGCTGCATTTGGTGCTGTTGCTCCTGCTGTTGCTCCTGCTTTCGTATTTGCTGTTGCTGTTGTATTTGCTGCTGCTGTTGTGTGTGCTGCTGCACGAGCATGAGCTGCTGCAGCAACTGGGCCAGCTGCGGGTCACCGCCAGGTCCGGCAGCAGCAGCGGCAGCAGCAGCGGCGGCGGTTAGCAGCTTGGCCTGCAGGGCGAATCGGTGGGCAGCGCGGGCAAATCGGTGGAAGCGGCTGAAACAAGATGTCAACAAGGATATCAATCCACAAGGAACGGCAAACACAGGGCGCGGAAAATGATTTTGGGCACAGGGCAAGGGAGGGGCGACCAACAATTCAGCATACTCAAGCCAATTCAGTTGTGGAGACGCATAGTCTGCTTAAGGTTCAATAAGCTGAAGGTTCGATCGCAAAACCATTTCCCGTTTACTTCCGCACGGATGCCAATTTGTCGAAAAACGGCCGACACACATCACGCCGTGAGCGCTAAGACATCCCAACCCATTACCCACTTGAACGTCCGCAGCCGCAGCGACACCAGCAGCCGAAGGCCTAGCACCCGGGTCCGCGTTGCTCTGATTGCGCTTCCCCGCCGCAGCGCCAGTGGCTCTCTCTGCACTCGCAGCCGCCGCCCCGCTCGCTGCCTGAGCTGCCGCTGCTCGTACTGCTCGTGCGGCTGCATGAGCCGCCGATGAGGCTGGCGGGGCTGGGGGTGCGATTGTGGAGCTGGGCTCCCCACCTGCGCCTCCGCCTCCGCCGCTGCTTCTGCGGGCCTTCGCGCCGTCCAGGTTGACAGAAAGCCCTATGGATTGTGCCAATGCAGCCGCCCGCACTGCAGCTGGGTGCAGGGTGTGCGACTGCCCCTGACTGCCTCCACTGCCGCTACCACTGCCGCCGCTACCGCCACCACCAGCCCGCGGCACGGCTGCCGCTGCCGCATGTGCTGCGCCAGCGCGGCCACCACCGTGGCCGTAAGTGCCAGTGCCGTAAGCGTCAGGCCGTAAGTTGGCGGACGTAGCGGCGGCGGCACCGCCACCCATTATGCCGCCACCGCTGCTGCTGCCCCGTCTGGTGCCAGAGGACGCCAACGACGGCAGCACACCGCCGCGCATCGCTAGCAGGGCCTCTGGCAGGGGTGGCGCGGGCGGCGGCGCCACACCTGCATTGGCAGTTAGCGTGCAGACAGATGGGAAATCCTTGCCCACCCCCAACCCTCACTGGCGTTCCAATACTTCCCCTAACACAGGGGCCTGTATAAGATACGGGAACCAGGACAACACCTCATCATTGCCCCCACCCGGGCTTAATCGCCTGCTTGCCCTGGACCGAATCATGTGAGGATCAGTCCCAACCAACTTCAGCCCCAACCAGGAATCAACGAAAACATTAAGTTCCAAGCTTAGGGACGACAAAGGGCAGCCTTCGTTCTATTGCTGCCGTCGCCCCTGTTGTCACCGCAGCAGCACACCACGAAACACATACACGAACTCCTGCTGCCTTCCTGGAGATGTTGGCCTACAGCTTCACGCGCTGGTGTCGCTGCTCACCGAAGGACTGCAGGATGTCCGACACCCCGCGACTGAAGTCCTCTGCCACCTTGAGGTAGCGCACATCGCGGCGAGACCGCCCCTTGCCCCGCTCGAAAAACCTACAACGCACGGGACGTCCACATAATGGTGATGATGATGATGAACCGCGATTGCGCCGTGTTTGCGTTGTGTAGCGGGGTTGGGGGGAAAGACGAACCACGAACGAACGAACCACAAACGAACCACACAACAGGGTTGGGGGGAGGTAAAGAGACGGAGGAAGTGCAGAGGCGACTAGACTGACGAAGTCCGGGGTGGGGTGGGGAAAGCAAGAGAAACACGGCCGCCGCAACACTGGCATCACTGAGCTGTGTGCAAGAAAGAGACGGGTGGTACGGGGTGGGGGAAAGTGCATGCACCGGCCGCATGGCTGCTGAGGACGCCTCGACACCGCCCCTAGACTCCCCTTTTTGCCCACTCCGCAAGGTCAAGCCGCTCAGGAAGCGCTAAAACCCAATTGAAAGACCCCGGGAAGGCGTGGCTTCGGCGACGGCTGTCTCAGCAGCAGTGATTGCGCCGCGGCCGCACCTCCAAGAGTTCCCCCCCCCCCGCACCTGACGTCCTTTATCATGGCCTCCAGCATCGGCCTAAGCTGCCGAGCCGAGGCCCGACCCATGCGCTCCACAAACACGCTGTCCAGGTGACGGTGAAGCACCTCCAGCACGTCAGCACCACTCCAGGGAGGGGGTCTGAGGACGGGACGAGGAAGCGAAGGGGAAAACAGGGAAGATGGCGAGGGTATTACGACACGCCTAGCTGGCGGTGCCTTTCACATACCGTACGACAACTCCCGTCCACAGCTCCTCGTACTCCTCCACCAGGATGTCTCGCAGTACGGGCGCTAGCGCCACGGTCAACCGCTGCAGCTCCGCGTGTAGCGCCGAAACCAGCGGGTCAGATGCCTCATCAAGGTCAAACTCCCCCACCAGGCTGCCCACCAGCGCCTCGCCCGCCGTACCGCCCCCGCCACTGCCACCACCGCCGTCGCCAAAGCCGTTCCCGTCCGACCAGCCGGTAGTATTGCGGGCCAGACCCAGCGGGCCATTACTGGCGGCATGCAAAACGTCATGCGTTCGTACGACAAAGGGCCCGGACGTATCGCTGACAGCGCCACCAGAGGCCGGGGCGCTCGGAGCGCCCTGCGGTAAGGTCCGGTTGCGATAAGGCAGGAGAAGATAAATCAAAAGAAAGGGTGGCAAGTGGGGCTCAAAGACGCCGATGTAGGGGTCTGGATGGAGACGGGCTACGGGCTTATGCGCGGGTCATGCCATACACAATCACGTCATGTGCGTGGGAAAATATAAAGTGAAGCGGCTGTATGAGCGTGAGCAGTGAGCGAGGAGGCTGTAGGAGCAGGGAAAGGAGGGGAAGGACGGCCAGTCGCGGTGGGCGATGATAGGGCCCCACCTTCCTGGGCATCCGGCCACCGCCTCCGTGTGTGCGTGCGTAATGGCCGTCATGTGCTATGAAAACATCAGGACAGCGACATCACGCAGAGCAAGACTCTGTGGATACACACGTGAGGCAGCAAAACCACTTCGCAACAGTAACACCAATAGCAGCCGCAGCGCAGCGCCAGAAGCCCATCCCCTAGGGCCGTACCTGGGAGCTGGAGCAAGTAGGGGCCGCAGTCGGCGGCGACGACGGCGCCGATACCGACATGGCCGCGTCGCCGTCGGCATCCACGACAGCGGCCGTCTTCGCCATGCCCGTCGCCGGCGACAACATCGATACAGACGCAGCTTGCTGGTGCGCCAGACGCCTCAGCGCCGCCTCTATTTGTTGTTGTTGCTGCTGCTGCTGCTGCTGCGGCCCCGAAACCGAACCGTCCAGTGAACGCAGGCGGCTCCGATACGCGGTTCCGGTGCCGCCAATACCGCCACTGGGGAATTCGGGCTGGGCCATGAGCTGGCCAATGGAGGTGGCTGGAACGCCGCACACTCGGGCCTGCAGAAATGTAAAGACACAAATATCCCTTATCACAGGAGCGCGAGGCCGAAATAGTGATGCGGGCCTTAAGACAGAGGCGGGGGGCGCCCAACGCGAATATGGGGACCGGAGACTCCGTGACACGCCAAGGGGGGGGCTGAGGGCCGCATCGACAATGGTGGTCCTAGCGCTGGTATAATGGGCAAGTCGCTCGAGGGATGAGTGGGTCAAACTCTGCGGGGACATCATTGATACGGGCTTGGCTTGCGACCAGCAAGGAACGAGGGTGTCCGCTTTGTATGTGTTTCCGGCTTGCGGGCCCTTGCTGCCTTTCCTCCGCCCTCGCCCTCCGGCCTGACGCACCTTGACACACAGGTTGTTGTCGTTGGACAGCAGGGCTACGCGGTTGGCGCGGACGGTGGTGGAAGCCATGGACGACAGCTCACTCTGCATTGCACCGACCAGGCATTGGCACGCACATGCGCACGCAGCAGGACTGGTTGTGGAATTAACCAAGACGTTCAACGAGCCATGTTCCTTAAGAATAGCGTGAAGATGCTGCCCATCGAGGACTTAAATTTTTCAACGGCCCTGTTCCTGCCCTTCAGCACAGCTTCACCCAGCACGCCACAACCCCTCCAACCTTCTTCCCGCTTTCTCCCCCTTCCATTTACAAGGTGGCATTCTTTGTACAGTATATTCTCCCCCCCCTCCCGTGCCCCCCCCCCATAGACCCCACGAACCTGCAGGTGTAAGCAGCACTGCAGGATTCTGTCGTCGTTGCTGATACTGTTGGCACCTGCGTAGCGGCAGTGCGGTGAACGGGAGGTGTAGCGCGTAAGCGACGTCAAGATCTGAGAGACCCGCCAGCCCTACTCCCCCGCCTGAGCTGCATGTTGGTTTCTGCCATGGAAGGAGGGTGCAAACACATGTGATGCCTTGCACAGATGGGACTCTACACACCCACCCACCCACTCACCCGCCCACCCACCAACCCAAGAACTCAAACCCCCCACCCACCAGCCACACACCCACCTAGCGGTATGGCTGCCCCAGGGTGGCAGCTAGCCGCACGAAACTGCTGCAGCGTCTGGCCGCGGTAAAACGTGTCCCCAGACTCCATGGCCGACAGCAGCATCGAGACTGCCTTCCGCGCCATTACCGCCACCGGACGACCATCTCCGTCATCGCTGCTACCGTCGTTGCCTGTTGGCCCTCCGCCACCTGAGCTGCGGTTCCGACCACCGCCACCATCGCCATTGGCGGCTATCAAAAAATATTTTAGCACGGTACCCAGAAGCCGCAACCAGGACAGAGCGATGAAGAGGACACCGCCAGCGTAGTCAGCGCCACAACCACCCCCACGCCAGCATAACATATATGACAGCAAAACATGTGCGGAGCGGTTTTGCGTCAAGTATGGGCTGTCATCAGGACTGGATCCAGATCCTAGTTGTCGGGATTTAGATGTACTGCATGTACACACGTCATGCAGGTATTTTAGCTTGTGCAAAGGCAAAGCTACATGGCTGGAATATATAAGGGGTTATGAGATCAAATACACGCCCCTAACTCCCCACTCCAGGCCGCCACGAGGCTTTGTTCTCCCAAACACAGGGCCACGTAGGGGTCCAAGGGACATGTGCGGGCGCGTGGCGGCTATTCCAGCACAGCCTCCTCCAGAACTCATGCAGGCAGGCATGGCAGTTGCACAGAAAGCACGTCACCGCAGTGCTTCCTGCCGCCTACCATACTTCGGACGGACGCACCCGTCCGTCCGTCCATCTAGTCGCCCATCACTACTCGCATATCCCATCCGGACCCCCACCCTACGCAGCCCGCAGTCCCGCCATATACCTGGTCTCCTGCCGCGCCGGTGCCGGCCGCCCTTGAGCCCATCCAGCTCCGCCAACACAGTCCAGGGAATGACCGCCACACAGCTCAGAGCAGCCGCCGCAGCACCGCTGCCGTCGACAGTCTTGCCCTCCCCAGCGTCGACACTGCTGCCTCTGTCGTGGCCCTCGCCACCACTGCCGCCATGTTCTCCTGCCGCTGACGCGGCCTTCGGCCGCGGCGCAATAAGCCGCTGAAGCCGCTGTAGCAGCCCCAAGCCGTCCTGGCGCAGTAGCACGTTGGTGTCCACAACCAGGAACAACCGCATCCAGTTTCCTGCTACTGACGCACCACCTCGCGCGGGAACTGGCGACACCACACCCTGGAGGACATACGACGCGGCCGCCTCCTTTTTCTGCTCCTGTCCCACCCCTGCTTCAGAGTCCGTGGGCAGTCGCAGCTCCTCCGGCTCGATATCCAAATCCATGGGCGTGGGCAGGTGCCATAGTGGCTCAGTGGCGGCGGAGAGCAGGGCAGCGGCGGCGGGCGTGGTGGCGCCACGGCGTCCTGGGGATGACCCGTGGGTCATCAGCTGCCACTCACTCGCGGTGACACCCACCGAGTCCACGTCCATGGACACCACCTCCGCAATGGCCTGGAGGAGTGCGAGGATACGGTCCGGTAACACAGAGGATTTAGTGACGATGAAGAAGTACCCAACGAGTTCACAAGCGGCGGGTGACGAGCTCGTCCACGCCGAAAAGGGTCCCTTTATGTTTTGTGAAAATTTCGGCTGGCTTTCCCTGCAGGGCCACACGTCTGCGCATGTGCATCAAAACCTCGATGCACGAATGAAGTGGACCGATGTGGCTCCCGCCGGCTCGTGACGGCCCCTCCTCAGTGGCCTCCACCCTAGGCCCCCTGGAGCTCAGCCCTTCCTCCGACACCTTTCAAGGTGCCAGATGCAACGCAGTAACAGCGAGGCAGCCGCAGCCGCATATCCAGCTGCCGAAGAGTCACTTGCATAAAAGGGCTTAAAACGGCAGCAGGGCTCTCAACGCAGATAGCTTCATGCAGAAGGTGAGATACCTTGCAGCCTCGGCCCCACAAGCCCGCATCCAATCCGGGCCCCGAGCACCCGAGCCACGCAACTGGCGAGGCACTCCCCTCCCCGTTGCCTGTATCACCCTCCCACCTCCAAAAAATCCTGCTGTTGCCTCAGCTGTGCGATTTCAGCCGCTACCTCCACGTCGGACATCAACACGTCATCGTCGCCGGTAGAGAGCGGGATGGGCCTTGACAAGGGGACGGATAAACACACGGACAGCGGGGATGAACAGATAAAACACGCGAACGGTAGGGTGAACGCTTGGAGCGCATGTGGCGCTCTCGTGGAGGTGTTAAGATTACGGCCATAGGAGCGGAGCATAATATAGCAGTGCGGAAAAATGGATGAAAGCGAAACAGCGGACAACTGAGGACACCTCACACTCACTCGCTCAGCCACCCTCCAACCGCTCGCCCACATCCACAACAATATGCATCCCAACCAGATATGCATCAGCACCCCTCCGCATTGACCCACTGACCACACACTCCCCCAGCTCATAACCACCCACCACGGCATCGGCGCATACGTACTGCCCTCCTGGACTCCCTTGGACAGCAGCTCAAAGTGCTTCGCCAGAATCCACAACGGCATCCATGTGCGGCTGGGGCCGTGCTGTACGTAGAAGCTGCCTTGAAGCTGGCCCTTGGCCAGCCACGACAGCAGCGAGCGGGCGGCGAATGGGCCCTCCTGTGAGCCCTACGGACCGATGGGACCGACGGGCGGGAGCCGTGTGACCCGTGAGCCAGTTGCTCGTAAAGCGGGTGTTGATATCGGCCCGGTGCAGCGTGTGAAGGCAAAACGTTATGTGGATAGGAAGTAAGGGGAAGAGCACGGGATCGCACGGACGCAAGGCAAGTAAGAAAGGAGGACTGTGCGCATGGAAGGTGGGGGAGGGCCTCGTCGGCTTGGAACGAGGCTTCCATGTACCACAAACGGTAGGTGACGGGAGTGAAGGCAGGAGGACAGGGAGAACCGGGTCGTGGGAGTTAAGACCCACCAGCAGGCGCACGGTGTCACCGACTTACCGACGGGCTGATGTAGTGCCAGCACTTCGTTGTGTGGTCGGAGATGGTGGCATGCTGCCCTGCATGCACATGCACGGCGCCAGAGGTAGACGGGGAGGATCCAAGGAGATTACATAACAAAAGACAAAAAGGTGGGAAGCCCAGCACCGGACATATGCCGCACCCAGCACCAGACATCAGACACGATGGGGGCAGCGAAAGGAGAACGAAGGATGCACCGGACACAGACAAAGACTGAAGGGAAGCACGCGTAGAGATGTGAACTTTCTCCTCTCACTCACCACGTTTTAATGTAGGCGGGTGCCGTGCTATGCATTTTTGCATCAGAGGTCTTTTTGCATATGTGCGCAAAGCATGACTGCTGTACGGCTTTATGAGACCGCTTGTTTCAGGTCCCCGCTCCCCGCAGCCCGTTGTACTCCGTTTGCTTTCAGCACTGCACTCGTATCAACCGTGCTAGCGGCAACCGCTGCCCTATCCCGAGGTCCAAGCTTACCCGAAACGCATAATCACAACGGCAGCAAGTGGCAACATTGAATGATAACATGTTGCGGTGGGTCAAGTGATTCGCCATGTCGAACGGCTAACATGTGACAGCACGGCACTGGACACGGGCCGCTGCGTACCGGGTGGGGTCAGGCGCAGCAGTAGGGTGAAGATAGCCGCTGCTTGCACATCTTGAGGACCATCTAGCACTAGTCGCCGACCCTTAACCCCATCCACTGAATCCACAGACGGTGCCTGGGGCAAGCCGCGGCATAGAAACATTTCAAGGTTTCCTTTAGTGCGGCGCTCGCCACAGGCGAGGGGCGGGAAAGTGATTATCGGTGATATGCATACATACTTTGGCCTGAACATGCAATCTCATTGTCCTATAAAATCGTTTTCGTGCACAATGACCTTCGCCGATGAGCAGACACACAGGTCGCACCATGATATTAGCACCTTTCCCTAGCATAATGAACTCCTTCATGCCAATCGCTGCCTTGACCTGTTGTAGGGGCAAGAAGTCGTTAGGGAACCAGGGCCACCGAAGGCGGGAACTCCAGCAGAATCTTAAGAAACCCAGGAGAGCCTCTTCGGCCGCCCCCTTTGCATACTTTTAGGCATGGCATAAACAGCTCCGTCTCGGTGTCGGTCGCCATTTTAGCGTCAAGTCTTCCGTTCCGGAAACCTATGAAAACTTATGATTGGAAAAGGCAGGTATACCAATCCAGGTTTGCATTTCTGCTAAACGCCCTGACTGGTCTCGATTCTCTTGGTGTCGAGGATATCGCGTACGACTAAACGGTTTAATGGATCGAACCTTACCGTTAGCGCCGTGCTGAAACCCTTGGCCCTTTTTGTAACTCATGAGCCCTTAGCATTTTCCATCTCACCAGGCAACCCAGTCTCGTGGGTTGGTGTTTACGGCTTGTGCACGCATCGCCCGCCGCAAGCAAGTTAGCTGGGAGGAGCCGGGAACGGCCCTGAAGGGCGGAGAAAGCCGCAGGGCAGCCTAGGCGGCTCTTGGAGACCAAAGCCGGCCCTGCCGAATGCCGGCATAAGATGCGCTGCAGGGGTTACACGAACCCAGCTTCATTGCGCGGGCGACGCTTCGAGTCGCTCTTCGCCCAGGCCCACTCTGCACGCGCCGATCTAACCAATAGTGCACAATTGCTCCAGTGCGCACGACACGCTAAGCCTGGTAGACAGCCTCTCGACATGCCCTGGCCTAGCTCCCTCCCTCGTCTCTGGCCGGAAGCGAATCGGATGCGCTCCATATGCACGAGCACCATGGAGCTGAGCAACAGTGGAACGAAGTCGGCGATGTGGCAGATTGGTTTCCATTTCCGAAAACTTTACAATAACCCAGTTTTTACAGTCCCCCAACTTTCACAACCCCCCCAGCCAAACGCTCCTCACGGAACACAGACTAATAAACATTAAGCAATCAATAGCATCTCTACAATGTTTCAATGGGGGTATGGCGGACGTTGACCGCTGACGGACTCCTTCAACCCCGATAAGCGTTTCCATAAATCTACGGTAGCCACCCGCCTTCTAAGCCCCGTCAAGTCAAGGAGAGAGCCTAAAACTCATCTTGCACAGCTAGAGAAGCAGCAGCCGCATTCAGTGCAGCCCCGCAACATCATACACAAAATCCAACAGCCCATGTTGGTCCTCACCTCGAACCGGTTTCCATCGCAGCGCACTGGAGCCAAGCGAGCAGGCGAAAATTTAGGCGTCTCTAACCTTGTTCAAGTACTAAGGACCTTACTACATAACCCGAAACCCGATATTACTTTAGGATTGTCGAGCTGTGGGGGAGGCAAGCAAGTCCGCGCAATACCAGCGGGATTTTGCGCGTAAGGGACACTCGGCCTGCCCGCCAGCAATACGCAGGTAACCAAGGAAAGCCTCATCGAGCATTATCAAACAGGAGGCAACACATTAAGCTTTTCCTACGGGTGCGCCTCTCAGGAGATCGGGGGCCGCAGGGCATTATCGCCCTCCGTCGAACGGCAATGATAACAACAAAGCAAGCAAGATTGTCAGCAGGCATTTCCACACACGGCCCAGAACTTTTATCCAACTCAATTGCTGGACCATATCATGCATCATGGTCACATAGGCCATCATGGTCACATAAAACGCAACAGAAGCTCCGAGCAATCAGCACAATCAACACCGTCGCGCCGCGCAGCCGAAAATCACCCACGACATACCTCCGAACCTTCCAAATTCGTTAGTTTTCCGTTAGTTTACGAAACACCCCCACTTGTACTACAGTGCCAAAGGAACTATGTGATGCCATTCTTATTGGTGACCGTCCAGCCGTCCCCTCCCCCCCGAAGCATATGCCAAGCCACGGTGCGCCAAGAGTGGCGTTTTTGGACAAGCAATCAAAGCAGCGCATACCATATCCTCCGCCACGCCGCCGCGTGCCACGCCGCCTCGAAATGTGCACAACAGACAGGCATGTGGTCAGGCGCGCGAAGCGCAGGCGCACACCACGCACGGACCCAAGGGCCATAGACGCCCGCGTGTCCGCAACTACAGATGCAAGTGCGCCGCGCTCTGCTCGTACTGCTCCAAACGCACCTGCACGTATCCCCACGAGGCCGCACAGCGGCCACCTTACAAGACTTTACCCCCCACACATAGACAATCACCCCCAATCAGCCAACCTAACAGCGGACACCTCAACCACCAGACGGCCGCACCCCTCATCATGGCATGCTTTCCTCCCCGGCCCCCTACGTAGGATGAATGACCTGACAGCCAGCGACGCATGACCCAGATGCAAGCATGGGCCGCGGCTCTCATTCGTTACACAGCCTGGTCCAGCGGCAGCAAAAATATACAGTTTGTAACGTCATCACCTACGATTTCTGAGGAAAAGTAAGAAAAGCTACTAATCAGCCATACAGCTTCTGCTTGATATTACCACAGACCGCTTCACAGCCCCCCTCGCGCTGCAGCCCCCTGAGTAGAATGCTGTCCAGGTTGCGCCGCTTACTGGGCTCAGGCAGCCTCAGGGGATCGCTGGAGCACAACACACGGGGTCGCCCAAGCACGCCCGGCAGCACGCCCGTCGGCTTGGCTTCATCGAGAAACAGCCCGACTTCCCGCATGATCGCATCCAGTTCGACGCCGGCTCGCTGCAGCCAAGGGGGCTCAACCCGGAGGTTCAACCGCGGGACGACCCGCGGTGGGGCCATGGCGGCGGCGCTGAGGAGAAGCGCGGCGGCGTCACGCGCGGCAGGGACGGATGTGACCGCCGGTAGGCCGGCCGCGGCTGCTGCTGCTGCTGCGACCTCCGCAAAAGGGTTCACCCGCGGCGGCGGCAGCGGGCGGCGCGACATGATCTCGGGCTGCAGCTGCAGCAGCTGATCTGTACTATGCCTGGGGGCGGCCATAACGTCATTGCCTATGCCATCGCTCGGGCACGGGCCACCACACGCAACCACTGCTGCCGAGTCGCGCGTCCGCTTGGCCGCCCGGTTCCACAGTGCGGAAGGCAACCCCATGCCGATGGCGGTGGTGCCCACGCCGCTGCCACTGCCACTGCCACCGGGGCCAGAACCGCAGTCACCGCTCGTTTCGAGCTCCCGAACTGACCCAAAGCCTGCGACATTCCCGGAGAGCGGGCCGCATAAGAGGGAGGAGGAGGAGCCCCAGGACATGCAGGACATGTGGGCGGCGTTACAGAAGCTCATCCCATCCTGGGATTCGGAGGGGTCGCCGCCACTGCCAGGGGGGAGGCCGGGTGGGGCAGTGGGATCAGGGTGCATCCACGGGGCCGTCTTGGTATCGGGCTGTGCGGCGCCATCGCCATAGCGATTGAGGAAGTCGATGCAGGGCGCCGCGGGGGCAGGAAGGTCACTGTCGGTGTTCATGTAACAGGTGGTGAGGGCTCCCGGCGGGTCGCTATGCGCGTCGAACTTGACGCGCGTTGCCGCTGTCGGCGGCGCCGGCGGGAGAGCCTTAGCTGGGGACAAGCGGCTGCCGCCGCTGTCCATGGCAGACGGCCGGTCTGCTGCTGATGTTACCGCCGTGGGACGCTGGCAGCCGCCACCATTGGCGCTTTCCGTGCCACCTTTGTCGGAGGCGTCCACATGGGGGCCGTCCTGCTAGGGAATGCGCGCAAGGAGTCATGTAGGAGATGTCAAGGACCCTGGCTTGCAAGCTGCGTCGCAACAGGACGCCGCAATTAGTGTGACTATGATTGATTCCTCACCGGATAACAGTCCTCATCCTCGTCGTCTTCGTCCATGCTGGTGTGCCGTTGCAAGTGAAGTCCGGTACGTCTGCATTTCATCCGATTGGCGTGTCGCTGCGTCTCCTGATAGCTTACCGCTTGATCGCCCCATATTTTCACAGCATTTTCCTCGTGCCACCTGCAACAGGGCGCAAGAAGTGCTATAATGTTGTCCACACAGAAGAAGAGACAACCTAATGGCCACCTTCTGCAGCCTACGCAATCATACAAGATGTGCATTAAATGGTACTGTACAAGCAGCCGGTTAATGTCCGTTTTAGGAAGCAGTCGTGGACATCCCCAAGATGCGGCCTCGCAGTTCGAATGTTGCCGGCGTGGCCTCACTTTATAATCGCTTTGGAGCTTGGCCTCTGCCCCAGTCGAGCATACTCAGTGTGCCTGTATTTCCATGTCGACATAAACGGAGCTCTAAGATTGCCGAGTCACTCTTACAGTAGGAACGTGTAATAACCTTAAGTTCTTACCACCAAATATTGAAACTGGCCCAAAACCCGGCAGGAAAGCGTCGAATAGGGCCAGATGACTCTCTACCAGTCTCGCCTCCCATCGCTCAAGACGTCAAAACAAAAGATAGTTTCCTTGTAGCCCTCCCATCAGACGACATACTAATGGGCCAAAGCATAGCAATGTGACGTGTGCAAGGGGACGAACAGGTAATGCAGTGCACGACACCGTACGTGGTGGCGTGCAGACCACTGGGATCCTGCATTTACGACCATTCTCATCATTTCCAGGCGATTATACTGGGATTTCCTTGTTTGATATACACGCAAAAGACGCAATTGAGTGCAGTACATGTATCGATAAACATATATCCTTAATTATGCTTGACCTGGGCTCACAATGATTCATTTTGATATACTTAATGGATCCGACGTGTGTGCAATATGCGTGCTGCTCTCTTTCGTACAATTATACTTTGATTCGCGATTCGAAGATACACATTACTAACACTCCGCATCCGAACGCTGCAGATGTATTTCATAAGCTGAGCAATGTCATGGTACACGGCATGTGCTAATTGCACATGGCCGCATCGGCATAAGCCAAAGGAAAGACAATAAATGTGCAGTTGGTGCTGCTCATGGATGATCGGCCCTATTTGTCTTCTGCTAGCAGTAGGTGATTTCCTTGATGGTGAAGTATTTTGCAAATCTGTTAGCATGATTTGGTAGGCAAATAGGGCCGGTCATTTGTTAACAGTTACTGTTACTGTACAAGTTCAGCCACCATTGTGCATGAAGAGATTGCATATACTACGGCTTCAAAATAATTTATCCGTTGACGCATTGCTATGACATGGAAAATAAGCTGTTATAGCTGGAAAGCCAAAATTAGGACGAGCAGTTGACGAGCACCTTACGTTGAATACGCCCGGCCGGGCGTATTCAACGCTCCCAACCCCATCGGGTTCCTCTGTAACAATCGCATCTGAACGTTGCAAAAAGGAACTCATATGTCCTGCGGCCCGGGCGGGGCTCCTGAAGCCAGGTATTTGGTTCTTCCCAAATCCAGCAAAGCCGGTTAGGAGTCATGCGGTGCGCTTAGTGCGCTGCACTCCCACGGACGGCCTGAGGTCGTAGGCCCCAAACACCCGAGGTCGCAAAAACACAAATCAGTAGCTAGGCTGTATGCATATCACGTCTGATAATTCAGGAATGGAACCTATGACGGCCATCAGAGCCACAGAGCAAGGCCTGCTGGTAACCAGTTTGCGATTGTTACAGTGGACCCGATGGGGTCCAGTGCAGCGCTCCAACCTCCAAGCAATGCCTCCCGCACAATCCAGGCCCGGCTAGTACCCGGGTGACGACGAGAAGGTGTGCAGCTGTCTGTATGCACAACTATGCACGGCATGTCGCATCCCTGCAGCAAACGATGTGAAATAGCTCGAAGTTTAGGAAAGGGCCGAGCTCTATGTGCTGTAGCCTGGGTCGCGTGCATAGATGTGGTTCATATCGACATTTGCTGTACACCTCCTCCTGCGGCGGTTGGTATTGTCTTTAGCTCTAGCGCCTTCCCCAAACCGGCGTAGGATGGCCAAAGGATGCAAGAGGGGCAGGCGCACTCGGCAAACCCTTGCAAGTCCCTTGTCCTGGTCCGGTTTCAAGCGGTTGTGGTTGCTAGGGTGTTGTCACGGGTTCATGTGGGGGCCTCCTGTTTCCTTGTGGGATGGAGCCAGCCAGGTTGCGTGGTGTGGCCGGCTGTGGTGGGCTTGCCTTGCCGCCCCATCCCCAGCTAGCTCTTCTTTAGCAGGGCAGGGCAGGCTGTGGCAGGCCTCGGTATTGCCCAACCCTTGAAACCGTGCTCTCAGAAGATTACGGTCCTAAACATGACACATTTAATGACAGAGTATAAGATGAATCAACCCAATGTTTCTGCTGGAACAGGTTATTGTATGTCAGTGTATGTCTGCATGTTGCTTAAACGTCAGCGCGTGATCCGTACTCACTACAAACTTATTGTGGGGAAGGCCATTGCGTCTGCGACCACACTCCCGCGGTACCCAAACCCTTCAAAGACAACTCCGACCAGCCATTTGGCTGTTAGTGGGAGGGCGGGTGGGCCGCTCGCACGGCAATCGAGTAGAGAGTACGAAATAACCTAATGCAGTCATCATCAACAGAAAACGTAAGCCTCCAGCCTCACGCCGACTCTCTTACCTACCATTCATATTTTCTACCTCGTTCACAAGGCTCCGCCGCGTTGCCTCTAGTTCGGCTCGTGCCACAGGTAACTTCGCTCGTCGCTACTTTGCCATTCACCTTCGCCTCCACCCAGCCTCTGCCTCTCCACAGAAGCGGCGTCCTCCTTCGCCGTTGTTACGCCTCGTCTATGCGGCCCCTCATCATCCGACTGGGCCTTCTGCCTACCCGGTGCGCGCCCCCTCTCTCTGCGCATCCGTTTCTCCGGCCCTCTCTTACGACTGCCTACCTGACTGCAGGACTCACCCCTTGCCTGTCCGGTGCCGGGTAGGCTTTCCTTGCCTCCCCCGGCCCTACTTGGGGCGCCCCTCCTTGGCTCGTCAACTACCTTACTTCCGTCCGTTCCTGCCCCTCGGGGGCCCAACCCCTCCGCCCTTTCTGTAGGCCCGATGCCCGCTCTGGACTTGTCTCGCGCCCCCGGCCTCTCTGATGCTGCCCCCCCGGTAGGCTTGCCCCCGCGTCTGGGTCCTGTCTCTTCTTTCCGTCGCGCTTACCTCGCCTACCTTCTTCTGCCCTGCAGGCACTGCCGGAGCCTACTCTGCCCCAAATCTTAGCCGCGCGCATCCGCCCCGCTTCCATACCCTCTGCCGTACTGGACCCACCTTCCAGCCGTCAGCTTTATACCGTCGCCCTCGCGAAGGCCGCCACCGTCTGCGACAACTCGCTGGCTCGCGAAACCATTGCCCGCCAGGAGGCTGCCGGTCGTGACCTCTCTGCATGGCTGGCCACCCTGCCTCATGGCCGTACCCTGCTATCCTGCACTGATGACGACCTACTCGTCTACCTGGAGGCGCACTGGCTCCCCAACCGCCGTGTGGACGAGCCGAGCCCCAACACCGTCAACAATCACCTGGGTCTACTCTCCGGACTGTTTAACCGCTTGGGCCGTGGCAGCACTTACGACCGTGAAACCGGCATCGGCAACCCCTGCTGCTCCAGCGCCTTGTCCTCCTACAAGACTGGCTATAGTCGTCTCGCCGCCGACCGTGGCTATGAGGAGCAAGCCGCCGTACCACTCAGCCCTAGCGACTTCACCACCCTCATGGACCACCTCTGGTCCGGATTCCAGGCTTCCACCACCTCCCTGACCCGGCTGCTGTTACTACGCGACCTGCTTTGCTGCCAATTCATGTGGCACACCAGCTACCGCGGCCACGACACCGGCAAACTGCGGCTACGCGACTTCCGTGACCCGCGCGGTGGGGGTCCCTTCCGTGGGTTTCCCCTACCTCTGCCGGACCCGTTTGGTGCTTACCCCTCGCTTTCCTTACGGATCGAACAACTCGGGACCAAAACATCCAAGGGGCGTCGAGCCCCCCCTTTGGAACTGCGCCCCGACCCTTCTCCGCGACACTGCTTCATCCGCACCCTCGCCCTCTATTGGCAGCTGTGCCATGCCCCCGACGCCCCCCAAGGGTCTGCAATCTCCGACTACCTCTTCCGTCCCACTGACCGGGGTCACCAACGCTTCGTGGAGCGTCCGTTTTCCAGCAGCGCGTTAGCCATGCGAGTGGGCAAACACCTGGAGGAGGCTGGTGTCTACGTCGGGCAAACTCCTCATGGGTTTCGTCGTGGTACTATCCAGGCCACGCAGGCCGCTGGCGCATCCCGCGCGGAGCTCCACGTGTTCTCCCAGATCCGCAGCGCTCAAGTCCTGGAGCGTTATACTGACGCCTCTCGGCCCACTCGTGTCCCTCGCGGCTCCGGTCCCAAATCCTAGCCTCCGCCTCCTGCTGGTGCCGCCCCTCTTAGCACTGGCGCTCACTTCGTGGCTCGTCCTCCTCCCCTCTCCCCACCACATCGACGGGCGGGTGGGCGGGGTTCTGACTTGCACTTGCTTGCACGGTTGACTGGCGAACTTGTGTTGTCTGGATTTAGCGCTTTGTTCTCCGCTAATCTTTGTAACGAACTACAGTATCAGTCCCTGTCCTCTGGCCAGTTCTGGTCTGCGCCTCCCTGCGCCGCACTTGCCGTACTGCACTACAGGACGAGCACTTAATCAACATGCAGTATCCCACCGCAGAGAGCCGTGCTTAACTCGGCTGTAACGACGCCTCTGTGGGAACTGCACTGCATGCGGCCGGTGACCTGCCATTATTATTTCCGGGTTGCAGTCCAGCATCGCGACCTGCAGCAACTCCTGCACAATAGCTAGCTTGCGGTCCCGCTCAGGCACTATTTGTTGTCCTGGGTGTTCGCACGACACCCACTCCAGCTGGAGCCCTCCCTCCAGGTGGCCTAGCCAACGTCTCTGTCCGTGAGCGGGCATCTTCTTTAGCTGCCTGGAAGACCTCTCACCACACTGCTACATGTGTAAGTAGCTTTCCTGGCTGGCAGTCCTCGGGTCCGGAAGCGAAAGACGATCTCTTCTACAACTCTTTCTCATTCTGCTGATCTTCAGCGTCATGTCGCC